CTACCTTCTCAGCAGGGCGGCTGCACGCAGCCACGATCCCGGCACGGACAGGAGGAAAGGTCTGACTCGGAGCCGCTGGGGATCGAACCCGGGCGACTTGAGCTCTGCCGGAGCTCCGTCCTGACTGCCTTGGGACCAGCCTGACTGTTGCACACGGCTCCAGAGGCGCTTGGAAGCTCTGGGCAGGGATTGCCTGCCACCTGCTGTCCACATGTGGCATTGCACCTGCCGGCAATATAGGAGAGGGGGCTTTTATTTTATTTTTATTTTTATTTTTTTGCTTTTTGGGTCCCACCCGGCGATGCTCAGGGGTTCCTCCTGGCTCTGCACTCAGGAGTTACTCCTGGCGGTGCTCGGGGGACCATATGGGATGCTGGGAATCGAACCCGGGTCGGCCGCGTGCAAGGCAAACGCCCTACCCGCTGTGCTCTGGCTCCAGCCCCCAAGGGGGGGGGGGGCTTTTATTTTTATTTCCTTTGCTCTGGGGCCCCATGCCCACGGTGCTCAGGGCTGACTCCTACTCTGCACTCAGGAATCACTTCGGGCGGGCTTGGGGGACCCTATGGGATGCCGGAGATCGAACCTGGGTAGGCGGTGCGCCAGGCAAACGCCCTCCCGGCTGTGCTACCTGGCCCCAGAGCAATACGTTGTCTTCTTCTTTGCTTCGAAGGACCCGCTGAAATGCTGGGGTGCAGATTTCACCGACGAAGGAAGGGCCAGGAGCCAAGGAACGCTGGTAAGTTCTACAAGCCGGAGGAGGCTGGGACCGAGTAGTCTCTTGAAAGGAAAACAAAACAAAACAAAAAAAACCACCAAAAATAAAAACAAAGAAGGGACTGGAGAGACAGCACAGCGGGTAGGGCGTTTGCCTTGCACGCGGCCGACCTGGGTTCGATTCCCAGCATCCCATATGGTCCCCTGAGCACCGCCAGGAGTGATCCCTGAGTGCAGAGCCAGGAGTAACCCCTGAGCATCGCCAGGTGTGACCCAAAAAGCAAAAAATATAAAAATAAAATAAAAACAAAGAACCAGCCCTCCAGACTCTGGGCTGTTTAGGATTTCTGGGCTCCAGGATTTTTGTTTGTTTGTTCTGGGGCCAAACCCGGCGATGCTCAGGGCTGACTCCTGGCTCTGCACTCAGGAACCACTCCTGGCTGTCCTCCTGGGACCCTGGGCGATGTTGGGGATGGAACCCAGCTCGGCCGCGTGCCAGGCAAAATGCCCTCCCCGCTGTCCTCTCTCTCCGGTTCCTCCAGAGTGTTGTTTGAAGCCAGTCCATTTTGGGGGTTCATTCGTTCTGGCAGCTGTGGGAAGTGCAGCCGCTCATTATCCTGTGGGGATGGTGCGGGCATCATCCCGGAGATGAGAACAACCCGCTGGGGAGAAGAGGAAATGGCCCTTCACGGGAAAACAGCGTCGCAGAGTGCAGAGGAGGCCAGTGCAGGTCCACAGGTCCAGCCTCGGTCCTGCCGAGTCCTCCAGCACACCTGCCCAGGGACCTGGGGCCCAGCAGCCGGTGCACGGGAGAAAAGAGCCCGGGGAGGGTTTCAGAGAGGGAGAGATGCTAGCCCCAGTATGCACAGCTGAAGCAAGGCCGGGCAGGACGCTGAGCACGTTGGCAGCTTGGGTTCAATGCCTGCGACCACACGGCCCAACCCCAGCTAGACACGGTCTTTCCTGGGCGTTGCCGGGGGGGTGGGGGGCTGTCGCCCTCCGTCTCCCCAAATGATAGAATCAGAATTTGCAGAACTCGGAGCTTGAAATCTAACTGGGAGCAACTTAAGGCTGGCAGACGGCACGTGGGGATTTGGAATTCCTGCGAAGCCAGAGAACTCGGCGCTGCGTGATCCGTGATGAAATCTTTATGAAGACGAAAGCGAGCGATGGACGGAGAAGACACGGTTTTTGGTAGCTGCGGAGACGTTAGCTAAGTTATTCATTTCTGTTTTGCACCTTTTTTTTTTTTCTTGGCTTGTTCCTTCCCCGTGGGTTCGTGGGCCCTTGATTGTTCCTCCTCTTTCTTCTCCTGCCCCCCACCCCTCCCCCGGAAACATGTCAGGCCCCAGGGAAAGCAAGAACGTTAGACCGTTTTTTGGAGAACCACCATCCGCTGTCAATAACGGGGCATTTCGGGGCTGGAGCGATAGCACAGCGGGTAGGGCGTTTGCCTTGCACGCGGCCGACCCGGGTTCGATTCCCAGCATCCCATATGGTCCCCCGAGCACCGCCAGGGGTAATTCCTGAGTGCGTGAGCCAGAAGTGACCCCTGTGCATCGCCGGGTGTGACCCCCCAAAAAAAGGTCAGAATAGGGGCTGGAGCGATAGCACAGCGGGTAGGGCGTTTGCCTTGCACGCGGCCGACCCGGGTTCGATTCCCAGCATCCCATATGGTCCCCCGAGCACCGCCAGGAGTCATTCCTGAGTCTATGAACCAGGAGTAACCTCTGAGCATTGCCAGGTGTGACCCAAAAAGCAAAAAAAAAAAAAAAAAGGGGCATTTCACGTATACTAAGAGCTAATGTGTGCGTGCAGTTTGGAGCCGGGGCTCCTGGGCCGCCCTTGAGCGGGGACGGTTTCTGCTCATGACTCACTCTGGGCCGGGCCACAGTGTCTGCAGAGGGCGATGCTCAGGGCTCATGCCTGCATATTCACCGAAAGCGTAACAAGGACCCAGTGTGGCAAACGCTGCCTATTCCCTTCTGCACTAAGGGAGCAGAACCCTGAGTTTACTAGCCAGACGCCACCCTCCCCCCACGCCATTCTGGTGACATTCTTTATAACTTTTTTTTTTTTTTTTTCGCTTTTTGGGTCACACCCGGCGATGCACAGGGGTTATCCTGGCTCATGCGCTCAGGAATGACTCCTGGCGGTGGGATGCTGGGAATCGAACCCGGGTCGGCTGCATGCAAGGCAAGCGTCCTCCCCACCGTGCTACCTCTGAACTCCTCCTCCCCAAGTTGTGACTCTCAGCTGTTCTCCCAACCTGGGGAACCTGGACCCCAACATCTAGACTCCAATAGGGGTGGGGGTCCTTATTCGTCCGGGGTGCCTGGAGGAACGGGTTCCGAGAGCCGCCCCAGGCCTGGCGGGGGAGCCCGGCTCTGGCTCTTCTTGGAGACAGTTCCAGGGCCGTGGGGTGCTGTCCTAGTTGCAGGAGGGGCGGGAGGATGTTCCCAGTGGGGGGCAAACACCGGGTTAACTATCCGAGTGCTGGTCGGGGCGGTCTCTCCCGGGCCTCTTTTGGAGGGGACAGACTGGACTTAGCCTTCACTCCCTGTGGACTCGGTGACAGGCCTCTGGCGGCCGGTGCTCAGGGGTCACGGTGCTCGGCGCCTGGCTGCACGTGGGGCGCCTGCATGCAGAGCACGTCCTCCGGCCCGCTGTGCCCCGGGGTGAGCAAGGTGGGTCCTCTCTCTCCGGGGGTGGCAGGGCAGGGGTGCAGGAGGGGCCTGTTTCCCTGGACACCCGCCCCCTGCCGTCACAGGCCGCTAGCCGGGGCCCAGCAGCCTCCCCCCGCGCCCGAGACGCTCCCCACTAACCACCACGCACACGCACGCGTGAGAACAGTAAACGTTTATTCATGGAAAATGGAATGCCTCGTGAACAGAAACCGTGTCTCAGAAATGGCAGAACAGGAACACGTTTATTTTAAAAAGGGCGAGAGCGAGCGGAGAGCGAGCCGTGGGCCCGGGCTCCGACGGCGGCCCGCGCGCCCCCCGGGAGACCAGGCTCGGGGGGCTCCGGCCCGAGTCCGCTGGGCCCCGCCTGCCCGCAGCACTGCGCGGATGGGGCTCAGTAGCGGCGGGTGAAGTGGGGGTACGGGTGGGGGTGCGGGGCGCGGCTGCCCCGGTCCTGGCCGGCCAGTCCTTCACTGTCCAGTCCGCCGCTGGGCGCCACGTGGCCCTGCGAGTGGCCAACTTGTGCAAAACCGCCGCGCCTGGAACGATGGTGACGCTTGGCCCCTGCGTGGCCCGGACCCCCGAGACGCGGGGCCGAATTCTCCCCCGCCCGGGAACACAGCGACGCTCCTTACCCCGACAGGCCTTCCCGGCTGGCCATGTGCGCTGGGCCCGAAGGCCCGGGCAGGCCTCGCTCCCCGCCTGCAACAGAGACAAGGGGTCGCCCACAGGCCACCGTGGGCAGCCTCGGAGCACGGGGCCCCGCACCCCCCGCCCCGGCCCGGCAGCCCCGGCGGGGGGCGGGTCGGCCCTCACCTTGCCACCTGGCATGCTCCCGGCCCGACGTGCCTGAGTCAGTGGCGCCCGGCCAGCTGCGCTGCTGGTGCTCCTCCAGCCGCTGGCTGTGCTCGGTCCACTCGCGGGCACCCCTGAGCCGCAAGAAGCAGGGTCCACGGTGTCAGGGTGCCCGGGGAGAGCCGGGAGCACCCAATGCACGGGCCACGTGGACATCCGGGGAAGAGAACTCCAGGCCCCCTCCCCCCAACGTGGCCTGGAAGCGTCTGGAACTCCCAGACAGGCCGTGGCTCCCGTGGGAAGGGCAGGAACCAGCCCCGGCCGCTCTGGAACAAGGAGTCAGGAGCAGGCCGAGATAAAAGTTTCTGGAACCCGTAAGTGAAAGTGACGGACCTTTCCGGCCCACTCATCGGGCAGCGCCCAGCGGGCTGCTCTGCTCTGCGTGGCCCTGGCGTCCCCACACCTGAGGTCCCCACAGAGTGGCCGTGGGCTGGCGCCAAGGCGCACGACGTGGGGGGGGTCCCGGGCTCACCTGGGCGGAGGGGGCGGGCCCCGGCCCTCGCTCAAGCGCTTGTCAGAGCCGTAGCCCCCCCAGGCATCCCGGGAGTCCCTGATGGGGCGCTCTGGTCCCCCGTGGCGGTCGTCCGAGTAGTGCTGGAAGGCAGAAGGCGGCCTGGCGACTCGAGGCAGCCCTCCCGGGTGGGACTCGGGGCCCTCGGTGGTCCAGCACCTGGCACCCAGGCAGAGGCCCACAGGGCCCCACCACCCACACGGGCTGTCCCCTGGGCGGTGGCGGGGTGCTGGCGTCCGGGCGGGGACTGTCTTTGGGAAACAGCGCGGAAACCCTGGGCCATGCCCCGGGACCCCCGCGGGGTGGGTGGCACTCACCTGCCCGTCCCGCTCGGCCATCATGGAGCGCGAACTTTCCCTTCTGTGGGGGGAGAGACAGCTCACGGCCCCACCGAGCACTCTCGGGGGCTGTGCAGTTCCCACCTTCCTCAGGGGGCGAACGAGTCTGGGGGCGGGGCATGGGGGGTGCAGTGCGGCCTCGGCTCCCAAGGCCCCCCACCGATCCCCCCTGCTGGCTAACCCACGTCACTCCCTCCACACGCGCCCAACGGGGCCCTCCAGGACCTGACCCGCCGGCCCCCGACGCGGACCTGTCGGCCACGTGCTCCTGGTACTGGCACCGCTCTCGGTGGTCGAAGTCGTGGAAGCCGTGGTGGTTGGCCCGCGAGAAGCTGTTCCGGTACCTGCCGCCTTCCAGGGCCGCGCGCTTCCCCTCCGGCCAGTAGCCGTCGTCGCGCCTGCAAGGGAAGGGGGGACGGAGGAAGGCGGGCTGGGGGCCGTCCGGCCAGACCAAGGGCCGCTGCTGCCAGCACCCCGCAGGGCCGATCTCGGCCGGGAGGGAGGGAGGCGAGGGCCGCGCCCCGGCCGTACCGGTCGTCGTAGCGGTCGTCGTCGTGGGGCCGCCGCAGCGCCGGCCGCCGCTCCTGCTCGTAGCGCAGCTGCTCCTGCTGGCGCCGCAGCTCCTCGCGCTCGCGGTGGATGCGCTCCTGCTCGCGCCGCCGCTCGCGCTCCACGCGCACGCGCTCGCGCTCCAGCCGCTGGCGCTGCCACTCCAGCTGCGCGCGCTCGTACTGCAGCCGCATCTTCTCCTTGCGCTCCTGGAAGGCCTTGAGGCGCTGCTCGCGCTCCCGCTGCTCGCGCTCCCTGCGTGGACACGGCGCCCTGGCTCGCCGGTGGCCCGCGCCCGCCCCGCCGCCGCCGCCCCGGGTCGCCCCGGCCCTCACCGCCGCCTCTCCGTCTCCCGGATCTCCCGCTCGCGCTGCCTCTGCCGCTCGCGCTCGCGCTGCTCCTTGATCTTGTCGAAGGACAGGATGTCCCGCTTCTCCTTGCCCTCCGACTGGCGGTCCTGGCTCTGCGAGCTCTGCGGGCGAGGCGGGCCGATCGCCGAGGCCCCGGGCCAGGCGACCCCCACCCCCGGGCCCCGCGAGGAGTGACCCCTGCCCCCCGAGCCGGGAGGAAGTGCAGAGGACCACCAGGCGTGGCCCCCAAACAAAAGCCCGGGGACCGCACAAACCCCACATGGGCCCCACTGCATCCGCCCGCCAGGTCTTGGGGGGGCCAGAGCGGGTGGAGGGGGGTGGCAGCCGGACGCTGGGCCGCTTCTTCTGCCTCTCGTGGCTGGCTCTGGGCCCCGTGTCCCTCCTCAGAGGGGCAGCAACAGAGCCCCCAAGCCCCAGGAAGGCGGCGAGGTAAGGGAGCATCTTCGGAAGGAGCTAGCACAGGCAAAGCGAGGCGAGGGAGAGGGGCGTGGCCCGAGGGCTCAGACCCGGCCCCCCACAAAGTACAGGGGGGCAGGGGAAGAGGGGCCGAGCCCGGGCCGAGGGGAGGGGGGTGGCTGCTTGCCAGGGCTCCAACACCAGCCTCCAGCCTCCAGCCCCCAGAGTGCTGGGCCCAGGGCGCCACCTAGTGTCCAGCCGAGGAAGCGCCTCCACCCAGCCCGGGCTGGGTTCTGGGCCCTTCTGCAGGCCCTCGCCCTCCTGAGTGGACGCACAGCAGTGAGCGTCCCCTTGCACGGGCGGGTCATTTCAGGGGACCAAAAGTCAATCAAAAGGCCTGGGACTGTTCACAGGCGGTCCCAGGGGCAGGGCCGTCCCACCAGGAAGCACAGGGAAGGGCCGTGTGCGTGCGCGCGCAGACACGGCTCACAAGGGCTTGGAAGTAACAATCAGAGCCAGCACAGGGAAGTGAGTGTGTGTGTGTGTGTGTGTGTGTGTGTGTGTGTGAGCAGACACGGCCCACAAGGGCTTGGAAGTAACAATCAGAGCCAGCACAGGGAAGTGTGTGTGTGTGTGTGTGTGTGTGTGTGTGTGTGTGTGTGTGAGAGAGAGCAGACACGGCTCACGAGGGCTTGGAAGTAACAATCAGAGTCAGCACCTCACTTTGGGGTCAGTGCGGAGAACACAGTCTTATTAGCCTGATAATCTGGGGGGTGGGAGCCCCTGCAGCGACCAGATGCGGGGCCCGGGCAGGCAGCACGGCGCCCTCAGACCTGCTCCCCCGAGCTCCCTCTTCGACCTCCAGAGGCCAAGTGTCCTCCCCGTCCCGAGTGTGGGGGCGTGAGGGTGTCCTGGCCGGACCCTGTACTCACTCTCTCCTTGGACCTGCTCGCGGTCTTCACGCTGATGACCGGCTCGCCTTTCGACTTATCCATGACGACTGTCCGCTCTATGCCGCGGCTGCCTTCAGGAAGAAAGGCAGCGGGCCGTGAAAACGCGCCCACGCGCCCGGAGCCAGGCCCCATGGCGCCCCCGGGGGCTGGGTGCCCGCGCGGAGCCCCACCAGGCCGTGAAGCCGGGACTGCTACTGCCTCGATTCCCCTGCTGCCACCCCATCCCGAGGAAGGCCCGCTGACTCCGGAGCACCCACCAGACCGGGGTGGGCCCCTCATTCCTCTCTGCCATCCAGGCTCCCGACACCCCCTGGCGATCCCAGAGGCAGGCTCTTACCGCGGGCCTAATTACTGATTTAGAGAGATTTGCAGTACTTGAGGAACGTTTTAAAAACATGTCCCTCATGAGACTGCTGGCAAATTAGCCCAAATGCTTGAGCGGTAACGCGCTGTACTGAATTCCGATGCTCCAGATGGCGTTTTTGGTTTTTTTTTTTTTTTTTGAGTAGGTGGAAATGTTTTACTTTTTGTTTTGGGTTCTCTCCTGAGATGCTGGGGGCCACCCAGGCTACGTGCGGTGCCAAGGACTGAAGTCCAGGCCTCAGGCATGCCAAAGGCTAGTGCTGGTGCCTCAACCTGATTTTTGGGCCACAAAGCATTCTGGGACGCCCTGTGCCAATCCACAGGGAACAAGCACCAGAGTCATGGCCAGGGGCACCTGAGGGCCTGGGGGGGGGTGGCAAGGCTCCCGGTCTGACAGTTTTGATGCTCACTGGCTTGCCAACCATGTGCCCACGGAACTGCTTCCGGTGAGTGACAAGAACTGGGGCACCTCCCCCGGTAAATGCCACTCTCGATCTTGCCCCAAGCCGGTTCACCCCGGTGCAGAGCCAGCAGGGGCCTTCCGGTGGCTGGAAGCCGCTTCACCCCTGGGGGCCGCTACCCCAGACGTTACCTGCGAGCGCGGGGGGCTCACTGAATCTTGGTGGGCCCGACCGCGCCCCCCCCCATACATGAGCACTGAATAGACTCATCACCTGATTTGGTGACACGGGAGCGGTTGGGGAGCCCTGCTTTCAGCTCGTCCTCGTCGTTGTCCTCCTTCTTAATATCCTCCGGCTTCTTTTCCTCCCTCTTCTCCTCCTTCTTAATCACGGTTCTGTGGCAAAAAGGAGTGAGGACATGTGGGTGCCCTGGCCGCCACACACTGACCGGTCCTGGAGACCAGGGTGAGGGCACATCCCTCAGAACTCCCTCCCCTCACGAGGCCCCGGGACCTGCTCCCCCCAAAACTGGCCGCAGCCAGAGGGCACACGCCTGGCCCATGCCATGCCGAGTAGGATCTCTTGGCCGTGCGAAGGCCTGGTCTGCATGTGCAAGGCCTGGGTTTGATCCCCAGCACCGCGCAGGCCCAACCCCACTAGGAGTGACTCCCCGGGCTGCGTCGGGCAGAGCCCTCACCCACACTAAGGCAAAGGGGACTGCGGGACTCCAGGGCAGACTCGCGGTGGCGGTGCCCCCAGATGCTGAATGCAACGACCCTGCGGCAGGCCCGGGAGGAAACATCAGACACCGGGGTCCCTGACGCTTGTGGGAAACCAAACAGCATTTTCCTGCTCGTTCCTGGCCCACAAACTGGCAGCGCTTGGGGACTGAACCCAGGTTGGCTGCGGGCAATGCCAACGCCTGACCTGCTGTGCCAGGCCTCTGGCCCAAACGTGCCGTTTTCAACGTGGAGTGAGTAACCGGTAAGGTCAGGCCAAAGGGTGTCCCCAGCAGGGACGAGGTGGAGAGGGTGAGGTGCGGGCGCTGTCTCGGCCTCTGGGCGGGAGGAGGCTGCAGGAAGCACCACAGGGCCCACTTAGTTCCCACGTCTGTTTCTTCTGTCTGGTTCTGGGGCGAGCTGGGGGCGCCGAATACAATCCCAGCCGGCCCGCCCCAGACACCTCAGGCCCTCAGCTGTTTTTCTTAGAAACTGCCAAGCGTGGGAACTGCCCCCCAGTGCCAGGCCTGCGCCAGGGCAATCCCGGGCTGTTTTCAGTCCTTCCCCACGGCCACAGGGGGGCGCCCTGCACTCTGCTCCCAGTTCTCTCTGCTGCCTCCTGGCGCTGGCTGAGGCAGACAGCAAAGCCACAAAGCCTTGCACTAAAAGGCGCATGAAGGCGTCTGGAGAAAGGAACCCATCTGCCTGTTTGGGGCTGCCCCAGAGGTGCCTGGGCTCGAGCTGGAGACCCCGTGCAGCTGTGCTGGGCCTGTCTAGAACACTCTTGACCCCCGAAACCTTTTGCCTTTTGCTTTTTTTTTTTTTTTTTTGCTTTTTGGGTCACACCTGGCGATGCACAGGGGTTACTCCTGGTTCATGCACCCAGGAATTGCTCCTGGCGGTGCTCGGGGGACCATATGGGATACTGGGAATCGAACCCGGGTCATTTGCGTGTAAGGCAAAAGCCCTACCCGCTGTGCTACCGCTCCAGCCTGTTTTACCACAGCCCAATTCCTGGCCCTGCCTCTCCCTGCCGGGCCAGCGAGCGCTGTCTCTGCGCCTCTCTCCTGCGAGAGCACAGACCTCACAGGACTCTCCCACGGCCCAAGGGGTTCGTCTGAAGCTGCACCAGCTGCACACAAGCCAGCGTGATAAGCTCCGGACTCTCTCGGGCCCTTTCCCCACAAGCTTGTTCCCGGAGGGCCCCGGGGCTGCCTCCTGCCCCCTGCCAGGTACGGAAAGGAGGTGCCAAGGGCGTTACTTTTCGACTTTGATCTCCGGCGGGCGATGCTTCTCCGCAGCAGACACCTTCTCCTTCTTCACCTCGCACTCTTTCCTGTCGGCCAACTTCTTCCCGGCGGGCTCGTTTTTGGCCTGCAACGGGACCCAGACAGAGCAGGTCACGGGCCTCTGCTGCGCCCACGCGGGCCCGGTGCTGGCCAGCCGGAGTGCGCTCACCTTCTCCACGGAGATCATCCTCCCGTGGAGCTCGGTCCTGTGCAAGTGGCTGATGCACTTGGTGGCCTCCTCCGAGGTCGACATGGTGACGAATCCGTAGCACCGCGCCCCAGGACTGCGGGCGTTGGTCACCACTTTGGCCCCAACGACCTTCGTGAGAAAGGGAACCGGCTTTTCTTAGCATCGCTGGTTCCGAGCGTCTGGGAGAACGTCTCGGGCTTCCCCCTACTTTGTCAGGGGGGACGCGAGCGCGCCCTATTCCAAACCCAACGGCCGCCGAGGAAAGCCGCTGGGGCAGACCTGATGGCCGCGTGTCAACACCTCTCAGCTCCTTCCCCTAGGCTGGAGGGAGGGTGGGGGGGTGCAGGGAGGGCACTTGTCTTGCAAGTGGCAGACCCCAGTTCCATCCCTGATGCTGCACAGGGGTCCCGAGCACTGCCAGGAGGGACCCCTGAGCAGAGAACTGGGAACAGCCCCGAGGACAGCAGGTGTGGCCCCCGACACTGAAATAAAAACAAAAGCCAAAAGTCCTCCCTGCTGACACAGTTCCTTCTGGCTCACTGTCCCAGAGTGCCGGCACACAGGCAGGCGGAGCAGCGAAGTTGGGGGGGGGGATGCTCACGGCCCAGACCACACCCCACATCTGGGAAGCCCCGCACCTGGTTTCAGATACTGCACGGTCACTTCCATATCAAGCCACAGGGCTCAGCGGGACATACGTGGTGTGGGAGTCTCGCCCGAGTCTGCCGCAAGCCAAGTGCCCTCCCCACTCTATCCCCGCCCCCATCAAACGCATCTTTTCCATTCCACGAGCAGGGCTTGCTTTTCCACGGTGGGGGTGCGGCCCCCCCCACTTGGCCAGCAGGTCGGTACCAAGGGCTGGGGATGCAGTGGGACCCTGCGTACGGGCCCAGCTGTCTCAGAGCCTCCAGCAAGGGAGGACGAACCCCCTTCTTCGGCTGGACCACCCCAGATGCGCCCGACCCCTAAGGCGGAAGCCAGGCAGGGTGAGGCCTGGGGCAGGGGTGGGTGGGAGAAAAACACACCCTATGTGCTGACCAGCACCTCCCAGGAAGTTCTAGCATACTCTCCTCATGGACGGGGAAATGGAGTAGGGATGGGACTGCCGATTTCCCCGGGGGGTGGGGGTCTGTATGCAAGTACGGGCAAGAGAAGTCGCGGGACACTTGGCTTCTGGGTCACGCCTTGTGGTGCTCGGGGATGACTCCTGCCTGGATTTGGGGGAACAGAGGAGCCACCGGGGATGGAACCCAGGCAAGGCAAGTGCCCGACTTGCTGTCCTCTATCTCAGGCCTGACGCTGGGGTTCGGCCTGCTGGGGTTCTCTTCCTCTAGCCGGGAGAGCCGTCCACGGCCCGAGCGGAGGTGCCCCGTGGGGCGGACGACCTACCTTCCCGTACTTGCTGAAAAGGTTCTTCAGGTCCGTGGCTCGAGTGGTGGACGCCAACCCACTGACCCACAGGTTCCGGCCGGAGCTGCTGCTGCTGCCCGCGCGGCCTGTGGGGGGGGAGGGAGCCCGTCAGAGCGAGCAGGAAGCAGTCTCTCAGTCCACGGGCCCCTGCTCTAGACCCCCGCGGCTCTCCGAGGCGGAGCCTAGGATTCCTGGACACACCCCGGCAGACAGACCCTTTCTGGGGGCAGCTTCTGCCGGGGGCACTGCCATCTCTCAAGGCTCAGTCCTCAGCCCACGGAGAAGGATCTACAAGTCCTGGCACCTAAGCAAGAGGCGGGGGGCAGGGGGTTCCGTCCTGGGCCGGGACCACTGTCTCCTGGGAACAACGAGCCCAGCACGAAGGAAATCGCTATGGGCCCACATCCCGGTGTCACGGGGAGCAATATTTCCTTGGGGGGGTGGGGGCGACACGCACACATAATCTTTCCCTCGACTTTGGGAGGCCGTGGCGGACTTTGGGCCATGCCCAGCAGTGATCAGGGATCACTCCTGGACGGGACGGGAGCTGGGGACTGAACCAGTTTGGCTGTATACAAGGCAAGCATCTTGCCAATGATAATTTGTCTTTTTTTTGCTCTTTGGGTCACACCCAGCGATACTCAGGGGTCACCCCGGCTCTGCATGCAGGAATTACTCCTGGCAGTGCTCGGGGGATCCTTATGGGTGCGGGGGATCAAATTTGGGTCGGCCGCGTGTAAGGCAAGACCCTTCACTGTACCATCGTGCCGGCCTCTGATCTTTGTCCTTCTCACTGTTTTCTGGGTCACACCTCACAGCGCTCGGGGGCCCATGGGGGCTGCCGGGGGGAACCAAGGCCGAGTAAGGTGCATGCAAGGTAAGCACCTTACCTGCTGGGCCTGCACTCCAGCCCCCACCTCGCGCTTCTTTTCTAAGGAAAGCATCTGACTTCACAAAACAAAGCCAAGAGCGACCTGCCTTCCGACACCCCGCTCCGCCAGAAGCCGAGTTCATCCCTAAGGACACAGACCGCTGGGCCCTCCCTCCCCGAACAAGGGAACGCGGGGAGGGGGCCCCCCACGGCACGTTAAGCTAAAGGCATACCTTTTTCATCTTTAATGATTGGCTTTATATCTTTTTCTTCCTTAAAAGAGCTAGAGACAAAAGTTAGTATTACTCATACAGGAGGAAACAAAGGAACGAGCGCTACATTCAAAGTCTCGACATGTGTGCTATACCTACCAGAGGAATTAGTCTGAGATAAAACCTTAACGGACACCTCTGATACGGGAAATCTGACCCCAAAGTACGGTGTCAGATTCATAAAAGTCAATTCGATTTAGCTGAGGGGAACACTTATCGATTTAGGAACACAACCGGTTAGTCGGTTGAGAACCAGGAATCCAATCACCCATTACGAAATACACAAGGAGAAATAAGAGATTCTTTAGCAGTAAACTAGAATTTCGTCAGGCGGGCGGGCCAATCGCAGCCAACGAACGGCTTATGTGTGTCATGAAACGCCCCGTGAAAAGGAGATAGCGTCTGGTCTAGAACTGAGAAGAGACAAACCTCGTGTTCTGCTCAGCGCCCTCACTGGCTGAGGACTCTTTAGGAGCCGGAGGGACTTCGTTACAAGCTTCAAAAGCAAACTTCTTCACGTCGTCTTTGCTATCTCTGGGCTCTGGGCTCGAGGCTTCCCGGGCCGTTTCCGCCGCCTCCTCGCTAGAGGCGTCCGCGGGCTCGGAGGCGTCACTACTCTGGGCCTCAACTGGCTGGTCTAGCCCTACGGCTTCACAGTCCGTCCTCTCGCCAGCGCCTGTCTGCTCCACGGGCTCCCTTTTCACTACCGCTAACAGGGCGTCTGCCTTGCTCCACTGAGCTCGTGCCGGTGACTCGCTGGCCAAATCTAAGTCACCCTCCTCCGGGTGGCCGCTGCCAAAAAGGTCCTCTTCCTCCGCCAGCTTTCTGTCTGGCCCCACGCTACTCGTGTCCTGTGCCAATGGCGGCTCCAGCTCGAAACCTTCTTCTTTTACTGGCTCAGATTTACAAGTTTGCCCCAAAATGCCGAGTATTTTCTCATTTTCTACGGATTTAACAGGAATAGAATGGCACAAGGTTTAATGACCAGGGAAATAAAGCAATCACAACTGCGGCACGGGCACGGCTGCCACGCTAACACCGAGAGACCTGCTAGCTACACAGAGATTGGAAAACCCACGGGACACGCTCACGCTGGGGCCCTACCTGCGCTCCGGCCGACGGACCGGCCGGCCGACCGGCCGACGGACCGATCGACCCGCCGGCGCCGGCGCGGCCCCTACGCTACCCGCTACGCGGAAGAGCAAAGGCCCCCCCAGATTCCAACCCCGACAACCCCGTGGCTGCTTCTGCCAAGTCTTCGTGGCGTTGGCGTCGGAGCCCGCGTCTTCGCCTTATGTTCCCAAGGTCCAAGGTGCGGAACCAAATGCCATCACCGGGCAACGCAGCGCCATTTCCAAACTGCCTTGACTCGCGTCTTAACTGCCCAGTCCAACATGCCAACTGAGGCTCTTCCGACGGCGGGAGGGAAACACGCAGTCCAGAAGGGGAGCTTAAGAGGCGGGACCCGCTGGCACGAAGAAACGCTCGTTTCCTCTTCGGGCGTCCAGGCCCTTCTCGGGTGCTACGGGCCCTGACAACGCGCCGTCTCCTGCCTGCGCTGCCTGCAGCGAACTATCACGAGATCTGGCTCATGTGCAGAAGCACATGCAAGAGGCCGGGGGCAGGGCGGGGCGGGGCGGGGGGCCAGCACCCCTCCCTGGCCGGGGAGGGGCAGCTTACTGCGCCCTCTCACCGAGGCCTCTGTGCCCTCCACAAACCACCGCGGCACCTTCCACAGATCTGGTGATACCAAAGGGTTTCCAATCTCTGATCCGTGTACGATCTGGATTGTCCACCGTTCAAATCATGTATGAGACCACAACACAGCGTCAAGGAGAGAGACAGCTGGGGTGGGGGTGGGGGAAGGACAGGAAAAAAATAAGCTGGGAAACGTTCAAACCATCACTGTCGCGTTTCTCTTATCAGTACCTGGCTCCAACAGAGGCTCTTCAATGTCCTATTTAGGAAAAACAAAAGAGAGAGAAGAAAATCCACAAAGCACGTCGGCAAAACCTGGCGCCGGTCTTCCCTGAAGCTTCCAAGCACACACTCAACACTCCAACAACCCGCTCGGCTCGGACAGGGCTTTGCTCTGAAACACCCAACGCAGGTTCAGTGCCAACTGGACAAGCCAAGACGGGGAGTCCAACCCCAGGGGCCACCTGCATGTCAGTCCCATCTCAGCGCTGGCTGTGCGGTCTGGGGTCTCCAGCGTGCAGCCAGGCCCGGGCCAGCAGGCTCACAGTGTGAGCACCAGGGCCCGAGTGTGCCCGGGCAGAACCGAGTTGATCCCGACAACCAAGGCAGGAAGGGGAGACATCTTTTGAAAAAAAAAAAAAAACCAACACGAGACAATATCACCCCGTCAGCCCGTTTCTCTCTGGCAAAGCAGACAGAGGAGGAGGAAACAGGGAAGGAGGAGGAAGAGGAGGACTTGGCCTCTGAGCACCCTCTCAATCTTGGGCTGACATTTGTCTGGGCCTCGACAGCCACCCAAATTTCCCGTGGTCAAGGCAGCAGCCACCGTGGGTGGTGACCATGCGTCCCCTGGAAAGGGAAATCTTTGGGGCTGGAGCGAGAGCACAGCGGAGAGGGCGTTTGCTTTGCACACGGCCGACCCGGGTTCGACTCCCAGCATCCCATAGGGTCCCTTGAGCACTGCCAGAAGTAATTTCTGAGCGCAGAGCCAGGAGAAACCCCTGAGCATTGCCAGCTGTGACCCCCCCCAAAAAAGGAAATCTTTTCTCTCTCGGGGCAACTGCGACCCGAGTAGAATGTGTGAACTGAACCCTGCCCTGCTCCCTGGAGCTCGCGGTGACCCCGGCCAAGCAGGACAGGCCTGCCCGGCCCCGGCCCGCCAGAGCGCTAAGTAGCGTCCTGGCCCCACAATCCCCAACTGCTGGGGAGGCTGCACGTGGAGCCGCCCAATCCCCACGCCAGGGACCGAGGGGACTCACCGAAGGTACTTTGAAGTCCAGTGACGAGGCATCCAGAGTATTCTCGAAATTCTCCCCGTCTACCTAAGAGATGAATGGGAAGGTCACCGGCAGCGGTGGTGGAGGGGGCAGTGCCACGGCTGGCATCTCGCCCCTTCCCAGGTCACACGGGAGCGATTTCTACCCGCGTCCCTCTCACCACCTGCATCCTGATGGGGGTGGAACGCAAAACGATAATGACCGCCAGGCTTTACAATTAATCGAGCGCTTTCTAGAACACTGGACTGAAACGGCGAGGGTGGGAGGCGGCCTAAATGTCACCCCTGAGCACCTCCAGGGGCCCTGGGACTGGCCCCCCATCAGTACCATTTCCGACTTTTAACAGCATTCTCCATTTACCTCACCGTAGCTTTCGTTTTTTTTTTTTTTCCGGCCACGCCTGGAGATGCTCAGGGGTTACTCCCAGTTTTTCTCAGGAATTATTCCTGGTGATTTGGGAGAACCCTATGGGGTGCAAGGGATTGAGCCTGGGCAGGCCAGGTACTCAGCAGCAAGCACCAAGCCCTCCGGAGTACTGTTCCAGCCCTGCCACCATAGTCTCTAGGCCCGGAAGACCCAGTCTGAGGGCTGGGGCTGGGGGTCTGGGGCTCCCATCTCTGTGTCCTGTCTCACACCCACAGGCACTCAGGGGCCCATATGCGGTTTTAGGGACTGAGCCAGGACCAGCTGCAAGCAAGGCAAGCATGGTTCACTCAGGGTGCAGGAATGGCCCACTCCCAGCTCTGGCAGGTGATCAGAGAGAGATGCCAGGCCCCTTGAGTGCTGATTTTAACCGCCAGGAGGTGAGGCTCTGTGAAGAGACCACAGGGGTGGAGCGCCAGCTCTGCGGGCAGAGGACTGGGTTCAGTCTGGGGAACACACAGCAAAGACCCCACCGCACCGCCGGGAGTGACCCCCCCGCCAGCATGAAGCTGGGCGCAGGTGCGGCCCCAAAACAAAACACAGGGAAAGGACTCTGATTTCAGTTTCCGGAAGGCGGCCGAGTCCGGCTCCCCTGGGTGAGGGCTCAGGGAAGGAAACCCACCGCTGACCTAACATGGCTGGGGCACGACCACTCCGTAAACTCACACCGCTCAGCTCCACGCCAGTCGCTACAGAAGTGCCGCCGCCAAACACAGAGGGCTCAAGAGGCAGCACGGGGGAAGGACAGTGGAACGATCCCTTCCTAGGGGCCAGGAGCTCCCCCGAGCCCGCCACACAGGCCTCTGGCCGTGCTCGCACACGCTTTCTCGCTGACCGCGGATGCTCTTAGTTAACCTTGTTTGTTTGGGGGCCATCCCAGCGGCGCTCAGGGCTTCCTCTCGGTGCTGGGCTCGGGGTCACTCCCGGTGGGACAGAGCCCAGGCTGGCTGCGCGCGAGGCGTTCGCCTTCCCCGCAGTCCTACGGCTCTGGCCCCACCGGTAAACCCATTTTTTGGGTCGGTTGTTCGGGTCTGGGGGCTGCTTCAGTGGACTTCATGGGTTATTCCTGGCTCAGTGCTCAGGAGTCAACCTGGGCAGTGCTGGGCACACGTGGCGTCTGGCACTGAGCCAAACCCCGAAGCACCACTGCCGCAGCCCCCTACGAGGCTCTGTGCTCGCAAGGCAAACACCGGCAGGCTATCGTGCACTCCCCAGCCCGCACCGAACCTCTATTTCTTTGTCCTGTTTTTTGGGTCACACCTAGCCGTGCTCGGGGGACCGTATCGGGAGCCCGGGTTGGAACCGGGGGAGGCGACGTGGCAGGCAAGACCCTGACTCGCTCTCCCACCTCTCGGCCCCGGCTGGGTGCTCAGCGTGCGCTTGGCCGCAGAGGGCAGGGGAGCACAGGGGAGCCTCAGGGCTAGGGCCCGGTCCGGGTCCGAGTCACCTACAGCGTTCTCTGTGAGCTGAGTGGGGAGCTCCCGCAGCTGCACAGCCACGAATTCTTTGCTGTCGCACAGGGAGTCGAGAATGCTGTCGGTGCCGTCGTCCCCAAAGTCGGGCGCGCTGCTGTTCTCCACGTCCGTCTCCTCCAACACACTGACGTCCATCATTTCGAGACTCTGCAAGCTCTCCAGACCCGTCTCCATGTCCTCCTGGAGAAGGAAGCAGCTGTGCCAGCTGCCGGGCCGAGCAGGCCCAGGGCGCCCGCGCCGTCTCCGCGGGGAGGCCACGTACCTGCCCGTCTCGGGAATCTTCTTCGAGGCCATTGTCCTCTGCACCTTCTTCCTCTGATTTCTGGCCTAATTACAGAAGAATCACGTGGTCAGGTAACGTTTACGTCCCCGCCTTATCATTCACCTGTGCAAAGCGACGGACTTCAACACTGGGGAGAATAAAAAAGGTGTGTCCCCCCCCCGCCCCTCGTGAGCATCCCATTTGTTTTGCCTCAAGAACCCAGAGGCATCCGCAAGTCTCAAAGTCACACCAAACCAAGGCAACTACCCCTCAAAATAAGCAAAAGAGGGGCCGGAGAGACAGGACAGCTTGCCTTTCATGGGGCCGACCCAGGTTCGACCCTAGCATCTTACGTGGCCTTCTGAGCACTGCCGGGAATAGTCCCTGAGCATCACCCGGTGTGGCCCCGAAACAAACACACGAAAGCAAAGGAAAGGGACAAGAGTGGCTGATTACTGGGAGCAGGGCACCTTCGTAAGCAGAGGGCAGGGTTGAACCCCAGCATCAGAGTTCTCAGCCTGGACCCTAGCAGTTGGGAATGGCCCTGGAGCAAAGATACGACCCTCCCCCAGTCATTGGAGCCGGCTTTGGAGGCAACGTATCCCCCTGACCTTTGTCCTTTTGCAGGAACAGGGCTACATGGGAAAGGTCTCAGAGGGGTGGAGCACATGCTCTGCCCAGGGGAGGTTCGGGCTGGATCCTGGTATGGGGCACCCGCCCGCCATCACCCCGGCATCGTTAGGAGTGACTCCCAAACACTTCTGGGTATGGGTCCAAGTGGGAGAGTTTCAACTCATTAATTTCACAGGGATTCAAAAACAGGATGTCCTAATTCCTGATCGGAGAGCCGAGAGTAACCCCTGTGCATCACCAGGTGTGACCCAAGAAGCCAAACAAACAAACAAACAAACAAAAAAAAAACCAAACAAAAAAACCAAACAAAAACAAAAACCCCAGGACTTCAGGTTCCAGGAATGAAGCACGAAGCCTCCCTATGCAGCAGCCCTGTCTGTCCCGCAGCTATCAAGCATCTGCGTCAAAGTTCTACGTCAGAAAAACAGGCAGTTACACTGAGCAGCATGAACTGCAGCAAGAGCAGCAATGCTTTTCAGATTCGGCCGGATACAAAGTTCCGACGTAAAGGCAAAGAGGCAGTGGCAGAGTTCTCGCCGTGCACGTCTGAGCCCCCGGGTTCCATTCCCGGCACCGCACAAAAATAAGATGAAAGAAAATTCCTGCAGAACCCAACTCCAAAAGCCCTCTCACGGCACAGGCCTGACCTGAACTTCCCTGTCTGTTGAGTTATGGGCAGGCCGTTACGGAGGGAAACCAAAACGGCCGAGAACACGACCGGTTCTCTGGCTTTCTGAGCATCTGCTGCCCGAATCTGGCACTGGGCGAGAACTTCTGCAAGTCAGTGTCAAGAAAACAAGACGGTCACCAGAGATTTGTACAAGGGGGGGGGGGCGACTCTAATAGACACAAATGACTGATAAGGACAGCAAGGTTCCCAGGCTCCTGAAAGCAACAGTGAGTAGCTCTGAACGGAGCAGGGCGTGGGCAGGCCCCTGGCTTGTACGCCGGAGCCCAGGGTCCGGCCTTGGGCCCAGCAGGTTTGTCTCTGTGCACCGCCAGGTATGTCAAAACACACAAGGCACCCTCCCTCTTCCACACAAAGCGACACACACGAACCTTTGAACTCAAAAGGCCCGGTGCATGCAGTGAAAATGCAAAAGGTCACGGACTACACAGTCTCGTTAGGAAAAGGACAGGTGACTCCGGGAGGGCAGAAAGTGAAATAAAAACTGTACCAGCCTCGGGCAGACAGAAGGGGGAGCGACCGCCGACGGGCCTGGCACTTCTTTCGATTATACGGTGCTGACAGCAGCACCCAGGATCAGGTCTGAAAACACGCTGCATCATGCAGTTTCAAGGTAAACTGCATACCCTGGCAATTACGCAGTCTGATTCCACCCCCCCCCCCCTTTCCGGCTTCTGGGGTCACATCCGGGGATGTTCAGGAGTAACTCTGGTAACTTTGGCTCCGCACTCAGGAATGACTCCTGGCGGTGCTCGGGGGACCCTATGGGATGCTGGGGATCAGACCCGGGTCAGCCACGTGCAAGGCAAACGCTCTCCCCGCTGTGCTATAGCTCTGGCCCCATACGCAGCTTGATTGAAAAACGCACACACAAAAAAAACACACCAGGGGCTGGAGCAATAGCACAGCAGGTAGGGCGTTTGCCTTGCACACGGCCAACCCGGGTTCAATTCCCAGCATCCCCCCCAGCACCGGCAGGAGTAAATCCTGAGTGCACGGGCCAAGAGTCAGCCCCGTGCATCGCTGGGTGTGACCCACAAAGCAAAACAGACAAACAGACAAACAAACAAACACACTGTTGAAAACACATAGGCTGGAGCCAGGGAGATGGTGCAGGCGCGAGCCAAGCTTAGCAGCATACGGTCTCCTGGGGGACCACCAGGAGCATCCCGGGAACCGAATACTCCCAAGCCCCAAAGGAACCCCCCTCCCGTGCCCAGCCTGGCCCGAGCACAGCCCAACCCTCGGCCAATCGAGGCTGGCTCTGACTTGCGGGGACTGTGCTTGGCATCACAGAGCTCGATCTTCGCCTGCGGCCACTGGCGGTGAAAACCGCGGGGTCAAGAGCGGTTCCCTTTGGAAGGAGCCCCGCCACCGCCCCCGGCCGTCCAGACAGGACGTCATCAAACAGGGGCGCACGCTCCAGTTCTGGGTGTGCCCCCGGACAAGCGCCGGAGAAGCCGGGGTTAATGCTCGGAGGCACAGCACCGGCCTCGGACGCGGGCCCCCGGGTTCAGTCCTTGGCATCACGCCAACCTGGGAGGCCGAGCGGCTTTTGACTATCGCCGAGGCTCAGACCGCTTGCTTGGCTGCAACGTCACACACCGATGATGAGCCGAACCAGCCCTCCGCCCCTTCGGTGAAGAGGATTCAGCTTCCTCACGCAGCACCCCGGCCAGGACCAGGGGAAGGGGGCACAGGAGGCCTCCTGGAAGCAACGGAGTTTCGCTGGGCACCTGCGGCCCTCTCCTCCTGGCAGAAAACCTTAGCGATTTTATTTTTTTTTGCCTTTTGGGCCACCCCCGGTGGCACTCGGGGCAGGATTCAGGGACCTGGGTACGGGCAAACGCCCTCCTGGGCTGTATGAGCGTGCTGAGCCCGTTACCTTTTTGAACATACAGTCGGAGCCTAAGAACAACAACGGGGAGAAGTTTTGTTTTTTTTTTGGGGGGGGGTGGGGGAGAAGCGAGAGACCCAGGCACGCAAAATCCCGCAACCGTGACCTGGATGGAGGTGGGGCCCCGGGGAGGGAAGGGGGCGGCCGGCCGGCAGTACCTTTCCCACCTCTCTTGGTCATCCTCCTGCAGGACGATGCCTCCAAGGCAATGCCCATCTCGTCAGGGTCCAGCCCTTCTTCCTTCACCGCCTGCGGGGGGGGGGAGGGGAGGTCGGCACGGGCAGCCCAGGAGCAGGCACGGCGCTCGCCCTGCCAGCAGCGCCCCCCCCACGGGCCAACCGGGGCTCCCGCTTCCCGGGCGCAGGACGGTCCCATCCCCGAAGGCCCTGCCTGGGACGCCGAGGGGGCGCGTGGCGTCCCCCCAGACCCCGAGGACGGGAGGGCTGGCGGTGGTGGGGCTGGGGGCCTGGAGTGGAGGTGGGCGACGGCCACAGAGCCGCCCCCCACAGTGGTCTGGGGGGACCGATCGCAGGGGTCGACGGGGGACGAGCCCATCTAGACCCACACGCAGCAGGGATGGCCGGAGTGGACGCGGCCGACCCATAAAAGGGGGCGACAGGCACGTGTGTGTACGAGGGCCCGGGGGATCAGAGGTCCACCCGAGGGTGCGGACGAGGGGTCCCACACACACACAAGAGGGGGGAGTGTTCGGATGGGGGGTCCCACACACACATGAGGGGGTGACCAGAGTGTTCCGATGAGGGTCCCCCCCACACACAAGAGGGGGTGACCAGAGTGTGTGGGGGAGGGGCGTCTCCATCCACAGGTCTCCGGGGTGGGGGTCCCCCCCACACACACGTGAGGGGGGGCGACCCGAGTGTTCGGATGTGAGGGGGACCCGCACATCACGGGGTGTCCCGAGCGAGCGAGCGAGCCTGTGGGGGAGGGGCGTCCCCATCCGCGGGTCTCCGGGGTCGGGGTCCCCCACACAGGAAGACCTGAGTGGACGAGGGGTCCCACACGCACACAAGAAGGGGGTGACCGGAGTGTTCGGATGAGGGTCCCACACGCACATCACGGGGTGACCGGAGCGAGCGAGCGAGCGAGCCGGCGTGGGGGAGGGGCGCCTCCGTCCACGGGTCTCCGGGGTGGGGGAGTGGGGGGTCCACACCTGCGGGGCTCGACCCGGACGGGGCCGGTTTCAGGCTCCGCCCGGGGGGGGGGCGCGGGGGGGGCGACGCTGTGGGCGTCGGTCGGGGCGCGCGGGGGGCGGCCGGTCCGGCTGAGGCGGGGCCGCGCCCCCCGCGAGGGTCCCCCCCAAGGTCACCCCGGCGGGCGCGGGGCCCGCCTCGGCCCCCCCGCCCGCCGCGTCACCTTCTTGAGCCGCTCCATGAGGGCGCTCTTGTTGCCGCCCGCGTCCAGGTTCCGCCTCTTGAGCTCGGCGCGCAGGTCGATCACGCGCAGCTCGCTCAGGCGCCGCGTCCCGGCCTCGGGCGCGCCGGGGCTGCCGGCGGCCGCGCCACAGGCCGAGTCCCCGGACGCCGCCGCGGCCTCCGCCATGCCGGGCCGCGCCCGCCGCGCCCGCCGCCGCCCGCCCCTCCGCGGCTCGCCCCGCAGCAGCAGCAGCAGCGCCGGCGGCGGGAGCGGGTCCGCGCACAAAATGGCGCCGCCGAGCCGGAAAAACGCCGCCGCCGCCGCCGCCGCCGCCGCCGCCGCCGCGACCGTCCGCCCCGCCCCGGCCCGCCCCGCCTTCCGGCCGCGCCTGCGCGCGCGCCCGCCTCGCGCCTCCGCCAACCGCAGGGCCGCCGCCGCCGCGCGCAGGCGCCGTCGCGCCGGGCGCCCGCGAGGGCCCGCGCGCCTGCGCAGCCGCCTCGGCCCGGGGCGGGCGGGCGAGAGAGGGGGCGGGGCGGAAAGGGCCGCCCGGCCGCGCCTGCGCAGAGGCGGGCGGGCGCGCGCGGGAGGGGGCGGGGCGAAGAGGCCGCCCGGCCGCGCCTGCGCAGAGGCGGGCGGGGCGCGCGCGCGAGGGGGCGGGGCGGAAAGGGCCGCCCGGCCGCGCCTGCGCAGAGGCGGGCGGGCGGGCGCGGGTTGGGGGCGGGGCGGAAAGGGCCGCCCGGCCGCGCCTGCGCAGAGGCGGGAGGGCGCGCGCGCGAGGGGGCGGGGCGGAAAGGGCCGCCCGGCCGCGCCTGCGCAGAGGCGGGCGGGCGCGCGCGGCAGGGGGCGGGGGCGAAGCGGCCGCCCGGCCGCGCCTGCGCAGAGGCGGGCGTGGGGGCGGGGCGGCGGCCGGAGCGGGTCCCTGGCAGGCGGCGCCATTTTGTGCGCGGCGCCCGCCATCGCTCCCGCGGCGCCGGCCCGGTCCTCGCGCGCGGCAGGGGAGGGGGCGGCGGGCGGCGGTCGGGCGGGCGGGCGGCGGCGGCGGCCGGGGCCCCGGGGATGGCGGAGCCGCTCTCAGGCCTCGGCGACCCGGGCGCGGCGCTGGGCTCCGCCTCGTGCGAGGCCGGCGGGACGCGGCGCCTGAGCGAGCTGCGCGTGATCGACCTGCGCGCCGAGCTCAAGAAGCGGAACCTGGACGCGGGCGGCAACAAGAGCGCCCTCATGGAGCGGCTCAAGAAGGTGACGCGCGGCGCGACCCCCGGGGGGCGGGGGTGGGGGAGGGGCGGGGCGCCGCCTCGGGGGGCGCCCGGGCGGCCAAGGTCACCCCCGGGCGGGGGTCGCGCGCCCTCAGGCGCGGCCCGGCGGTTGCCTGGCGCCGGCCAACGGGCGCGGGCGTCCCTCAGGCCCGGGTGTCGCGTCGCGCCGCGCGCCCCGGGGGCCGAGGGGGGGAGGGGAGGGGGATCCTCACGGGGGGGAGGGGGTGCCCGGGCGGCGCCCACCGACCCACCGCGACTTCCGGGCCCGTCCCCTCGGCCGCGTGTGACTCGTCGCGCCGCCCCCCCGGACCCGTGGGGGGGTGGGATTGGGGGGAGACCCCCCTCCCCCGCTCTCTGGCTCCTGGGGGGGATGTGGGCGGTGGTCCCGGGACGGGGCGGGGGGGCGTCTGCCTGCCTGAACTTTCCCGCGCCCCCCGCCCCGGCGTCCCCGTCCCCGTCCCCGGGCCCGCGGCGTGACGTCACCGCCCCGGGCGCGCGCTTCCCCCCCCCCCCCGTTCCCGCCCGCGCGCGCGCCCCCCGTCGTGGTCGTTGTCGTCGTCTCCGGAGCCCCCGTTGGTGCGGGTCCCGCAGCTCCTGTCCACCCCCGCCCCGGGCTTCTGGCCCCGGGCCAGGTCCTCCCTCCTCGCCTCGCCTTCCGGGAGGCCGTTGGGATGCGGACGCTTGGGGGCGGAGCCTGGGAAGAGGCCCCCCCCCAGGGAAAGGCCGGGGGGACCGGGCTTGGGCCATCCTCGCGCCCGCCCGGCTCGAAGCGACCCTGCTGCGGACCCGGGGGGAGTGGGGGGAAAGGGGACGAGGCGGGAACAGCCGCCCAGGGCCAGCTCCCCGCCCCGCCGCCCCCTCCCCTTCCCCGGAGATGCAGTGCCCGATTGCCTCCCGGGAGCACCCCCGCGCCCTGCTCCCCGCTGGGAGCGGAGCAGATGGGGGCTGGCTGAGGGGGCGGGCCGGTGAGTGACAGGCGCGCGCGGGCGGCCGAGCAGATGCGGGGATCTGGGTCCTCCCTGAGGGGCGTCTCGGCCCAAGTGGGTGGGGGCGCGTGGTGGGGAGCGGGCAAAGGCCCCTCGGCTCCCTGGGCCACCGCAGAGGCCGGATGGCGACGGGGCTGGAGTCTGGGGAAGTGTGCGGACCTCGGCCTGAAGCCTCTCCTTGCAGAATCGGACGGTGCTGATTTTTTCTTTATTTTTTTCTTTTTATTTTTTGGCTTTTCAGGTCTCACCCGGCGATGCTCAGGGGTCCCTCCTGGCTCATGCATGCACCCAGGAATCGCTCCTGGCCGTGCTCGGGGGACCCTTTGGGATGCTGGGAATCGAACCTGTATTGGCCATGTTGGCTGGTGCAAGGCAAACGCCCTACCCGCTGTGCTATCGCTCCAGCCCCCATAACTTCGACTTCTGGTCAGCTGATTCCTTCCCCCAGGCCTGTGGTACTGAGCTAAATCTTTTTTCTTTTTTTTTCTTTCTTTTTTTTTTTTTTTGCTTTTTGGGTCTCACCCGGCGATGCTCAGGGGTCCCTCCTGGCTCATGCATGCACCCAGGAATCGCTCCTGGCCGTGTTCGGGGGACCTCATGGGATGCTGGGAATGGAACCCCGGCTTGGCCGCGTGCACGGCCAACAGCCCTCCCCGCTGCCCCTGATCGTATTTTTTTTTAAGGCCCTCGGGCTCTGGCTCCAGTGTCCTGGGGTTGGATCCTTGGCGTCCTCCCTCTCCCCCCCCGCCCCCCCCCCCCCCCCATGGCTCTGAGCACTGCTGGACTCCGTCATCGGTCACTCGGAGTGGCCCCTGTTAAAAGTCCATACGTGACTAACAAGTTACATATTTGAAATGAACCCGGTGGCGTTTATCTAGTGCTTACTTCGAAGGGATAAGAGAATTCCGCACAGGCTGAGTCCTCTTCGTGGCCCCTGGCTTTCAAGCGTGAACAGCAAACTCTGGCCCTTTGCTTTGGTCCTGGGGCCAGACCTGCTGGTAGTGCTCAGGGCTTACTCCTGGCTCTGTTCTTGGGGGGTCACTCCTGGCAGGGTGGGGGGGACCCTATGGCGTGTGGGGAATCGAGCCCGGGTTGGCCGTGCCCCTACCCACTGCCCTGTCTCTCTGGCCCCCAGGCTTGGAACCTTGAAAGGACCTGCCTGAAACCTCCTAGGGTGGCTGGTGTCGGTGTAGACTGATGAGCCAGTGAACAAATGGGGGAGGCCTCCGGGTCTGCAGCCCGAGCTGCTGGGAAAGGGCGTCTGCGCTGACTTAGTGAGTTGACTTCTGTTTTTCTTCTCCTCGTAGGCGATTGAAGATGAAGGGGGCAACCCGGATGAGATCGAAATTCCTTCCGAGGGAAGTAAGAAGTTAAAGAGATCCAGCAAAGGTATTGAGGGTTCTCAGTATGATGCCTTCTCCCCCTCTCTTCCCTTCGCTGATGTGGCTGGACAACTTGGATGTGTAAAGAGGGTCACGGGAGTCAGAGGGATAGGACCACTTGCCTTGCACACGGCCCACCTGGGTTCCGTCCCCGACATCCCATAGGGGTCCCGTGCACTCCACCAGGAGTGATCCTTGAGCGCAGAGACAGGAGTATCCCCAAGCATTGCCAGGTGGGGGCCCCCAAACAAGAAAATCATGGGGGACCTGGAGGGCCAAAGCTATAGCAAGCAGATAGTGCACTTGCCATGCTCTCTGACAGCTTGAATTGAATTCCCGCCGCCCACTATTGGCCCCTGAACCTGTCTGGAGTGACCCCTGGATACAGACCCAGGAGTCAGCCTGATGCCAGATGGGGCCCCAAAGCAAATAGACAATTCTGCATCTGCCACAAAAGAAAATTGTCTTCCACACATCAGAGCAGTGAAGAGGTTCAGGTGGTCCCACGCACTCTTCAGAGAACTTGAGGGGCTGGCAAAGTTTCACAGGAATGCAGACCAAGGGGCAAATGCCCACCCGTCCTGTCCTCTGAAGCCCCAAGTACCGGGATAGCAAAATCAAGGGGCTGGGATTGTCGCTCGGTGTCGGAGCAGTCTCCGTTGGCCCCAGAGCCTTGCCTTCAAAAACCAGCTGTCTCATAAAACCCACATTCCTTGTCCCATTGCTGGCCCTGGCCACCTGCCCCTTTCTCCGGCTCCTTTCTGCTTTCTCCTGCGGCCAGGCCCCTCCGTGTGGTTCCGTCCCTGGGGGACCTGCAGCCCCGCCCGCTCCGCTCCATCTGTTTGCATTCATTCCAGCCTCTGTCGTGGGGACCCCCCTTCTGCCCCCTTCGGAGCAGCTTGGATCCCACCAGGAGCCACGGGCCCTTGGTTCCCCGTGACCTATCGAGCGCTTGTTCCATGCTGCCCCGCGGTGGTGGCCAGACTTGGCGGGCCGGGGCTGCATCGCCCGGATCGCCTGTCTATCTGAGCTCCTGCTTTTAGGAGGACTCTGCTGATACAAGGTGTTGGGACTGTGCTTTGATCAGGCCCCAGAGCAAAACGAGATACTCATATTCCCCGGAGAGTGGTGAAGCGTCTGGGGCAGGCGCCATTTGTTTCCTGTCGGCTCCGGGAGACAGGTCTGAGGTTGAAAGCCTGTGGATCTGTGCTCCACGCTAGAGTGTGTGTTTGTTTTTTAAACTTTTTTTTTTTTAAATCTTAAAATTTTTAAAAATACAAGGCTGCTGTCCCTGCCGGGCTGGGTGTGTCCTCTGCTGAATTGGTATGCCTCGGACAGGTAGTGTTTGCAGATGCTCGGGGGATGGCCCATGGTGCTCAGGCCTTTGCTGTCCACGCAGGAGGCCGGGGTTCCATCCTCACACTACGTAGTTCGCTGGGCACGTGGCTCTCCGCCCCCAGGATATGAGAACAGTCAGAAATGAGCCTGAGAACTGGGGGGAAACAAATCAAGCCTGCCTGAAGGAGGACTCTCCATCCTCGAGGGGGCAGTTGCTTCATAAGCTGAAAAGCCAAGGCTTGACAACGTCCTGTCAGATAATAGACTTTAGGAGCTTTTCCAGAGAGTTGACTGAAGCCAAAAATGGCACGTTTAAGAAGCGCGATGTTAACTGATCTCGGGAAAGGTTTTCTAGGGATAAGGGTTTATTATTAGAAAGCTGTCAGTTCCCCTCAATGTAAATTAAAGAACATTTGGAAATTGTGCAGGGTTTGCAGATTGGTTCGCTGCAGAGGTAGCTGTGAAGGACTTTTCAGGACAGGGACTGGCATAGGGACTGGAGCCGTGGGACAGCGAGAAGGGCGTTTGGCTTTCACGTGGCCAACCCAGGTTCGGTTCTTACTGCCCCATAATGGTCTCCTGAGCACTGGCAGGAGTGATCCTGGAGCACAGAGTCAGGAGTAAGCCCTGAGCATCGCTGGATGTGACCCAAAACCAAAAAAAGAAAAGAAAAGATACCGGAATTGACGTTAAAGGGAGGGGAAAAGTTGTCTTCTTCCATAAAAGTTGCCTTCTCACCCCCAATAAACCTGAGATGAAATAAAAACTGAGGAAGTGTAAGAAAATGAACTTTATAACAGAAGGCAGCATAGTGCTCAAAGGGTTTAGTGCAGTCTCTGAAAACAGGGGCCTTGGGCTCTGTACTGACACTAGTAGCCCCCCACACACACTGTATTGTCGAGTGTGTCAACACCCGCCACTGTAGCACTGTCCTCCCGGTGTTCATCGATTTGCTCGAGCGGGCACCAGTAACGTCTCAACAAATTGTGAGACTTGTTACTCTTTCGGGCATATCGAATACGTCACGGGTGGCTTGCCGGGCTCTCCAAGAGGGGCGGAGGAATCGAAGCCGGGTCGGCCGCGTGCAAGGCAAACGCCTTACCCGCTGTGCTATCGCTCCAGCCCAACACCCCTCCCCCCAGAAAAATTTTAAGAAGGACCATGGGTAATTGAGACACAGCTGATGGAGGAAAATTCTAAGATGCGTTAGTACTCGGAAAGTGTTAATTGCTCTTTGAAAAAACTGTTAAGGAAGTCGTTTTGTCAATGCCATCGGAGAGCAAGGATGTTAAAGAGACAGGGGCACGGTGAAAAGCGAACAGGGCCTGTGTGTGGGTGGCGGGTCTGGGAGGGAATGGCGGCTTGGTGGGGGGTGAGTTAGTGACGCCGCTTTGGAGAACTTCGGGCATGACCCTCCGGGAAGGACGGAGGTGGAGCTGCACAGAGAGTAGGAAAACATTCCAGCCTGTGAGTGGCAGAAGCACGATCCCGAGGGTGTGGGCAGTGGGCTCTCCCCTCCCAGGCCAGCTGGGGTGCCCTTCTTAGGTGCCTGTGTGTGTTTCCTCTGGAAACGTCAGCCACTGGCTTCTGACCAGCCTTTGACTCCTTAAGTTGAGGTGGGTGGCCACAGAGATAGTGGAGTGGGTCGGGCTCTTGCTTTGCAAGCGGCCGACCAGCTTTCGGTCCTTGGTACTCCATCTAGTCCTCTGAGCACTGAGACGGGAATGGTTCCTGAGCGCAGCCGAGTATGGCCTCAAAATGAAAAAGTCGAGTGTGGAGGAGGGAGGGTCCATTTTCCTTCTCAGACCACAGAGGGAGCTCTTGCGAGTGAAGGAAAGTGAAAGGCACCCGTGTGTTTTGGGAGGGTCTCCCCAGCAGTGTTTGAGGACACTCGACCGTCCTCAGGCGTTCGTGCTGGGTCCCTCTGGTTCCAGGGGCTGGGCCAGCTGATGGGGAAGGCGATGTGGTGCCAGGCATGAATTTGGGGGCCTCGCTTATGCCAGGCTTGTGCTTCCAGGACCCTCTGAGCTCGCCCTCCAAGGCCGAGGGCAAAGTGTGTTGGGGGCATGGTTAGTGCCCCACCTGGCGGTGCTTGTTGGGAGGGGCCTGACCACATGTGATGCCGGGCATCAAGCTGTGGGGGTCAGCTGCTTGTAAGACAAGTGCCTCTTCCCAATGCTATTTTTCTTCAGCCCCCAAATGGGGGATGGTTACGGGCATTTTTGGTCAATTAGGTAACAGTAAATACTGGCTCTTCTGCATGCAGCAGGGCTGGGCAGGGCCGAGGTGACCCAACAGGTGAATTGAGACCAAGTGCAGAGTCAGAGGCTCAGTGGAGAAAGGAAGAGACGGAATCCCCGCCGCTGGGCCTGGCGGCAGGAGCAGTGCCGAGCCCGGGCCTGTAGTGGAGCCACCGGCGCGGCATCGAGGGGTCCCTTCAGGTCTTGGAGACAGATGGTGGCAGGCGTTTTTTGCCAATGTTCTTTCCCGCCCGATTAACATTGGGTTGGTTTAAACATAACTCTGTTTTACGTCAACCCAAAGGCGGCCTGCTTCCTAGGGCGTGCTGTCTGAAGGTCATATTCTTGGACCCCGGGTGGCTCAGGGCTGCAGCCCCTGCCAGCACTTAGCCCAGAGCTCATGCGACACTCAGCGAGCGGGACCCGCGGCTGAATCATGTGTCCCCAGCTTGGCGTAGAAGCCTGGTCATTGCCGCATCGTGAGGGGACAGGAGAGTAGAGGGAAGACACCCTCAGCCTTTTAAAAGCTGCTCTTTGCCGTGCCTAATGGGTTCCGGCTCCCGTAAAGCTGAGTGACTGCGTATGCGAACTCTTGGATTAAAAGCCAAACTTGAAAAGGTGGGAGCAGGGAGAAACGTTTCTTTCTCAAAAGTTGTCTAAAACGAAACACTCGGGAGGTCGTGCACTGGCTGGAGCACCTGCTTTCAGCTCGGCTCCTAGCCGGGATGATTCCTGGGTGCGACCTGAGTGCTGTGGCCACTCTCCTCACCTCACCTCCCGCCCCCCCATTTGGCATTTGGTCCACTTCTGTGTGCACAGAGCCGACTCCTGGTCTGTGCTCAGAGAATCACTCCTGGTGGTACAGGTGGAGTTGGCGGCGTGTAGGGCAAAAACCCATGGACTATCTCTCCAGTCCGTGTCTTTCCCCTCAGCTTTTAAAATGTGATCCTTGAAAGTGTTTAAAGCCTTTGTTACTCCTTTTAAAAATTTTGGGCCACACCCAGGTGTGCTCAGGGCTTACACTTCTCTTCAGGTTCAGAGATCACTCCTGGCAGGGTCAAGGGACCGTGTGGGGTGCCAGGGATTGAGTCTGGGTCAGCTGCATGCAAGGCAAATGCCCTCCCTGCTGTCCTGTCGCTTTGGCCCCTTCAGTGTATTTTCTTACCCTCAAATTATCATCGTCTTGAAGAAGGACCCAAAGTTTAGCTGCCAAAACTTAGCTGTTCATGCCAGTTCACTTTTGTTTCCTTCTAGCTGATTTTTAATTCCTTTAAAAGTATCTAATGCTGTGTAATTAATCCTGGGACAAGAATAGCAGATCGGTCGTACAGATGTACAGAACATAAATCACAGTTATTAATGTCTGACACGTAAGAACGTAAGACGACCAGCATTTCAAGTGAGCAAGTGGGAGAAGGGCTGAATGGTGCTGGGAAATAGCGTTTGTTGGTCATTTGGAAAATAATTCATACGGTACAAGAGGGGAAGAATAAAACAGTGACCTAAAAACAGACGTCGGTGGACATGCACGAGTAAGACATTTGCCTTGCATGCAGCCTACCTGGGTTTGATCCCTCGCACTGCACAGGGTCCCTGGAGCACTACCAGGACTGATCCCTGAGTGCAGAGCCAGTAGTAAGCCCTGAGTATCCCTGGGTGTGACCCAAAAAACTTGGAGAAAAAAGACCAAAAGTAAAATTTTTTAGAAAGAAAAGCAAGTACTACATATTTTAGTGTGGGAGTTTCTAGGTAAAGGGTAAAACTCATTTGGGCAGACAAAAGTGATGGGCTGTGGAGAGGACGCATAGGACTGGACACAACCCAAGTTTGGTCCCTGGCACCAACCCAAGTTTGGTCCCTGGCACGAAGCATGTTGTCCCGAGCACCGCTGGGTGGGGCGCTTAACAAAACCAAACCGAAAAGCTGATTAATAGCCTGGCTGCCCGAAAGTTTGGCTTCCTCAAAACCCACAAGCCAAAGATCCTCAAGAATTCAGAGGAAAGGCTTAACCTGACTTGAAGAGTGAAATGAGGAGAGATGCAGCATTTTCAAGTGGGGAAAGGATGGGAAAGAGGAAATGGCACAGATGTGATGATTAACGCCACGTTGAACCTAAGCGGCGGTCGGGTCAGTCCTAGCCCTTGTGTCCGGATCCACAGGCTTCACCACAGCTTGCTCCACAGCTTCCCACTTCCCTGCTGGGGGGTATCCTCGGTGTCGGCCTCCAGAGTGCTGAAGGAGTGAGGGGGGCCGCCTCTGGGAAGCACACGCCATTGACCTGTGGCCTCCAATGATCTCTGCAGGGCGGAAGCTTGAGGAAGAGGGTGTGGAAGATAACGGCCTGGAGGAGAACTCCGGAGATGGCCAGGTGTGTGTCCCGCGGTTGTGAGCCCACGGGGTGCAGGGGCGACAGCGGGCCCTGGGTGATGGCGTTCCTTCCTGTGTCAGGAGGACGTGGAGACCAGCTTGGAGAACTTACAGGACATCGACATGATGGACATCAGTGTGCTGGACGAGGCTGAGATCGACAACGGCAGCGTGGCCGACTGTGTGGAGGACGATGACCCCGACACCCTCCCAGAGTCCCTGTCTGACAGTCAGGACGCCCTGGAGAGCGAGATGCAAGAGCTTCCCGAGCGGCTTCCAGAACATGCTGTAGGTGACCTGGCAGGGCGCTGTCCAGCACCGCCCTCGTGTTCCCCGCTGGGCGTGCAGTGGGCTTTTTGGTGCCGGTTGGGCAGGAGAGTCAGCGAGGCGGAACGTTCTCGAGTTAATTGGGAAGTGCCAGGCCTTGCGAGCCAGGGGTTTGGGAGTCCAGCTCGCACCAGGCATTCGTCTGGTGGCCTCACCAGCAGGTTTGGCCTCAGTGGGCCGGGTGAGGGCGTCTTACCCAGAAAACAGCTCAGGGTGTAGGCGGGCATTCCGGCCTAATGCTGGTGGCCCTTTTCTAAAATGCTGTTCAAAGCCTTCTAGTTACCGGAGGCTTGGGGACACTGCCGTGGCTGTGCAAATGGGCGAGTTGGTGCTGTGACCTGATTCTGAGGTAGATTCTAGAGCGGAGGCCTCCACTCTGGTGTTTCCGTCTGTGCCTGTCCCCTCTCTCTGCTAGACGGAGACTTTCAGTTTCTTGCTGTTTTCTTTGTTTTCATTTTGGAACCAAATCTAGTGGTGCTCAGGAGTTACTCCCGGCTCTGCGGTGGGGGGCCGTGTGGGAAGCCAGGAATGGACACGGCAAATGCTCTCCCCGCTGTGCTGTATCTCTGGCCTCAGATGCGGTTTTGTGTTTGTTGGGGTCTCAGCACAAGAGCCTTTCTCCGGGGCCCTCTTAGCCTCGCCGAAGGTCTGCCTGTCTCTCATGAGACGGCTCGCAGTCAGATAGGCTTGGGGGTACAGTGCTGTCGTGATGCCCACCCTGCGTTTAGAATTTTGTCACGAGCCACTCTCTTGTCTTTTTACTCTTCGTTGATGCGTATCCTGTTCTGTGACCCCGTCGTCGTAACGGTCTCTTCTGTTTTCTCTGCAGGTGGAGGACAAAGATCTAAACAATTTAGACACGTCATCATCTGACTTCACCATCTTACAGGTAAATTGTTGTATGTCTCAGTCACTTAGACGCAGGTTAGAGTCCAGCTGCTGGGAATCACTCCAGGATGGCATTCCACCTCGGAGGCGACGTCCTCCTTACCTCTTAGCATCTTTGGAGGGAATCTTGCTGCTCCCGTCTCCCAGATACGCCCTGTCCACAGCCAAGGCTTTGTACCTCGGCCTCTCCTGCCTCCCAGCATGGTGCCTGGCCTGGGGAGGCTCTCGTTCACCGGACTGTCGGGGAGAAAGGTCCTTCGCAGGAAGGAAGACGGCCTGTGGCGTGTCCCTGTGCAGCCCCGGAGCGGCCGGGGCCCTGAGCACTGCCAGGAGAGGTGGCCGCTCAGAGCCATTTGCGGACAGCGTGCACTTCTCCCTGGGTGACTGTCCTATCCTCATGGTTGTCTTGTTGCCCTCTTAGATGAGAACGGGTGAGATGTGGACTAACTTGCAGGTATGATTTGCGTATATGTGGATTTATTTCCTTTCAGTTTTTCTGCCCGACTCTAAACTGGAGGCGTAAACTGGCATGACCAGTTCGTTTTCTCTCTCGCTTCCTTTGGGGATGGCACCTTGAACTGCCAGGTGGCAGTTGGCCAGGGATCAAACCCAGGGACTTCCACCTGCGGGATGCTCATCTGTGCAGAAGCCACAGCGCTGACTCAGGGTAGAGCATTTCCAGTAAGGAGCCTTATGAGAGATGAAACTCAAGGAGGCCCGGTGTGGGTCTTCTGCAAGGGGGCCGGACAGAGGGGGCTCCCGGGGGTCGCTTGGGTTCTCTAGGGCCACCGCTGATAGTGTTCAGGAGGCCATATGGTGCTGGGGATCAGGTGCGTGGCAGGCGCGTGCCAGGCTTGGGCCAGAGCACTGTGCCGTCTCCTGGCCCCTTTGCGAGGGGGCGCGGAAGTCAGGGCCTTCCCACGTGAAGCCTGCGTCGCCCGTTGAGTACAGCCTTCACCCTGTTCGGGTTTGCAGTAACGTCGCTTGTGATCTGAGGGTCCAGGGTTCAGGTCAGTGTTGGTCCTTTTCCTTTAGGAGCTGGAGCATAGTACAGCGGGGAGGGCTTTTCTCTTGCATGTGTCCGACCCGGGTCCCTGGCACCCCGTGTGGTCCCTGAGCCTGCCAGGAGTGGTCCCCTGAGTGAAAACCCAGGTGTAAACCCTGAGCACCATCAAGTGTGGCCCCAGATCCAAAATAATGTTCCTGTGTTGGCTCTCACAACGGAGTGCCACTTGCTTCTGCCGGGCAGGGACACGGTTGGTGATCGTGACCCTGAACCCCAGCCCTGACGGCGCGACCCTCAAGATGCCTTTGTGTTCGACTCGCCTTGGCCGGGACGGGGCGTGGCCACTGAGCACCCCTTGCGCGTGTGAGACTCCGGGTTTGAGCCCCAGCCCCCGCGCTGCCTTAGGCAAGCAGGGCTCATGCCTCTGGATAGTGGCGACAACTGGTGCAGGTTGCCACAGCTGGTGCTGTTCCTGTTCTCTGGCTGCTTTCTAGGTCATAGGCTCCGTGGCCACTTGGGTGGGGCTTAACCCCTCCCTGACACCGCAGGAGTATCTGTGGTTTCCTCTCGAGAAAGTTCTGCCTACAACTTTGCTTTCGTGCCAGTTTCCGTTCTCCGCGTGTGGGGCGTGTTTTGAGCGGGTAGTGAAAGGGTGAGGGAAAGTGCACGTGTGGGCCCGTCTTCTGGAAGATCGGGGGACCCTGGGAGGAAGGGAGCACTTTCCCAGGGCCACCCGCAGTGGCCACCAGCGCCCTACGTGGCCGACCCACCGCGGTAACGGAGGCGCCCGAGGGTAGCCTGTGCACTCCAGCTCGCAGCCCAGCAAGCATCTCTACCCCCAAAAAACCCTCTCGGAAAGGAAAGGCCCTGGAGGGGCCTGCACTGGGGCCAGCCGCGCCCCTCCAGCTCCGTCTCAGCACTTGGTTCTGTGCGTCTGAGAACAAGTTTGTCGAGTGGTCGGCGCCAGCCTTCAGGAGCTGCAAGAAGGGGATCTGAATAGAACCTCTTGTGAGGGCCCCCGGGGCCCCTACGTGGAGACTAGGCAGGGTCAGAGTGCTCAGGCCTCAGTGGGGTCCTTTGGTTAGCTGGTGCCATTGCACCCATCGAGGAGGCCATTCTAGAGATGTTCCAGACTTGGAGGCTTCGGGGACGTGTAAAAGCGGTCGGTGCCGGAAGTGGGGGAATACGGCTGGGGTGCAGGTTCCTAGGAGGAGGGAAGGCTTCTGCCGTGATGAGCGATGATCAGGTGGCAGCCAGGGGAGGAGCAGGGGACCCTGGGGAGGCCCCCCAATACCGGCAGCAGGGCCGCGCTACTGGAGAAATAGGGGTCCGACTGTCGGTGCCTCTACCCTCTGCTCAGATTTGCTGAAACCAGCTGTCCGATAAGGGCCATAGCGGGGTGTTGCTAAGTGTCTGTCGGGCGGCCTTTTAAGCAGTTACGTCAGAAAGGCAAACGTCCTCCAGGCAGGAGTGAAAAACGCAAGCGGGTTCCAGGGGAGGGGTGGGGGAGGCCTTCCCTTGCGCACGGGGTCTCCACAGGCCTGTCTGCGTGTCTTGTTCCTAAGACGGGCTGTTGAGCCATTGGGCCTTCTTCCCCTGGCACCGGCTTACATCTCTCTTTTGTTGCAGGAGATTGAAGAGCCTTCCCTGGAGCCAGGTACTGTCCAATGAAACCCTTACCAGCGGGGGTTTGGCACCATTCTAGCTTCCCACCTTCTTTAAGTTGAATTCTTGGATTCGAGAGAGTTCCTTAGCGTAGCGTCCGTTGTCCGAGAGGTGTGCCATCTAGAACCTCCCAGGATCATAGAGATTGGAAACCCAGCCATATCACCAGATCTGTGACGGGGCGGCTCGCTTCTCACCCAGCCAAACTGGCCAGTGAGGTGGAGTCATCTCACGCCTTTTCCGTGTCCTGGGCACCTAAACCTGCATTTACGCGAGAGCTTCACGCCTCCGGAGAACCACTGTCTCCGCAGCCCTCAGAGCAGATCTTGTGATATCGGGCGTTAGCGTAACTCGGGGGCGTTTAACCCGGGCAGTGCAGGCAGTGGCAGGGAGCGGCGTGTTGGACCGTGGACTCGACTGGATTCCGAAGAGGGAAGAGTCGCATCACGAGAATTCCAAAGCAATGCTAATCGCTCTCTGGACTCCAAATATCTCAGAGCAACCAAGAGAAGAGATTTCTGGTGGTCATGTTGGACTGGTCTGTTAAAAGAGAAACAAAGGAAGTTGGAAGTTGCGCAGCTCAGTGATCGGCGACACATTCAGTTAAGCCACTTGGACTTTGGAAGCCAAACGCGGAAGAGTCACGGCCGAACGACAACAGAACGAAGAGCGTCAAGAATCAGCCAGAAGGTTTTGGGGGTTAAATCTCTGGGATGCTTTGCTCTTCCGCGTAGCGGGTAGCGTAGGGGCCGCGCCGGCGCCGGCGGGTCGATCGGTCCGTCGGCCGGTCGGCCGGCCGGTCCGTCGGCCGGAGCGCAGGTAGGGCCCCAGCGTGAGCGTGTCCCGTGGGTTTTCCAATCTCTGTGTAGCTAGCAGGTCTCTCGGTGTTAGCGTGGCAGCCGTGCCCGTGCCGCAGTTGTGATTGCTTTATTTCCCTGGTCATTAAACCTTGTGCCATTCTATTCCTGTTAAATCCGTAGAAAATGAGAAAATACTCGGCATTTTGGGGCAAACTTGTAAATCTGAGCCAGTAAAAGAAGAAGGTTTCGAGCTGGAGCCGCCATTGGCACAGGACACGAGTAGCGTGGGGCCAGACAGAAAGCTGGCGGAGGAAGAGGACCTTTTTGGCAGCGGCCACCCGGAGGAGGGTGACTTAGATTTGGCCAGCGAGTCACCGGCACGAGCTCAGTGGAGCAAGGCAGACGCCCTGTTAGCGGTAGTGAAAAGGGAGCCCGTGGAGCAGACAGGCGCTGGCGAGAGGACGGACTGTGAAGCCGTAGGGCTAGACCAGCCAGTTGAGGCCCAGAGTAGTGACGCCTCCGAGCCCGCGGACGCCTCTAGCGAGGAGGCGGCGGAAACGGCCCGGGAAGCCTCGAGCCCAGAGCCCAGAGATAGCAAAGACGACGTGAAGAAGTTTGCTTTTGAAGCTTGTAACGAAGTCCCTCCGGCTCCTAAAGAGTCCTCAGCCAGTGAGGGCGCTGAGCAGAACACGAGGTTTGTCTCTTCTCAGTTCTAGACCAGACGCTATCTCCTTTTCACGGGGCGTTTCATGACACACATAAGCCGTTCGTTGGCTGCGATTGGCCCGCCCGCCTGACGAAATTCTAGTTTACTGCTAAAGAATCTTTCGTTTCTCTTTTATTTAAAACTGATTACGTGGTCTCTTTTTTCCCCCTTCCCTTTTCTCAACCTTTCACGGTTGTTTTCTTTAATTCTTCCTGATTGTTTTTCGCCCGGCAGAATTAATTAACTCCTGTGGGTCTGAAATCTTACGGTTAGCTCAGATTTCCATTGCCAGTATGTTGGGGTGTCATGTTTTTCAGAGTTAAGTTTCGGGTAGGTATGCAGCTTCAGCACGCGTTTGCTCATTTTGAGTTGGTTTCCGCCCCCCGCTTCCCTCCCGAGTGACGCTGTCTTTTGTCTCTAGCTCTGTGGAAGATGACTCGGGTCCGAAAAGGCTCTCCAAGGAGGAAAAGGGTAGGTGTGGGCAGCGCGTGTGGCGGAGGGGGCCCTCCCCTCCTCTGCTCTTTGGCCGCCGGTCCGGGCTGGGGCTTTGCAGGCCTTCGGGCGTGCCTGTCGTTGGGGCAGACCCTACAGCCTTGTCCAAACATGCTTGTGGGGCTGGAGAGCTCAGGGGTTAGCGCACTTGACGTGCACGCAGCCAACTCGGGTTCTTTCCCCACCACCCGTTGGGTTCCCCAGCACAGAACCAGGAGTGAGCCCTGAACCCTGCCCGGTGTGACCCCTCAAACCAAAAAAAGTGACATGCCAGTGGAGAAATGGCTTTATGATTTTAGACGGTTTTAAGGATTTACCCCAGCACAGCCCTTCACCAAAAGGTCCAGAAAGGGGCTGGAGCGAATAGCACAGCGGGGAGGGCGTTTGCCTTGCACGCAGCTGACCCGGGTTCGATTCCCAGCATCCCATAAGGTCCCCTGAGCGATTCCCGAGTGCAGATCCAGGAATAATCCCTGTGCGTCGCCGAGTGTCATCCAAAGCGCAAAAAAGAACGTCCAGAAAGTGCCGGGCCTGCTGCAGGTCCTCTTTCCTCAGAGTTCTTGAAAGCGGAAGCACCAGGCGTGGTCTAAGGGGTCTAAAGAGAAACACAGCCAGGGAGAGACAACAGCCACGGTGCTGCAGAGGCTGCTCGTTCTCTGCCAGGAGACTCCCCTTGGCTGCTCGAGCCCTTTGCAGGTCCCTGGGGACGCCTCGGGCCAGGGAGGCCCAGCGTTGCAGCCATCCTGTGGGCCCGGAGCGGGTTGCAGGGTCACGCGAGGCCCGGCCCGCCTTTCTCACCTGAGAGGCGCGCCCTTGGGAATCGTGTTTCTGACCAGGGTTTTCTTCCGGAGCAGGTCGTAGCAGCAGTGGCCGGAACTTCTGGGTCAGTGGCCTCTCCTCCACCACCAGAGCCACGGACCTGAAGAACCTCTTCAGCAAGTACGGGAAGGTACGCGCTAGGGCCCCTGAGCGAGGCGCTGTGGGCAGCCCTGCCGTCCAGGGCCCTTCAGTCACGCCCGGGGCCGGCATCAGCCGCTCTTAGAGTCACCCTTGCAGAGTCACCCTTTCCTGCTCTCTAAGCGTCACTTGCCTTTTCCGAGTCTCTGTCTGGGGCTCCAGCTGCGGGTAGTGTCAGGTGTGGCTGGTGTGGAGGCCCCGGGGCCTGTCGCGCAAGGCTCCTCCTCGTGTCCCCCTGCCCGTGTGCTCTCTGCCGCCTCAAAGGGGCACGTGCTGGGCCTGGGTGGGGCTCAGGTGGTCGAGTCCGCACCCAGCATGCACACAGCCCTGAGTTCCGTCCCTGGCGTTGGGCTCGGGTTCAGCTCCTGCCGATCACCGGTCGGGGTGGCTCAGCAGATCCTGAGCACTGCTTGAAGTTCCCCAAGCACAAGCAATCCGAGCTGTGCCATGGCCCTGGGGTTCCGTCCCGTGCATCTGCCTCCCGCACCCACGTTCTCTGCGCCCCTTCTAGGGTGATGCTCCTGGCCCCTCGGGAGCTCCCCTGCCTAGGGATGTGCTTATACAAGCTTTGTCCCATGTAGGGGTTCAGCACATTGAAGCAAAACTGGGGGTCGGGGCAAGCTCAGAGGGTCCGAGGGCGATTCCTGGCACCGTGTGGTCGCGGGAGCCGCTGAGCATGGCTGGGTGCGACCCTAAAATGCAGCGCAGAGACCGGGAAGCCGTGGAGAGTGGGGGCGCGTGTCATTGCATGTGAGGCCCCAAGGCCAGGCCCTCTACGTTCAGCCCATTTCCCCGCACCCCCACTCACTGTTCTGTCCACCTGTCACAGCCTCTCCAGGCCTGAGTCCCGTTGTCAGCCTGCACTGTGGGCGTGTCCCTGGAAGGACACCCCAGTCTCCCGGCCCTCCACCAGGAAAAGGCAGTGGGAGTTACTTGGTATTGATGGGCACGGGCTGGCATGAACCACTGGAATTACGTGGTCAGAGCCGCCAGTGGACAATCTGAGGTGGACCCTTAAGGCACGAGGGTGCTGTCAGCAGGGAAGTGGCATCTCGGAGCCCGCCCGCCCGCCACCCTTGGGGTGCCCTGCAGACTTCCCGAGACATGCGTGGGGACCCGGTCGCGCTGGGTCCTTTGCACCTGAGGCTCCCCGAGTGCCTTGCCCACAGTGACTCCTGGCCCCGGGAACTGGACTCAGTCCGGGGGTGCCTCTCCCCATGTCGGCTTGCTGCGTGGTTGTGAATGGGCACGGGCGTACGTTGCCTGCGTGCTCCCAGGGCTGATGCGGCCGTGGGGGTCCAGACTGCAGCGTCATTTCCAGGGCTCCCCAAGCGGCCCGTCAGCCGCAGCCAGCCACGCTGCTCCCCGGTCTGCATCTCCCACTTTGGGGGGACCCGGGGTGGGCTTTCCTCTCAGCCCCGCTCCCGTCTGAGCCTCCTTGGCTGCCTTCCTTTGAGGTGGTGGGCGCCAAGGTGGTGACCAATGCCCGGAGCCCGGGAGCGCGCTGCTATGGCTTTGTCACCATGTCCACGGCTGAGGAGGCCACCAAATGCATCAGCCATCTCCACAAGACCGAGCTCCACGGGAAGATGATCTCCGTGGAAAAGGTGAGGGGCGGCTGCCCACGGTGGGGGCCGGGGGGGAGCTCCTCGGCGGGGCCCGGGACGGGGTTTCCTCATGGCTCTTTCCTCAGGCCAAAAACGAGCCGACTGGCAAGAAAGTCTCCGAGAAGAGAGAGGGCGAAGGCAAGAAGGAGAAGGCCAGCGACAGGTACTGCTGACCCCGGGGCCTGCCGCCGCCCCTTGCTCCCCGTACGGTTGCTGGGGCCCCCCTTGAGTGCCGACTCCCGCTCACTCCCGCCAGGGCCCCGCATGTTCCTTCCAGATCCACAAAGGACAGAGTGGACCGAAGGGATGACGCCAAGAAGGGGGACGACGGAGACAAGAGCAAAGATCAAGACGACCTGAAGCCCGGCCCCTCGGAGCGCTCGCGCTCCACCAAGTCAGGTAGCCGTGGCCCTTGCGCTCGGCCTCCCTCCCCGGGCTGCGTCCCTCCCCGGCGGCCGGGTGGGTGCCGGTGTGGCGGGCTCTCACCCCAGCCGCCGCCTCCTGTCCTGCAGGAAGCCGAGGAACTGAGCGCACAGTGGTCATGGACAAGTCGAAGGGCGTGCCTGTCATCAGTGTCAAAACGTCAGGCTCCAAGGAGAGGGTGAGGCGTCCCTGCTGGCGCGGGATTGCAGAGTGGTCAGACTTGGGGGCTGAAGCGACAGCACAGCGGGGAGGGCATTTGCCTTGCATGCGGCCGACCCGGGTTCGATTCCCAGCATCCCATATGGTCCCCCGAGCACCGCCAGGAGGAACCCCTGAGCATCACCAGGTGTGACCCAAAAAGGAAAAGAAAGGGAAAAAAAAGTTGAGCAAAGCCTTCCTTGTCCGCACTGAGAGAGCTTGAGCTGTGTGTTTGTGTGTTTCTACGTATAACACAGACAAGAGGCCCGGAGCTGTCACTCTTGCCTGCTTGCAGCTGGCCCAGGTTCGCTCCTCGGCACCCCATGTGGTCCCCTGACGCTGCCAGGAGTGATCCCTAACACAGAGCCAGGAGTTAGCCCTGAGCACCGCCAGGTGTTGACCAGGAGAACCAGAACAGCCTACAAATATCATGCTTTCTCTTCATGCTTTGCTTATTCTAAACCTGTGGTTTCAGAGGGGGTGGGGCCTCCGCAGTGCTTAGGACGTAGTCCTGGTTCTGCTCATAAGTGATCTCGGGCATAAGAACTGTTGGACAATCAAGCCCGGGCCGCCTTTGCACGTGCCAAGGGTCCTAATCCCGGAACTGTCTTTCCAGTCCTCTGGATCTTATTTTATAACTGAGTTTTGGGGGCCACAGAGATAGTACAGTAGGGGCTGACCTGGGTTCACTTCCCAGCACTCCTGAGTGCAGAACCTCTTCTGGGCCTGATTGCCTCGGTCCCCTGAGCCAGCCCACCGTCAGTGCAAGCCGTGGTGTGACCCCGTGTGACCCAGCACCTTCCCAAGCGGCCAGTCCCCTCTCGTCTTGGACTCTTGGCACTTTTTTTTAAATTATTTTATTTTCACAAAGTAGTTCACAATAGTTCATTGCAGACAATATTCAAACACCAATCCCACCACCGAGCACTTCTTTCTGCCCGCACCTCCCGTCACAGCAAAGCTCCCGGTTCCCCAGACTTGGCAGTGAGTCGCTCTCGGCCCAGCCAGGGTTGTGCTCACAGCTCAGATTCGCCGTGGGGACGCCATGGTTCAGGAGCCCCTGGACGCGGTAAAGCACCTGCGTCTCATGCCCCTAGTTTCAGGGACTCGGTTCCTCAGCATAAACTCTTTTCTTCGTCTGGACAGAACCACCTTCTCCCTCGGCTGGGGACCCTGAGATCCTGGCTGCCGGGATGGCGAAGCCCCAGGATGGGGTCAGCGGGTGCTCAGGCTCCATCTTCATGCAACCTGGAGGAGCCTTTAGAATCAAAGTGATTTCTCCTGAGAAGTGCCCGGGAAAGCAGTGGGAGAGCGCAGGGAGAGAGGTCCTGCAGGCCGAGCAGTCGTGGGACCTGGCTGGCCTTGGAATTTTCCAGAAGGATTTTCTCTCAGCTACTTCAACTGCCTGTGACATTAGGAAGGAATTGGAGGCAATTAGGCTACATTGCGGACATCAAAGATAAAATAACAGCAGTAATTCTTGGTCTTAAATGCAGGTGGCGAGAAGGTCCTTTTTCCCCTTTTGGCCTTGTAGAAGTGCGCTTAATTTTGACTAGTGAAACACCATGAGGTTCAGTTGTAGACTTACAAATTTCAGTGCTTGGGTTTCAGTTATACAGTGATCGAGTACCCATCCCTCCACCAGCGCCCATTCTCCACCACCAACGATCCCAGTATCCCTTCCCCATCCCACCCCGCCTCTGTGGCAGGGCATTCCCTTTTGTTCTCTCTCTCCTTTTGGGTGCTGTGGTTTGCAAAAGAGGCATTGAGTGGCAATCATGTTCGGTCTCTAGTCTACTCTCATCACGCTTCTCCCATCCTGGGAGGATCCTCCCAACACCCTTTATTTGGTGCTCCCTTCTCTGTCTGAGCTACACTTTCCCCTAGCATGTGTGGCTGGCGTCCAAACCGTGACCTGGTACTTATCTCTGCTATTCTTGGGCGTTAGTCTCCTATCTTGTTACTTTATGTTCCCCCGATGAATGCAATCTTTCTATGTCTATCCCTCTCTTTCTGACTCATTTCGCTTAGCATGATACTTTCCATGTAGTACCACTTGTAAGACCCTGTAGAAGTTTCTTCATGGCTCATGATTTTCCAGAGCAACTTTAGTCTGTAGTTTGAAATTGGAGTTATTGGGTCATGATGATTTCATAGGTTTGTTTTTGGGGTGGTTTTTTTGTTGTTGCTTTCTGGATCACACCTGGCGATGCACATGCACAGGGATTCCTCCTGGCTCATGCACTCAGGAGTTACTCCTGGCAGTGCTCAGGGGACCATATGGGATGCTGGGAATCGAACCCGGGTCAGCTGCATGCGTGGCCCTACCCATTGTGGTGTCACTCCAGCCCCGGGTTTGGTTTTAGGGCCACATCCATAGCGGGTGGGGGTTCCTGTGGTATCTGCCAGCCGCTGGGCTCCCCCGTGCAGAGCCCGCACTCAGGCCCTTTGAGCTGTCCCGTTCGTTTCTTAAGAACGAATCCCTGCCAGGCAGAAGCAGAGGGGCGGTGGGATGGGTGTTCGCCTTGCCAGTGGCTGACCTGGATTCCGTCCCCAGCACCCCCCGTGGTCCCCCGAGCCTGTCGGGAGTGCTCCCAGAGCCCCGCCAGGGTTCACCTCGGTGTCCGGCGCCTGCACGCGGCCCCGCTGATTCTCCTCTCCTCTGTTCCCTTCCGCTTTCGGTGGTCCCCGTGCCCCAGGCTTCCAAGAGCCAGGACCGGAAGTCAGCCAGCCGAGAGAAACGCTCAGTGGTGTCCTTCGATAAAGTCAAAGAGCCTCGGAAATCCAGAGACTCCGAGTCCCGCAGGTGAGTGGGCCCCTCCCCGATTGAAGGGCCCTGGCGGTGACGCCCTCCTGCTGGTTCCCGGAGGGCTGAGAGCCCCCTTGGGAAACCGGGAAACGTGCTCTCTCTGGGGACAGGGACTTGCTCCCTGGACCGAAAACCATTTGCTTGAGGAATCAGAGCTAGCACTGGGATGGCAAGCAGGGGCTCTGTGCAGGCCCCGTCTCTGGCCTTTGAGTACCCTGAACGAGCTTGCTGGAAACGGGGCGAGCTTGGTGCGGTCATGGCAGATTAGCTGCGCCAGGAGCGGGTGGGGCTGGTGGGCGAAGACCGTGCCCGTGGGCGGGGCCCCTCCCAAGGGTTTCCTGGGCTCCCGCGGACCCAAGGGCTGGAGAGAGCTCGGGAGGTGAGGTGAGCCGTTGAGTGCGTGCAGCCGGCCCGGGTTCGAGCCCTGTGCGTCTGGTCTGAACGCGGAGCCAGGAGGGGCCCTTTAGTCAGCGCCGTTGGAACTAGGAAGACTGGAGAGGGGCCGGAGGGCAAGGCCTGGACTCAGCTTGAGTTCCCAGCACCACGTGGGCGTCACTCGGAGTCCGGGCAGGCCCCGAGCACAGCCCAGCTGTGCCCAAGCCACCCGAAGAAAAAGTTTGGCTTTGCGACTCTGGGCTCTGCCGGCCCTAAGCCGTAGGCGCCGAGTCGGCCGCGCGAACGGGCCGCCCGCGGAGTCGGGCTCGGGGCCGCCGAGAAGGGGCCGGGCGGGGACCCAGCCTGTCGCCGTCCGCAGGGTGCGGGAGCGCAGCGAGCGGGAGCAGCGCATGCAGGCGCAGTGGGAGCGCGAGGAGCGCGAGCGGCTGGAGTTCGCGCGGGAGCGGCTGGCCTTCCACCGGCACCGGCTGGAGCGCGAGCGCATGGAGCGGGAGCGGCTGGAGCGCGAGCGGATGCACGTGGAGCAGGAGCGGCGGCGCGAGCAGGAGCGCATCCACCGCGAGCGCGAGGAGCTGCGGCGCCAGCAGGAGCTGCGCTACGAGCAGGAGCGGCGGCCGGCGCTGCGGCGGCCCTACGACGTGGACGGCCGGTGAGCGGGCGCGCCTGCCTCCGGGGTGGCGGGAGGGGCGGGGTATGCCCTCAACACCAGCCTCGCTGCCCCCAGGCGCGATGACTCCTACTGGCCCGAGGCCAAGCGGGCCGCCCTGGACGACCGCTACCACTCGGACTTCGCGCGCCAGGACCGCTTCCACGACTTCGACCACAGGGAGCGTGGCCGCTACCCGGACCACTCGGTGGACAGGTCAGCCGGCCGGCGCCCGCCCCCGCCTCCCCGCCCGGTGGGCCCCTCGGGGCTGGCGCGCGCCCTCACGGACTCCCCTCCCGTTCCAGGAGAGAAGGCTCCCGCTCGGTGATGGGGGACAGGGAAGGACAGGTATGTCCGGGCCCGGCCCCAGGCCCGGCTGCGCCTCAGCGGCTCGGGCTTCGTCACCCGACACGGGGCCTGTCCCCGTCCCTGCCCTGGAGTCTGAGCAAGCGGCGGGCGGTCAGGGCCCCGCTTGCCTTTGCTCTGCTCACGTCCGCCGAGCAGAATCCAAACTCGGTTTCTGAGGCCAGACCGTAGAATCTGGTCTGGGGGCCCCACGCTCGCCTCTGGGTCACCGTGCGCTCCTCGAGGGTGTCTCGGTTCACAGCCCGGGCGCGTTTCGGGTTGCTCTGGCATGTTTGTCTGGCTCCTAAGTTGGCGAAGCGGGGATCTTGGTCTGTGAGGGGGCCGGGGAGCACCCCTTTCCCCAGCCTCTTCCCGGGAAAGCCCGCGTGCCCAGGCCAGCCTTGCTGGGCTCCTCTGAGTGCTCCCCTCGTGGTGGCCTGTGCATTTGTCCCAAGGCTTCCACCTCTGGCGCAGGACTGTGGTCCCCCTTCAGGGGTCCCGGGGGTGTGGCTGCAGCGCCCCCTTCCTTGCCTGCAATCTTCCTCTGGCCCCAGAGTCACCTTGGAAGGCCCGTCGGCACTTCCCATGAGGTGTGGGCGAGGGGCTTTGCTGAGCGCGTCCTGGGGCGCTGGGCAGCCCATCGCCCAACCCAGAGCGTGTTGTTGGCAGTACCCCGCGTCCCGTGGGGGGCTCGCGGCTGCCGGCCGCCGGGCCCTGGGTGACCCTGCGCTGTCCTTTGCTCCTCCCTGCCAGCATTATCCCGAGCGCCACGGGGGTCCCGAGCGCCACGGGGGCCCCGAGCGCCACGGCCGAGACTCGCGGGACACCTGGGGCGGGTACGGCTCCGACAAGAGAATCAGCGAGGGCCGGGGGATGCCACCGCCACCCAGGTCAGTGTCCTCCCCCCCCCCCCCGGGCTGCCCGCTAGCCCCGGCCCGCCCTCCGCCCCCGAGTCACAGGGCTTTCCTTCCAAGGGGAAGACGGGACTGGGGGGAGCACAGCCGCAGAATGGAGGACGACCGCGCCTGGCAGGGCACCGCGGACGGGGGCATGATCGACAGAGACCACAAGCGCTGGCAAGGTGAGGGCGCGGCGGCTGGTGGGGGCTGCGGGCGTGCTCGGCCCCCCTCCCCCACCCCAACGCATCTCCTGCTCCGCAGGCGGCGAGAGGGGCATGTCGGGCCACTCGGGACCAGGCCACATGATGAACAGAGGCGGGATGTCCGGGTGAGGCTTCCCTCCGCGCCCGCCGCCCTGGGCTGGGGGCCGGAGGGGCGGGCAGACCCCCGCTTGGGGCCAGGGCGGGTGGGCTGCCCCCGCAAACCTCCTGCCTCCGTTCCAGGCGCGGCAGCTTCGCCCCCGGCGGGGCGTCCCGGGGCCACGTCATGCCCCGCGGCGGGATGCAAGGTGGGTTCGGCGGGCAGAGTCGGGGCAGCCGCCCCAACGACACCCGCTTCACTCGCCGCTACTGAGTGCCCCCAGCCCGGCCTGCGACCAGAGCACGTTCTGTTAGGAGTTCTCTTAAGCCCTGTAAAATAATTTTTTTTTTAATCTGCCATATTGTAGCTATACAATGTGAACTTCGTTCCTTCTTGTTTTTTTCTCCCCATTTTTTTTTGTAATAAATGTGTTTCTGTTCACATAGTCTTTGTTGCCAGCGTCGTTTCTTGACTGCCGTGGCCCTCTGCTCCAGCTCTTTTGTCCCCCTCTCCCTAGGGCAGCTCAGCCCTGGCACCAGGTGGTCCGCTTCTCCCCTTGGGGACACTGCCGAGGGGCCCCCTCCCCTCACCCCACTCCTGGCTTGGATACCTGTGCTTGGCTGGGGGTGCCGGCCCGGGTCAGGGGTACAAAGGCCCAGCACCTTGGTCAGCCAGGTGTGTGGGCTCCACCTCACGTAGTCCAGGGGTCCTCAACCTCTCCCCTCATGGCTGGGCCAGGGGTGACCCCTCATTCCTGGGCAACCAAAATTAGGGCCACTCCAGAGGCAACAGGGGCTTGGCAGAGGGGACAGGATCCTGAGTGCCATGGAGGGTCCCGTGCCGGGGCAGCTCTGCCCGCCACGCAAGGAAGGAGGCTTCAGGGCACCCCACTGAGCCTGGAGTTCAGACGCGTCCTGGACTCAAACCGACGGGTGCAGGCAGAGGGGTACAGGTAGATGCCGGGGGCTGTGTCCCCCAAGAGAGTCAAACTAGGGCCCCAGGGGAGTCAGGTGAGGCCCGGGTCTGGAGCCATCCTGAGCACTGGGGGAATCCTTGCCTCAGCAGCCCCCTAGGGGCCCAACCAGGCTGAATGCAGTAACACGTGACGGGTCCCAGCTGCTCCCCTGCTGTTCCAACACAGGAACCCCCCCCCCCCCCCCAACACACCTGGGGGCTGGAGCCATACCACAGCTCCGGCCCCTTTTCCGAAGACTCAAGCTCTGGCCTGTGGCTGCTTGGCTCTGGGGGGAGCTGCTCCCACCTGCCCTTGGTCTCGTTCCCCTGCGTTAGCTTTTGGGAGCGTGCAGCATTCCTAGGATTCAGACACGTGCCCCCGACCCTAACTCTGCACTCAGGGATCCCGCCGGGCACGACGGGGCGCCAACAGGCAGATCCCGATCCTCTGAAGGCAAAGGCAGGGGTTCTGACTGGTCAGCCCAAGCTGCCCTGAAGCAAGCCCAGGGGAGGAAATTTGTGGAGAAACGTCCCTGAGGAACAACAGAAACGCTCCACAGCGCCACCTCATGGCGTTTCGCTGGAGCTGCCGTGGCCGAACTTGCCCACGCTCAGTATTTTCCAGCCCTGCATCTCTGATGCAGTGTCAACTACGGGGTCATTCAAGGATCAAGCACGCAGCCTGGGGCCACGGATCAAATACTGAGCCGGGAGGGCGCTTGCCTTGTACGGGTTCTGTCCCTGTAGCTCACATGCCCCCCCGAGCACTGTCACGAGTGAATCCTGAGTGCAGAGTCAGGAGGAACCCCCGAATCTTGCCGGGTGGGGCCCCGGAACACAAAAGCCTTTCACGGAGGATCCCTTCACGCCACGCATGAGGGATGCAGAGCTCAATCTTGCTTCCGCCACCCTCCTCCATCGGAAACCGTGAAGGTGTGGGGATGCCCGGGACAGGAAGCATTTGCGAAAGGGGCTTCGAGGGAGAGATTCTCCTCGGGCAAAGCACGTGCCACGCCGCTGGGTTCAATCCTAACACCCGGGTGGCCCCATACGAGGCAAGCGCCCTCAACGCTCAGCTGCAAGCCTGAGGCGGCCTGCTTGATCCTCAGCGACCCGCAGATTAACATGGACTCGAACCCACGGGCCGGAAATCTTTAGGCAGGAAAGTCGGGCCATGCTTTTCCCCAATGCACCGCGAGAGGGCGCTGTGGGGCGTCTCCGCGCCACCCAGTGTGGTTCTCTAAGAAATGTCCACCCCTGGTCCTGACCTCCCTCCAGAACCTACGGTGGCTCCCAGGGCCCTCAGGATTTCTGCATAAGAGAACAAAAAATAATTTCCGCCCAGTGGAGCCGCATCCTCATCATGGGAGACCATTGGTCCACTGCGCTGACTCTGGCTTCTTTATTTGGGGGGTGGGCCGTGGGTGTCCGCAACAGTTCCTCGGGGGCTCGGGAATTCTGTGGTGCTTCAGATGGAATCCAGGGTGAGCACAGAAGACAATCGTGCCTTCCTGAAGTGGCATCTCTCCAAGTCGACACATTCTTCCAGGTCTCCAGCCCTCTCCTCCTCAGAAAACCCCACACTCCACATTTCTGAGGGTGCCATCTTCCTTCCTGGGAAGTTTTGGGATTCCTATCCATATGAGAAGTCCCGAGTCCTCTGTTTTCTGTGGAGGAGGGTGGCAGGGGCCAGACTCAACTCCAGCATCTCCAAAAGTCTGGGGTGAAAGTACCGTCAGAGAAATCAGGAGTGAGTTCAAAAGAATTGTGATTAAAACAGTAACAGTGAGCCTAAGCCCGGGTCATCTCCATCCCTGGAAATTCTAAATACACCACTCTGCCGAGAATCACTGTCACTGTCACTGTCCTCCCGTTGTTCATCAATTTGCTCGAGCGGGCCCAGTAACGTCTCCAGTGTGAGACTTTGTTGTTACTGTGTTTGGCATATTGAATATATATTATATATATTATATATATATAATATATACACATATACACGTTTTTCCTTATTTGGGGGTTTGATGTGTGGGCCCGCGGGGTTCTGGGGACCCTCATGAGCACTTGGGATTGAACCAAGTCGGCCAAGAACAAGATACAGCGCTTGTGAGTGTTGCTGTTGTTGTTCTCTTCGCCATGAGCATGAGAAGCTCTGAACCCTCTTTGCTCTGTCTGTGACCCAGCCCTTCGGAGACGTTTCCTGTTACAGTCAACCCCACATGCCATCACCCCACGTTCTGGGGGTGCCCAAGCCTTTTCTACAAGGAAGAGGGGGCACGGACACAGCAAGATACAGCTCAGAACCCCCCGAGTTGGGGGTGAGGGGCCTGCCATCAAGGGACTGAGGCTGTTTTGGTTTTCTTTGGTTTGTTCGTGGTTTGGGGGCCACAAACCCAGCAAAACTCAGGGGTTCTCCTGGCTCTGCACTCAGGAATCACTCCAGCACGCACGACTGGGGGACCGTATGGGAAGCCACAGAAAGAAACCAGGGTCCTGTGACTGCAGGCAAGAGCCCTAACGGCTCTGCTCCCGCTGCAGAGACCCAAGCGGCTTGCTTGATCCTTAATGACCCTATACTTCACATTGAAGCAAAGAAAAGGGCTGGAAAGCTTAAGCGTGGGAAAATTCGGGCCACGGTAGTTGCGGTGACACGCCACGAGATGGCGCTGCGGGAGTTTCCATCCCCCTCCAGGCTTGTTTCTCTAAGAATTTTCCACCCTGGGGTTTGCCTCAATGTTAAGTATGGGGCAATTAAGGATCAAGCACGCAGCTCCCACAGGTGCAGCGGTAGGGGAGCCGTGTGGGTGCTTGTCTTTCACGCGGGTGACCGGGGTTCGATTCCTGCCTCCAGATCTTTGTGGGGAACATAGCTGAATCTCCTCTGGGGGTTGAGGTGGGTTGCCCCAGTTTGGTCTCTGGGCAATGAGGGGTGCAGGGGTTTGATCCCGATCTGGAACGAACAAGGCGAGATTATTTTCTTTTATTTTTTTGTCCTCTTTGCTCTGAGCAAGGAAACTTCTGAACCCACCTTGCGGTGTCTGTGACTGAGCCATTTACAAATGTTTCCTGTTAGGGGCAACCCACACCCGGTCACCCCCCATTCTGAGGGTGTCCCTCCCCTCTCTAGAAAGACGTGGGGGGGGGGAAGAGGATACAGCTCAGAACCCCTCAAGTCGGGGGGAGGGGATCTGCCATGGAGGAACTGAAGCTGTTTGAATTTTCATGCTTGTTTGTTTTGTCGTAAATCCTGGCCTTCTGGGAGAGCCCAGCAAGCTACCGAGAGTATATCCCGCCTGCACAGCAGAGCCTGGCAAGCCTGGCAAACTCTTGTGATGTGTTTGATATGCCAAAAACAGTAATAATAACGGGTCTCATTCCCCTGACCCTAAAAGAGCACTGGGCTATAGAGACGTTACTGGTGCCCGCTCAAGAAAATCAATGAACAACTGGACGACAAGTGTGACAAGTGGCTAGTGACAAGTTTGTTTGTTGATGGTTGGGGACACACCCAGACATGCTCGGTGGGTTCAACTGGCTCTGCACTCGGGAATCACACCGGTATGAGTGGAGGACCCTGTGGGGAGCATACGAACAGACCCGGGTCCTATGAACGCAAGGCAAGAGCCCTAACCGCTCTGCTCCCTCTGCATAGGCCCAGGAGGCTTGCTTGATGACCCTGTCCTGAACTTTGAAGCAAAGAACTGGGCTGGAAAGCTTAAGTATGGGATAATCGAGCCGCAGTAGTCACTGTGGGGGTCTCCGCTTCTCTCTAAGAAGTTTCCACCCTTGGGTTTGCCTCAATGTTAAGTATGGGGCCATTAAGGATCCAGCACGCAGCTTCCACAGGTGCAGCGGTGGGAGTGCCGTGCGGATGCTTGTCTTTCTCGCGGGTGACCGGGGTTCGATTCCCGCCTCCAGACTTTTGTGGGGAGCATAGCTGAATCTACGCTGGGGGTTCGGGAGGGTTAACCCAACTTGGTCTCTGGACAACCAAGGGTGCAGGGGGTTGGTCCCAGTCTGGAATGAGGGGCGCATGGAAGAAGATACAACTCAGAATCCCCAAAGCCGGGTGAGGGAATTCGCCATCAAGGGACTGAGGCTGCTTTGTTTTGATTTTCTTGTTTGTGTCTGGCTGGGGCCACACCCAGAGATGCTCAGCGGGGGGACACTCCTGGCCGTCAGCAGTGTCTGAAGCCCCGCAGGCTCTCAGGGTACCAACCAAGCACCCCCGGCTCCCAACACACACACACACACACACACACACACACACACACACACTCCCCAGAAGCAGCGAGCCTCTCTGCAAAGCTTCCTCCAGAGTCCTTTATTGGATGCCAGGAGGGCCTGGCAGGCACGCGGGGGGGCTTGTGTGGGGTCCGCCGAGTCTTCCGGGCTACTTGACACGCTCCTTCACATAGTCCCAGCCCTGCTGCGTGTACTGGCAGGCCCTGGAGGGGGCTTCTGACAGGGCCTTCATCACGGTCACGATGCCTGCAGGACAGGATGCCCCCCGCCCCCAACCCAGCTGTCACAGACATGCGACACCCCCTTCCCTGGACCCTCCTGGCCTTTTCCTTCCATTCCTGTGCTGGGTCTGCACCCGCTGCACTGGGGATCATGGGCTGAGTGCATGGAGGGTTTGGGGGGAGGGGGGGCGGCCTCTTTCCCCTTCCTGCCCCCCAACTGGCAGCAGCAGGAGGGGGTCTGGGTTTCTCTGCGCCCCCCAAATGCTGGCACCCAGGACGTACCTGAGTCCCACGAGTCCCGGAAGCGAAAGTTCACCTTGGGGAGGGCGGGGAGCTGCGGGGAGAGAGAGAAGGGGGCAGAGAGGGGCTGGGGCGAAGGGCCACGGAGGGACCCCCCCAGTGCTCGTCCGGCTCGGGGGTACCTGGGGCATCTTCAGGCCGGTCTGATCGCTCACGTACTGGCCGGCCTGGTACAGGGCGGGGGTCACCACCTCCTCGTACTTCTTCAGGGCCAGCTGGCTCCTGTCGCCGGTGCCCAGCAGGCCCTGGTCGTACACCAGGTAGACGGCGCCGCCGGCCACGCTGCCCTTGAGCACCAACCTGGGGCCGGGGGAGGTCAGGGGGGTCAGCCCAGGGGGGTCGCGGGCCAAGGGGGCTGGACACCCCGCCCCGCCGCCCCCGATCCGGCCGCCCCGGCCACGCAGCCACCTGCCCAGCCTCATCCTCATCCTCGCCGGGCCCGTTGCCGGGGGTCCCAGGGACCTTGGGGACCTCGGGGACCTCGGGGCCACCCACCCCCACCCCCCCGCCGCCGCAGCCGGGCCAAGGGGGGTCTTGGGCACGACACGTGACGTCTCCCCAAAGGAGGGGCTGCTCGGGGACTCCGACCCCGCCGGGTGGGCGCACGCACCTCAACACTGACCACATGCGGGACACCATCGTCGCGGGGCGCCGCGCGCAAGGACACTCGGGTTTTTCCCCCCCACCACCACCCCGACTTCCGGTCGGCAGCCGCAAAGGCCGCTGGGAAGTGTAGTTCCGGCCCTCGCCGCGAGGGACGCCGGGAAGCGTAGTCTCCGCGCCTGCCGCAGAGGCTTCTGGGAAGTGTAGTCCCCGGGCGAGCATGGCCGCCGCCGCCAAGGCCTCTGGGAAGTGTAGTCGGCGGCAGCTACCGTGAAGGCCTCCGGGGTCGGAGTCTGAGGGCGTTTGCCTTGCACGCGGCCGGCGCGGGTTCGATTCCCAGCATCCCATTGGGTCCCCCGAGCACCGCCAGGAGTGATTTATGAGTGCATGAGCCAGGAGTGACCCAAAAAGCATAAAAAAAGAATTAGGATTAGAGTTTGAGAGAGTCAGAGAGTTAAAATTAGAGAGATTTAGGGGCTGGAGAGATAGCACAGCAGGTAGGGCATTTGCCTTGCACACAGCCGACCCGGGTTCGATTCCCAGCATCCCATCTGGTCCTCTGAGCACCCCTGGGAGTAATTCCTGAGTGCATGAGCCAGGAGTAACCCCTGTGCATCACCAGGAGTGACCCAAAAAGAATAAAAAAAAAAAAAGCCTGAGGGCCCTGCTGCTGCCTACGGAGAATGGGGTCACCAGTCATGGCCCACGGCAGGGAGAAAGAAGCGGCCCCGTTTCCTGGGTGGCTGCTTCCGAGCACAGAGCCGGAGTGAGACCCTAAAAGCAGCCGAGCAAGGGGCTGGAGCAATAGCACAGCGGGGAGGGCGTTTGCCTTGCACGCGGCCAACCCAGGTTCGATTCCCAGCATCCCACATGGTCCCTTGAGCACTGCCAGGGGTGATTCCTGAGTGCATGAGCCAGGAGTAACCCCGCCCTGTGCATTGCCGGGTGTGACCCAAAAAAGCAAAAAATAAAAGGAAGAAAGAAAACGCCGGGGGGGGGGAGGGGCTGGAGTGATAGCACAGCGGGTAGGGCGTTTGCCTTGCACGCGGCCGACCCGGGTTCGATTCCCAGCATCCCACATGGTCCCCCTGAGCACCGCCAGGAGTGATTCCTGAGTGCATGAGCCAGGAGGAACCCCTGTGTGACCCAAAAAGCAAAAACAAAAACAAAAAGCAGCCGAGCGTGCTCCACAGTGCTCCCCGGAAAAGGAGCCCGCGTCTAGGGAGAGGGGGTCTCGAAGGTGGCTGGCTGGGCAGCGTGCGAGGGGGGGCGGGCAACGGCCCCCTGGACTCCCGAGCACCACCCCGGGTGGTGTCCCGGGAACGCCCGCGTAGGTCTGACTCTGCCCCTCCGGGGCTCGGTTCCAGGGTGTCCAAGGGGGCCGCTTCTGGGGCGGGGGTCCCTTTGGGTTAGAGAATCCAAGCCCTATCCCTGGTGGTTCGGGTCGGTGAGTGCAAGCCTGGTGGCACCTGTGGAGCTCCCGTTTTCAGCACACCCAAGGGTGGGTGGGTGAGGGACGGGGGAAGGCGGGAAGGCCACCCTGCTGCCGAGGTGGTGGCCACCAGGCCTGGAGGCCCTCAAAGTGTCCCAGCGTCTGAGCCGTGATCCCGGACAGGAATCACAGGGAAGGAAGGCAGCTTTGCAGGCCAGTGGTGTGCAGTGTAGTGCCTGACCCTGGGACGGGACGGGTTGAAGCTTTTGCAAAGCGCTGTCCGCCTTTGGTGCAAGATCTCTCGCTGCAGAGTCTGGGAAAGAAGGAGCTGCAAGGAATTTGGGGCGAGGATTGGTTCCAGTCTGTCGAGGTGTTTGGTTTATTTGCTTTGGGGCCAAATCGGCGATGCTCAGGGCTTATTCCAGGCTCTGCAGTCTGGGAACCCCATGGGATGGATGGAAAGGGATCGAACTCTCGTTGCTGCATGCAAACTGCTTGACGATCGGTCTGGATCCAAGTTCTGGAGATTTGGGAAGTCCTCAGCTTCACCCACGCGAAGGCCCTCCGGTCCTGGAATTTCTCCGAATTCCTCCTCTTCTCTGTCCCCCGTGGCTCAGGAATTCGGATCCTAGATTCCCAGGGCAGGGAAGCAGCTCCAAGAACCGAAGTTCATGCTTTTCAGGCAAGGAAAACCCTGGGAAACTCCGAGTATAGAGTCCAGGGGCCCCATCACGGTCTATTCTATATCGAGGCCCTCCTGCAAGCCGGATTGGAGGTGAAAGATGAGAACTAGAATTGGTGGCGGAGTTTGACCTGGCTTTGAAAGCGTGCAAGGATTCGAGCTTCCCGTGTGCACTCTGGGAATGCAACCCCTCAGGCGAGGGCAAACTATCACTATACCTCCGTTTACTTATTTTTTATTTATTTGTTTTTTTTTTTTTTTTTGCTTTTTGGGTCACACCCAGCGATGTTCAGGGGTTACTCCTGGCTCTGCACTCAGAAATTACCCCTGGCGGTGCTCAGGGGACCCTATGGGATGCTGGGAATCGAACCTGGGTCGGCCGCGTGCAAGGCAAACTCCCTACCCGCTGTGCTATCGCTCCAGCCCCCTGACTTTTTTTCTTTTTTTTTGCTTTTTGGGTCACACCTGGCAATTCACAGGGGTCACTCCTGGCTCTCTGCACTCAGGGGACCCTATGAGATGCTGGGAATTGAACCCGGATCGGCCGCGTGCAAGGCAAACGTCCTACCTGCTGTGCTATTGCTCCAGCCCCTTTTTATTTTTATTTATTTATTTATTTATTTATTTGCTTTTTGGGTCACACCCGGCGATGCTCAGGGGTTACTCCTGGCTCTGCACTAAGGAATGACTCCTGGCGGTGCTCAGGGGACCCTATGGGATGCCGGGGAGTGAACTCAGGTTAGCTGCATGCAAGACAAACGCCCTCCCCACTGGACTATGGCTTCGGACCCCCTGAGCCCCTTGCTGCTCAAAAATATTATTCATTTTTTGCTCTTTTTGGTCACACCCGGCGATGCTCAGGGGTTCCTCCTGGCTCATGCACTCAGGAATCCCTCCTGGCGGTGGTGCTCGGGGGACCACATGGGATGCCGGGGATCGAACCCAGGTCGGCTGCATGCAAGGCCAACGCCCTCCCCGCTATGCTATCGCTCCGGCCCTATTCCTTATTATTTTTTTGTTTGTTCTGGGGGACAGGGGGCAAGACCCCGCTGATGCTCAGGGTTGACCGAGTCCTGCCTCTGCACTCGGGAGTCACTCCGGGTGGGATGGAGAGGTGAGAGGTGGGGGGTCGGGGGGGGGGGGAGCCTTCGGGGTGGGGGTGCCTGGGATCGAACCCGGGCGGGAACATCCTTCCGGCTGTACCCTCTGGACCCGACTCTGGGCCTCCCTTGGGTAGACGTTTCTGTTCCGTGGGCCGTAAACGCCCCAGCCCCGCCCACCGCAGTGGAGCCTCCGGCCGCCAGGAGGCGCGCGCGCCGCCTCCCCCTACGGCCTCTCTGGCCCGCCGCGCCGCGCCGGAAGTGAGGTATCCCAGAACCCCGCGCGGCGCCGGAAGTTGGGTATATCCCAGGGCCCCGCGCGGGGCCGCCCCTTCCGTCTCGCCGCCGCCCAGCAGCCGCAGCAGGTCGGTGGTCGGCGCGCGGGGAATCCGCCTCCATCCGGGCGCGGGGGTCGCGGGGTGCGGGCGCTGGCGGCGCCGCCGGGCGGGGGGCGGCCCCGGGGTGCCGCGGGGAGGGGGAGGGGGAGGCGGGGGGCCCGGGCCGGAGCTCACGCGCGCGCCCCCCTGCAGCCATGGCCCTGCGCTACCCGATGGCCGTGGGCCTGCACAAGGGCCACAAGGTGACCAAGAACGTGAGCAAGCCGAGGCACAGCCGCCGCCGCGGGGTGAGTGCCGGGCAGGGGGCGGCCGACCCCCGGCCCCCGCGATCGGGGGCGGGGAGACCCCCGAGGAGGGCGGTCGGGGAGGAGGAGGAGGGAGACCCCCGAGGAGGGCGATCGGGGGAGGAGGGGGAGACCCCCGAGGAGGGCGATCGGGGAGGAGGAGGAGGGAGACCCCCGAGGAGGGCGATCGGGGGAGGAGGAGGAGGGAGACCCCCGAGGAGGGCGATCGGGGGAGGAGGAGGAGGGAGACCCCCGAGGAGGGCGATCGGGGGAGGAGGAGGGAGACCCCCGAGGAGGGCGGTCGGGGGAGAAGGGAGACCCCCGAGGAGGGCGGTCGGGGGAGAAGACCCCCGAGGAGGGCGATCGGGGGAGGAGGGAGACCCCCGAGGAGGGCGGTCGGGGGAGGAGGGGGAGACCACCGAGGAGGGCGATCAGGGGAGGAGGGCGATCGGGAGAGAAGACCCCTGAGGAGGGCGATCGGGGAGGAGGAGGGAGACCCCCGAGGAGGGCGATCAGGGGAGAAGACCCCTGAGGAGGGCGATCGGGGCGCAGGGTGGGGGGGGTGCGGGGCTGGCCCTGTCGGGGATCGGGGGTCGTCACCTCCCGGGCCACCCTGAAGGGACCCCTCGCCCCCGCCCCCCCAGCGCCTCACCAAACACACCAAGTTCGTGCGGGACATGATCCGCGAGGTCTGCGGGTTCGCGCCCTACGAGCGCCGCGCCATGGAGCTGCTCAAGGTGTCCAAGGACAAGCGCGCCCTCAAGTTCATCAAGAAGAGGGTAGGTCGAGGCACGGGGTCGCGGTGACGCTGCGAGGTCCGCCCACCCTCCGCCCCCACCCCGGTCCTGCTACCAGGGGCCCAGAACGCAGAGCCCAGGAGGCAGCTCCGCCAGCCAAAACGTGTAGCATGTGGGACCGGCAGGGTAGTGGGGAGGGGGCCCCCTGCTCACCTCCGACCCCGGTCCCGACATAGGGTTCCTCTGAGCATTGATGGCTTCGTGTGTCCCCAAAGCGAACGAAAATGACCCAGAACAGGGAGGCCTCGAGGAGGGGAGGCTGGCTTCTGCGTGATGGCGCGTGCTTGGGTGTTTTTGCTTTTTGGGTCACACCCAGTGATGCTCAGGGCTCACGACTGGCGGTGCTCGGGGAACCACATGGGATGCTGGGAATTGAACCCGGGTTGGCTGCGTGCAAGGCAAACGCCCTCCCCGCTGTGCTACCGGGCCAGCCCCAGTGCTGCATGCCTTTGTCTTAGTGCTCGGGAGGGAGTTACTGGCTCTGACGCCCTCCCCCAGCTCTGCCCCGAGCTTGTCGCGTGTTACCGGGGAAGGGCTGGGTTTCCGCTGCTGACCGGTGCTCCCCAACAGGTGGGCACGCACATTCGGGCCAAGAGGAAGAGAGAGGAGCTGAGCAACGTGCTGGCGGCCATGCGCAAGGCGGCCGCCAAGAAGGACTGAGACCCTTGGGCAGCGGAAACGGCGACCTGGGGCTGCGGGCATGGAGGCGAGCAGGCAGTGCGTTCTGGAAATGGTGTCTTTAATCATCATTAAATATGTGCAGTTTTGGAAATTGAGTCGTCGTTGATCATTGAGTCCTTGGCTGGTCCCCGGGCCGCAGCAGGGCCAGGCTGTCACCGGTCCAGCGCCACGGCCTGTGGCCGCTCCTGCTCGCGCGGGAAGGCGATGCGGAAGACGTCCTGGTAGTGCTCCACGAAGTGCACCTCCAGGCCCTCGGTGATGAAGGCCGCCAGGTCGTAGAAGTCCTTCTTGTTCTCCGCCGGCAGCACCACACACGTCACCCCCGCGCGCTTGGCCTGGGGGGGGGGTCAGCCCTGAGACCCCATCGGTTTGGGGGCTCCCGGGTCTTAGGGCCTCACTTCAAATGACCGTGATGGGGCCGGGGCAGCGCAGTCTCCTGACCCCGTGGCCTGCCCTCCCCACCCCCCACCCCCCGGCCCGCGGGCGCTCACCGCGATGGTCTTCTCCTTGATGCCGCCCACGGGCAGGATCTTGCCCGTGAGGGACACCTCGCCCGTCATGGCCAGGTTCTGCCGCACAGGCCGGCCCAGCGCCAGGGAGAGCAGGGCCGTGACGATGGTGCAGCCGGCGCTCGGCCCGTCTTTGGGGGTGGCGCCCTGGGGACGGGGGAGCAGGTGAGGGGAGCCGAGGTGGCTGGGTGTGTGTGGGCGGGGGGGGCTCACGCTCACCTCGGGCACGTGCAGGTGGATGTGGGAGGCGGCCAGGAAGTCGTTGCCGGGGTCCTGCTGCATGAGGAAGGCCCTGGCGAAGGTGTAGGCGATGCGGGCGCTCTCCTTCATTACCTCCCCCAGCTGCCCCGTCACCTCCAGGCTCCCGTCCTTGTCCCCTTTGCTGTCCTTGTCTCGCGGCCGCCGCAGGGACGTCTCCACAAACAGCGTGGAGCCTCCTGGGGGGAGGACCGGGGTTGCTGGGAGCCACTCCGGAGGACCCCCACCACAGCCTGTCCAGTACCCCGAGCTGGGCAGTGGCCTCCGGGGCAGGTTCTTTGTGGGAGGGCCAAGCCCGGGCCCCCCACGACCCCAGCCCCACAGCGGAAGCACCAAGCCCTGTGCTGCGGAGGCCCCAGAAACCTCTCTGTGCCCTCAGCACGCTGGCCCGGCCCAGCCCCTGGTCCCCGCGCTGCTCACCCATGGCGGTCCAGGCCAGCCCCATGACCACGCCCGGCGGCGTCACGTCATACATGCGCTCCACTGTGAACACGGGCTTCCCCACGAAGTCCTGGAGGTTCTCGGGGGTCACCTCCACGAAGCTGGCCTCGCCGCTGACGATCTTGTAGGCGGACTTGCGGAGCACCTGGGCGGGCGGGCGGGAGGGAAGGGGACGGGATGGACCAGGGGCCTCGGCCTCTTCACGCACACTTGACCCGGAGGGTCTGCGGGCCCGTCCGTGGCGGGGGCAGCAGCGCGGGGCGGCCCTGCTCGCGCCGCCTGTGCTCCCGGGGACTCGCCAGGGCCTCGCCACAGCCCGTGCCCGGGGCTGCCCGCGCCCACTCCCAAGGGGTCTCGCCCGGCCCGCGCACCTTCTCCACCTGCTTCTGCAGGTTGCGGACGCCGCTCTCCCGGCAGTACTGCTTGATGAGCAGCTTCAGCACGTCGGCCGACAGCCGCGCCTTGTCCTCGTCCAGGCCGCACAGGGCGCGCGCCTGGGGCACCAGGTACCGCTGCGGGGCCGAAGGCAGAGCGCGGCTGGCCCGGGGCGGGGGACGCTCGCACACCCGCCGCAGCCGCCTCCGAGTCCGGCCCCGAGGGGGGACTGCGTGGGCCCTGCCCGCTGGGGCTCGGGGGACCCTGGCCGGGTCTCGGTCACGCCGCAGTAGCCGGCCACAGCACCCCCAGAGGCTGCAGACGGGCAGTGGGGGTCACGCACGTCCCCGTCGCCGTCGCCGCAGGCAGCACGCGCGTCCCTCTCCCAACCGGGAACACGGGACGCCCAACCTCCCTGCTCCTCCCTCCGAGGGCGATTCCAGGCTCGGTGCTCGGGCAGCCGCACCTCAGCGATGGCCAGCTTCTCCTGGGCCACGTAGCCTGACACGTTGATCATCTCCATGCGGTCCCGGAGCGGCTCGGGGATGGTGTCGGTGACGTTGGCCGTGCAGATGAACAGCACCTGGGCGGGCCGGCGGGAGGCTTCAGCTCGGGCCAGTCCCACCCACGGGCCCCCACCTCCCCCAGGGCCCCCGCCCCCGCAGACCCCCAGCCCACAGGGGCGCGGACCTTGGACAGGTCCACAGGCACGTCTAGGTAGTGGTCCAGAAAGTTGGCGTTCTGCTCGGGGTCCAGTAGCTCCAGCAGCGCCGACGAGGGGTCCCCCTGGTAGCCGCGGCCAATCTTGTCCACCTAGCGGCAGCCGGGGGTGAGCGGGTGATCAGAGCCCCTTCGCCAGACACTGGGGCGGGGCACAGGGCGGGGGCAGACAAGGCCCACTGGGGCAGGAGGGTCAGTAGGCCCAGCATGGAAGCGCAGGGACTCAGGGGAACCCCCAGGGACTGGCCCGGGGCAGGGGGCGGGGATGTGCCCCCACAGACCTCGTCGATGAGGATCAGGGGGTTCTCTGTCTTGGTCTTCTTCAGACACTGGATGATCTTCCCGGGCATGGCACCCACGTATGTCCGCCTGCGGGCGGGAGAGACGGACGCAGCATGGGCAGGGGCCAGCCCCCCCGCCTCTGGCCCAAAGCTGCTGGGAGCAGAGCTGGGAGAACGGAGAGGCTGTCGCGGGGGGCGGAGGGAGGGTGCCCAGCAGCCAGAGAGCCGGGGGTGCTGGCCGAGGCACCGAGACTTGGCCCTGACACTGAGCGCCTGGACTCAGCCGGGCCCAAGCGCCCAACCACCCCCTGGGAGGCAGCAGCGGTTCTCTGCCACTGCCCTCTCGCTATCCGACCCATCCCAGCGGACACAGAACTGGGGCCCGGGAAGGGCAGGGGACGGGGACGGGGACGGGGGGGCTACCTGTGCCCCTTGATCTCGGCCACGTCCGTCATGCCCCCGACGCTGAAGCGGAAGTACTCGCGGTTCAGGGCGCGGGCGATGGAGCGGGCGATGGACGTCTTGCCCACGCCGGGCGGCCCGTGGAAGCAGAGGATCTTGCCCTGCGTGGAGCCCCGGAGCTGGCTGACGGCGATGAACTCCTGCAGGGAGGGGGCGGGGCAGGGTCGGACCGGCCGCGGAGGGCAGCGCAACAGGGCCGCGCCCCCAGGCCGCCGCTCACCAGGATGCGCTTCTTGACGTCCTCCATGCCGTAGTGGTCCTCCTCCAGCACCGCCTGCGCCCGGCCCAGGTCCAGGTTCTCGGCGCTCTGCTTGCCCCAGGGCACCGACGTCAGCCAGTCCAGGTAGTTGCGGGTGACGCTGCGGGGGGGGGCGGGCGAGGTGAGCGGGACCCACGTCCCCAGTGGCCCCCAAATTAGGGGCTGTTCCGGGACTCTCAACCTTCCCAAGCCAAGCGTCTGGGAGGGGAAACTGAGGCCCGGAGGCAGGCGAGCCGAGGGAGGGGTGGGGGTCGGGGACGGACGGACGGACGGGGCACGGCAGTGACCGCCACCTCCCGGGGGTCGCCCCCCTCCCGTCCCTGCGCCGAGGCCGGCGGCGCCCGGTGCGCGGGGGCCGCCTCCCGGGGGCCCGGCGGGGGCGCCGCTCACTTGAACTCGGACGAGTGGTTGTCCAGCAGCGCCAGCTTGCCCAGCTCCTCGTCCACCACGTCCATGACGTGCTTGGGCACCTGCAGCTCCTTGAGGCGCTCGCGGAACTTCTCCTCGATGGCGTCCTTGTCCTCCTTCTCCAGCCCCAGCTCCTTCTTGATGATCTTCAGCTGCTCCTGCAGCAGGTACTTGCGGTGCGTCTGCTTGATCTTCTCCTCCACCTGCGGGGCGCGGGCTCAGGCGGGGGGCCGGGCCGGGGCGGGGGGCGCGGGCTCCCGGGGTCCCCCGCCCCGCCGCGCGGCCTCACCTCCCGGCCCAGGCGCTGCTGCAGCTTGCTGAGCTCGAACTCCTTCTTGAGGAGGGACAGGGCCTTGTAGAGCCGCTTGGGGATCTGCGGGGAGGGGGCGAGACCCGGAAGTGGGGGTGGCGGCGCCCCGAGAGCGGCCGCCCGCCCACCCACCGGGTTCCAGAAAGACGCGTGCCAGCCCAATTGGGGGAGACCAGAGCGCGGCCTGGGCGAGTCCCCCGCACCAGCCCTCGGGGCAGGGCGGCAGAGAGGACCCCCAACCCGAGGTAGGGGGCGGGGCCAGCGAGGGGGCCATCCGGGCCTGGCTGGGGCAGAGCCTGGCATCGGGGGAGGGCCGAGGGCGGGCGGGGAGGGGGGTGGGATCTCTGCCCGGGGCCTCACGTTGGTCTCCTCCAGCACGTCCTGCAGCTCGTGGGACTCGGCCCCCGTCAGCGCGGCACCCATGTCACTCAGGTAGATGGGGTTGTCCACCACCCTCTGTCCAGCCTGCATCATCTGCAGCACCGACTCCCTGCAGCCGTCAAGTAGCCGCTGCTGCCACTGCTGGACCGGGGGCGCCCGCCACGGAGGCGGGCAGGGAGCACGGGGCGAGGCCCAGGGGCCCAGCAGGCCCCCCAAGATGCCCCCTCCATCGTCACTGAGTGGCAGCGACCGCACCCCCGCCTCCCCTGGGAGAGACTCCAGGCCCCGGCACCCGACTGGGCTCTGCGCTCCCCACAGTCCAGGGGGGCCAGAGTGCCCCCCAGCCTCCCCCCGGCGGCCGAGCCCAGCTGCCCGCAGGCCCCACCTGTAAAGCGGGTTCAGGGCGATGATGTCCCGGATGGTCTTCACGATCTCGGCCGTCAGGGCCTGGCGAGGGCGGAGGGGGGGCCAGGTGAGGGGGGCGCCTGCGCCACATCGGCCGGGACCAGGGGCCCCGGGGCCCGGGGGCGGCCCGGCCGGCTGACCTTGACTTCCTCCGTGACCTGGAAGTCCTCGTGCGTCACGTTCTCCACCTCGACCATGAGCACCTCGCCGGGCGCGTCCAGGGCAGGCCCCAGCACCACGTCGGCCTGACGCCCCTCGTCCGCCTCCTTCCTGCCCCGCTTGGGCTTCCTGCGGGGCTTCTGCTCCGGTCCGGCCGCCGCCGCCGCCTCCTCCATGGGCTCCACCTCCAGCTGTCGGCTGATGTGGATCCTGGGGGCAGCCGGGCAGGGCGGCGTGAGGCCCCCCAGCCCCTTCCTCAGCGCCCCGAGGCCGCCACCTCCAAGTCAGAACAGATCCGCCGGCACCTCCTCCGAGAGGCTCCCCGGGATCTGCAGGGGTGGTGCCCGAACGCAGGGTCCCTCTCCCAGCACTTTCCTCTGCCCCCAAATCTCCGCCCCCCACCCATTTCCGGGGCTCTCCCTCCCCAGCTGGGTGGGGCGCCCTGTACCCCACCGAGTGCGGGCAGACACCAGGCCGTGTCACCCCTGGACTGGACGACCCCCACTGGGGATGTGGCCCCCCGACTTCCACCCCAGCCCCCCGCCCTGCCGGCCCCCACACCTTCGGTGCCCCATGACAATCATCCGCAGCTTGTCCCCGAGGTCCTGCATCTCATGGATCTGGACAAACGTCCCCGTGTGGTAGACCTCGTCCAGGCTCTCGACCACATCGGACTCATTGCTGAGGGGGACGAGAGGCCGAGGGGGGCTCAGCACGGGGAAACCCCCCTGCGGGGACCCGCCCGCCAGGCTCTACCCCAAAGCAGGTCAGGACACAGGAAGGGGCCTCGGGGTGGAGGTCCCCCCGCGCCCGACCACTGCACGGCTCCCAGGATGGGCTCAGCTCTTGGCCTTGACCTCTCGCCGGACTACTTCCAGGTTAAGGGTCTGGCAGCCCAGGCAGCTCCCGGGACCCGGTCTGCAGGGAAGAGGCCACTTACTTGTCGTCCTTCTTGAGAAAGACGCCGGCGTACGGCTGGGCCAGGCGGACCTTCCTCCTGAGCAGCTCGACCAGCTTCTTATTCTTGACCTGGCAGGACAGCGACCGACCAGGGCAGTGAGCTGGGGGTGGGGGGGGTCTACTCCCGCTCCCACTCGCCGCACAGCCCCAGGGGCTAGAAGGATTCGCGGGCCACAGGCGACCCGGGCCCCGGGAACGAGTCAGCACAACCCGGGGGGTGGGGGGGGCCTGACCCTGGAACGGAAGACAAAACCAGCCAGTGGGGGCCCTGTAGTGGGACAGGGTGTGGGTGGGGGGCGGCCGCCAACCAACGGTCAGAACCGAGACACGGGCCAAAAGTCCAATGTCCAGCGCGGCTTTCTCTGACGATCTGAGCCAGGGGCACTTTGGTGGTGGGACCCGTGCTGGGGGGGTGCCCAGGGCCTGATCCTGGTTGCGCACAGCAGCGCCCCCTGGCGGCGCTTTGGTGCTATAATTCCCGGCTACGTGCTCAGAAGTGCCCCCCTCGTGGCGCCCAGGCAAGGCGGGCACCGTCCGGCCGCCAAGCGGGCCAAAGGTCGGGATCACCCCCATCCCTCCTCTTCGAACCCCAGCAAGGGCTCTAGACAGCGGCCGGGGAGGGTCTGACGCTTCAGAGACATTTTGGGGCAAGAGGGGCCCAGCCCCAGCCTGCTGCTGGCTCTGCAGCCACCCACCCTCCCCTGGTGTCTGCGAGAGGGTCTCAGGACCGGGTGGTCAGGACGTTGTCCACGCCCGCAGCCTTCGGGCTCGGGCCCTGACTGAAAGCTGCGTCGCATCAGGGGCCGCTTCTCAGCCCAGATGGGGGAGCAGAGCACTTCGGCCGCAGGCAGGGTCAAGGGGCTTGGGCACTGGGCTACCCACTGGCCAGCGGCACAGCTGCCCCCAACTCCCAAGTGCAGGTGCGGGACATCTGTGCCCTCCTTTCAGGGAAGCCCCAGGGCCGGCACCTCCTTGACCCTGGGGCCAGCTCAGGCAGGGCGACAGAAACTCCCTGAGGGCCTGGACAGGCGGACAAGGGGTTCTTGCCATTGCCGCAGGGCCGAAGGGGGCCCGGAGCCGAGACACAGGCCTGACCCTAAAAGCCTGGGCAGAAAGCAAGGCCTCCTGGGCATGGGGGTCAAGGAGAGGGGTAGAACCCTGCAAAAGGGCACATTTGTATTTTTTTGGGGGGAGGGGGGCTTTTTGGGGTCACACCCAGCAAAGCTCAAGGGTTATTCCTGGCTCTGCGCTCAGGAATCACTCATGGGAGTGCTCAGGGGATCGTCTGGGATGCCGGGGATTGAACCCCGATCAGCCAAATGCAAGGCAAACGCTCTACCGACTGTACTATGGGTCCGTGAGGGCACACTTCTAGACTGTCAAGAGCCCCGGATAGCAGAGTTTTTGACTTAAAAAGAAAAAGCCTGGGGGCGAGGTGAAGGTGGAGAGACAGGACAGTGGGGAGGGCATTTGCCCTGCCTGTATCCGACCCGGGTTTAATCCCCGGCACCCTATACCATCAGTCGCCCAAGCACCGCCAGGAGTCACCCCCGAATACCACTAGTGGGGCGTGGCCCGAAAACCAAACTTTTTCTTTTTGGTTTGGCGTTCACCCCCAGCAGGGCGGGCAGATCATGTGGTGGGGGGGACTGAACCCCAGGCTCTCGCGTGCAAAGCCTCTGCCGCAGCCTGTCAGCCCCTCCCCGCGTCCCGTGACGGGGCCTGGAGGTGTGTGGGGGCTCCCCCCGACCAACCCAGTGCTCGAGGGAGATGTGGGGTGCCAGGGATCCAGAAGCTTGGAAGCAGGCGCCGTCTCCCCGACCCCAACAGTACTCAGGGATCCCTCTCAGCACGGTTCGGGTAACCCCACGTGGGGCCAGAATTGGAACCGGGGTCAGCGGCATGCAGGCCAGCCCCCCGACAGCGCCCGACTGGGGCCCCCAGGCATGGCGGAACTCTCCCACGTGTGGCCTGGCCTCCCCAGAGGTCGGAGGTGGGTGAGACACTGTCACGCAGGAGGCCTGGAGGAGCGGTCTGCTGGGGGGGGGGTTCCGGTGGGGTGGGGGTCACTAGGAACCGCGACTCCTTCTCTGGGCACGATCACTGAGACTTGGGTGGGTGTGGGGAACGAGGCCTTCAGCACCCTCTCCAAGGCCAGTGCCGAGAGGTCCGGGGAGCTGATTCACTCGGCAGACACTGGTGTGCAGCTCAGCGGGGCCGTGGGCTTTGGGGAGGGGACAGGAGGTTGACTCACTGGGTGACCTCGCTCAGATGACCTTTCCCCTTGGAGCTCTACAGATTCCATGGCATGGAGGGGGGCGGGGAAGGGGGAGGGTGGTGAGGGGCGGGAGGAGGGGGAGGAGGGAATCACATTCGGGATTTTCCCCTGCTCTGAAAACTCAAGCTCCGGGCACCCAAGTCTCTTTCACCCTCTTACATCAGCCAGCCCCACCTCCCCTCCCCCCCACTCAGGGCTCCCTGCGTGCAAGTCTGGGGCGGGGGGGGGGGGGGGGTCGCTGTTCCCTTTCTCCCCTGGCACTGCAATCCCGAAGAGGTCACCTTCCCAGCCGTCTGCCCCTCGGTCCACAAGGCCCACCTGGGAGCGGGTCACAGACACTGAAATGAGCCACAGAGATGCATCCCCAGGCCCGTGGTACTGGGGGTTTCGGATCCCCAGGACAGTTCAAGGGAGAAAGGGGCGGAAACTGTATCCATGCATGAAACTCCAGCGCAACAATGTAACACACACACACCCCCATTCCGCTCTGCCCCGACCCACCAACGCACACGGTGCCAGCCCAGCCCCAAAGGCAAAAAAAAAAACCAAAACACAGCGTGTCCCTGGCGGTGCCCCGAGCACCGGCGCGGTCGGGGGTCTCCGGAGTGGGGTCGACCCCCGCCAGGGCTCGCGAGCCGCAACGTTGCCCTGTCCGCGGGGTTTCTCCATGGGCGGCGAACGAGGGGGTTCGGACAAGCCCCCAGGGTGCAAGCAAGATTCCCGCGCCCCCCCCCAAAGCAGGGAGGCTCTTGGGGGCTCCGGTCCCTTCTAGTGGGGGGGGGAATCCGGCTGCGGGGGGCTTCTTGGCCTGGCAGGCGGCCGGCCCGGGTTCGAGCCCCGGGACCCCGCGTGCACCACCGGGGGTGAGCCTGGAGGTCGCGAGGGCCCGGGTCTCCGGCCGGCCCGGACCCGGACCCGGACCCGGACCCGGACCCGGACCGGCCCGGGCGCCCCGTTACCTCGATGATCTTGATGAAGCGCGGGAAGACCGGGTTGCGCGTGACGGCGACGAGCGGCAGGTGCGGGAAGACGTCGGGGATGGTCATGGGCGTGAGCGCCGTCACGGCGGGGCCCTCGCCGCCCCCCGCGCCCCCCGCGCCCGCCGCGCCCGCGTCCTCCGCGCCGCCGCCCTCGGGCCCGTCCTCGCCGCCCGCGAACGCGCCCCCGCGCGCGCCCGCGCCCCAGAGCGCCCGGCAAGGAGCGGCCGCCGCGGGCCCGCGGCCCCAGGGCGCCCCGCAGGCCGCGGCGTCGCACGCCCGCCAGCCGCGCCGCGCCCACGCGCCGCCCGCCGCCGCGCCCCGCGCCCCGGCGCCGCCCAGCCGCGGCCCCCGCAGCGCCCAGCCCCGCGCGGCGCCCCACAGCCGCACGTAGCCTGCGCCCGCCGCCATGGCCCGGCCATCCTGGCGGCGCGCGCCGATGGCGTCACTTCCTCGCGCCGCCCGGCCCGCCGGGCGCACGTGACCCGCGCGCGCGGGCCCGGCGGGCGGGGGCGGGCCCGGAGCAGCGGGCGGGCGGGGCGGGGCGGGGCGGGGCCCGGGGCGGCGGCGGCGGCGTGGCCGAGGAGTCGGGCGGGGCCCGAGCGCAGGGGGCGGGGTCAAAGCGGTGGGTGGGGGCGTGGCCCGGATCGGAGGCGTGGCCGAGGAATAGAGCCTGGCCCGGGTGAGGGCGTGGTCCGGGCGCAGGGGGCGGGGCCGGAGCAGCGGGCGGGGCGGGGCCCGGGGCGGCGGCGGCGGCGTGGCCGAGGAATCGGGCGGAGCCCGAGCGCAGGGGGCGGGGTCAACGCGGTGCGTGGGGCGGGGCCCGGGTCGGGGGCGTGGCCGAGGACTCAGGCGTGGCCCGGGTGAGGGCGTGGTCCGGGTGCAGGGGGCGGGGCCCGAGCGCATGGGTCGGGGTCAAAGCAGGGGGTGGGGGCGTGGCCGAGGAATCGGGCGTGGCCCGAGCGCTGGGGGCGGGGTCAACGCGGTTTGTGGGGGCGTGGCCCGGATCGGAGGCGTGGCCGAGGAATCGAGCGTGGCCCGGGTGAGGGTGTGGTCCGGGCGCAGGGGGCGGGACCCGAGCGCAGGGGGTGGGGTCAAAGCAGTGGGTGGGGGCGTGGCCGAGAAGTCAGGCGTGGCCCGGGTGAGGGCAGGGTGCAAGCGCAGGGGGCGGGGCCCGAGCGCATGGGGCGTGGTCAATGCGGTGGGCGGGGGCGTGGCCCGGGTCGGGGGCGTGGCCGAGGACTCAGGCGTGGCCCGGTGAGGGCGTGGTCCGGGCGCAGGGGGCGGGACCCGAGCGCAGGGGGAGGGGTCAAAGCAGTGGGCGGGGGCGGGGCCCGGATCGGGGCCGGGCCCGAGCGCAGGGGGCGGGATCAAAGCAGTGGGTGGGGCGTGGCCTGGGTCTGGGGCGTGGCCGAGGAATCGGGCGTGGCCCGGACGCAGGGGGCGTTTCCCGGGCGGAGCCCTGCGGCCGGGCCCTCTTCCAGGAGTGCGCACCCGGACCAACTCTAAGGGTGCACGGCTGTTTTTTTTTAGGGTTTTTTTTTTTTGCTTTTTGGGTCATACCCGGCGTTGCTCAGGGGTTCCTCCTGGCTCGTGCACTCAAGAATTACTCCTGGCGGTGCTCAGGGGCACCCTATGGGATGCTGGGAATCGAACCCGGGTCGACCGCACGGCCAACGCCCCACCCGCTGTGCTATCGCTCCAGCCCCTGAGGGTGCACGGTTGACACCCTCAGACCAAAGCAGGGTTAGCCGCCGGTGGACCTTGGCCGCACGTGGGCAGTCCCGTGCCTTCTGCGCTTAGGCGTCCGGGGGCTTCGCTGCCGGCTCATTTGGCTTTCGCGGGAGGCCGTGCACAGTCCACCAGACGTGCCCCGAGTGGGGCCGACCCGGGACCGACAAGCGCCTGCTCGACCTCCTGCCCCCACCTCCCCCGCAGCCTTCACTCCCTTCCCCCAAGTCCGGACCCTCCGGCGGGAGCACCGTCTGCGCATGCGCAGACCGAGCCGGGGTCCCCGGGGGAGGAGGCCGTTGAAGGCCAGTGTCCTGCAGCGGATCCCGGGGAAGATGCTGCTGTTGGCGCTGCTGGTGGCGGCGGCGCAGGCCTCGCTGCCGTGTCCTCCGGCCAAACCTAGAGAGCCGAGCCAGTGGGGCCACCCTTCCCAGGCTGGGGTTTCCGCGGGGCTCAGGGGCAGGAGGGGCCGGGGGCGAGATCATTTCCACTCCTGACTCGGAGGAGTGCGTGAGATTTGAGGGAAGAGTTGGTCTCAAGGTCACTGTGGCTGCAGGGTGCCCTTGACAGCTGACCGAGTGCAGGGCCCACCCCGGGGATGAACGAGCAGCTCTGTGTGCCTGTGTGTGCGTGCCCCTTCCGCTCACAGAAGCTTTTCTTAATGTCTGGGTTTGTGGTGCTTCCGGGCCACACATCAAACAGTGCTCAGGAGTCACTCCTGACTCTGCACTCAGGAATTTGGCAGTGTTTGCGGAACCGTATGGGGTGCCAGAGCTCAACCCGGGTCTGCCCTGTGCCAGGAAAGTGCCCTTCCCAGTGTACCGTATTCCCTCCAAACCCAAAATTTTTGTTTTTATTTTATTCTTTCTCTCTCTTTTTTTTTTTTTGGGACGGGGGGATTGTTTCTGGGTCACACCCGGCAATGCTCAAGGGTTACTCCTGGCTCTGCACTCAGGAATCACTCCGGGGACCATATGGGATGCCAAGGATCGAACTCAAATTGAGCCAAATGCTCTCTCCACTCTCCTATTGATCCGCGCCCTCTGGTGGGATTTGCTGCACATTCCACAGATTTTTTTTTTCTTTTTGTGTCACACCCGGCGATGCTCAGGGGTTACTCCTGGCTCATGCACTCAGGAATCACTCCTGGCGGTGCTCAGGGGACCACATGGGATGCTGGGAATGGAACCTGGGTCGGCCACGTTGGCCGCGTGCAAGGCAAACGCCCTACCCGCTGTGCTATCGCTCCAGCCCCTTCCACAGATGTTGATCGCTGGTGTCTCCGGTCTCCCTTCCAGGTTTCGTATGGTGAGGACTGACAAGCTGTTTGATCAGGTCCAAGGGGTACGTGATTTCGGTCGTAGCGACCCTTCCTTCACCAACTTACTGCATCAAGGGGGCATCAGGGAGGGCACTTGCCCTGCACGCAACTGGGTTGGATCCCTGGCACTCCATAGGGTACCTCGAGACCCCCCAGGTGTGATCCCTGAACACCAAACCACGTGAAATCCCTGAGCACCACTGAGTGTTTTTAGCACCCAAACCAAAACCAAATACATCGTGTGCTATATATTGGCCTTTCCACGTATTCTTCTTCAAGTGTCTGGTTTTGAAGATGTTGGCTATGGGATTCTTTCTCCACTGGCCTCTGTTTTGGTTCGGTTCGGTTCGGTTTGGTTTGGTTTGGTTTGGTTTGGGGGCCACACAGGGCAATGTTCAGGGGTCATTCCTGGCTCTGCACTCAGGATTTACTCCGAGCAGTGTTCAGTGGACCCTATGGGATGACGGGGATCAAACCAGGCTCGGTGGCAGGCAAGGCCAGTGCCCTCTGTGATCTTCTGTCGCTCCAGCCCTGTCGTTTTTGGTTTTTAAGATCCACAACCAGGGTTGGAACAAGGGGACTTTCTCTTAGTGTCTGTGATTCTTGCTAAGATTCTCATATCCAGTGTGACGCTCTTCCTAGGACTTGCTCTATTCTGCATCTAGAACTCCACTCTTGATTAAACATCCATGTGACGAAAACATTGTCTTGTATTTAGGGTAAGTACATTTCATTTCCGATTCCCTTCCCATTGTCTGGGTGTGGGGACGGAGGGGCACACCCAGCCGAGCTCAGGGCTACTCCTGACTCTCTACCCTTACGGTCTTGGGGACAGATCACTAGGGTCTCCCTGTTACAGTTTTCCAGACTTTGGGGGAGGGGTGGGTATCCAGAGAAGACGGGGCTGGGAATGAGTACAGAGCTTAGGCTTGCCCTGCATGCAGCCAACCCTGGTCCAACCCCCCAGCACCATATTGGGTTCTCCTGATCACCACTAAGGTTGGCTTCGGAGCACAGAGCCGTGAAAAATTCCAGAGACCTCTCCTTGCCACGGAGCCAGGAATAGCTCCTGTGCACACCACCAGGGGGCGCTCCTGAGCACCGACCCAGCAATAGCCACTGAGTACCAACAGGGGGAGCTGCTGAGCCCAGAGCTGAGTATAACCCCTGAACACCACCAGGGGGCGCTCCTGAACACAGGAAAAAATCATTGCGTGTGACTGGATGTGGGTGACACAGGGGTCACTCCTGGTTCTGCACTCAGGAATTATTCCTGGTAGTGCTCAGGGGACCATATGGGATGCGGGGAATTGAACCCGGGTCGGCCGCTTGCAACCCAACCCAGGTCAGGCACTCAGGAATTACTCCTGGCAGTGCTCGGGGAACCCTCTGGGATAATGGGAACCGAACCCGGGTCGGCCGCGTGCAAGGCAAACGCCCTACCCGGCTGTGCTATCTCTCCAGGCCTCCCCTTGGCTAACTTTTAAAAGTTTGTCATGTGTTTTCAGTTGAGACAAAGGAAGAATAGTTTCTCTTTTTTCCCTCCTGCTTGAATTCTTTGTTTTCCCTATTTTATCATCGCGATGGTACCAGAAGGACAAGAGGATTTACAGTTAGGCCTTTGGTGCACAAAATTACTGCTCTTCTCTTGTTCGTTTGGGGGTCCCACCTGGCAGTGCTCAAGACTTTTCCCTGCCTCTGTGCTCAGGGATCACTCCTCAGGGACTCAGCTCTCTCTAGCCCTGAAAGATTATCCTAATTTCACTCCTGTGTTGCTTCCTCCAGAAACAGAGTCTTTTTCTCGACAAATAACTTTGAAAGCAGCCTGTTTCCACTGAGAATCCCTATCTCGTTTAAGGTACCTATTTTCTGGACAATCTCAAGTGTTTGGGGCTGGAGAGAGTACGGCTCACCCTGGCCCAATACCCCACATCGCAAATGGTCCCCGAGTCCACCAAGAGTCATTGCTGAGTGCAGAGGCAGGCGTTACTCCGGGGGCTGGAGCCATAGCACAGCGGGGAGGGCGTTTGCCTTGCACGCGGCCGACCTAAGTTCGATTCCCAGCATCCCATAGGGTCCCCTGAGCGCCGCCAGGAGTAATTCTTGAGCGCAGAGCCAGGAGGAACCCCTGTGCATTGCCGGGTGTGACCCAAAAAGAAAAAAAAAGAGGCAGGCGGTACTTCTGAGCACTGATGGTTGTGACTGTGACCCGCCCCCCCACCACACACACACAAAACGCAACTAGAGTGTTGAAGTCACTAGAATGATAAAACAGTGGGGAGGACGCTGGCCTTCCATGTGGCCACACCTCACACCTGGCAGTGCTCAAGACTTATCAATCCTTGGCATCCTTGGCATCCTTGGGTTCAATCCTTGGCATTCATAAGGCCCCCTGAGCCCCACCAAGTGTGATCCCTGAGCATAGAGCCAGCGGTCAGCCCTGAGCACCACTGGGCGTCGCCCCAAACAAGAAACCAAACAAGAAGAAAAGAGATCAGAGAGGAAACACGGGAATTAAGGTACATCCCTGGGGCTGGAGCGATAGCACAGCGAGTAAGGTGTTTGCCTCACAGGCGGCCGACCTGGGTTCGATTCCCAGCATCCCATAGGGTCCCCCGAGCACCGCCAGGAGTCATTCCTGAGTGCAGAGCTAGGAGTAAGCCCTCACCAAAAAAAAAAAAAAATTGCTTTTATAACCTGCACTTATGGGGCTGTTTGTCATCTTGCTTCTTTTTTGTTTGGTTTTGGTTTTCAGGCCACATCTGGCGATGCTCAGGGGTTCCTCCTGGCTCTGCACTCAGGAATTACTCCTGGCGGTGCTCGGGGGACCCTCTGGGGTGCCGGGGATCGAACCTGGGTCGGCTGCATGCAAGGCCAGTTCCCTCGGGCCTGGAGCAATAGGACAGCAGGGAGGGCGTTTGCCTTGGACATGGCCAACCCGGGTTCGATTCCCAGCATCCCATAGGGTCCCCTGAGTACCGCCAGGGGTCATTCCTGGGTGCAGAACCAGGAGGAACCCCTGTGCAACACCAGGCGTGCCCCAAAAGTGAAAATAAATAAATCACGACACAAATCACGACCATCCTGTTATTCGTCGATTGCCTCGAGCAGGCCCCAGTAACGTCTCCTTCATCCTAGCCCTGAGATTTTTAAGAAAGTGCCATATTCAAGGCTCTTTAGGAGAATGAGACCCAGTGTAACCTGCCCACACGGCAGAGCCTGGCAAACTCCCCGTGGCGTACCCAATATGCCAAATACCAGTAAATAAATAAAGTTAAATAATAAATAATAAAGTTAAATAAAGTTAAGAAAAAAAAAAAAGGCCAATTCCCTCCCCATTGCCCAGTCACTCTGGCCTGATGTTAAGCTGCTTCTTTGGGTGGGGGGTGTCTCCCAAGGAGAGCCCAGAAAGTGGGGGGACCCCCTGGAGATTCCTGTCTCCCCCCCACCCCAGAACCGTAGTTCATTGGTACAGCGCAAGGATGCAGAGCTGTCAGGCTCTGTGGAGTTGGGGGCCACCAGGATCAACCCGGCAGTGCTCAGCGTCCCCTGACGTTCTTCCTTTCAGGTCGACAGAGCAGAAGTCACCGCGGCCCACTTCACCAGGTCGATGTTGTTGCTGGTCGTGAATTTTCACGTCTACATTTATGATTACAAGGTTGACTTCTGGCTCACGCCGGAAGGTGACATGTGGTTGGGAATGTGTGTGTGTGTGTGTGTGTGTGTGTGTGTGTGTGTGTGTGTGTGTGGTGAGAGTCAGACTCAGAACTTCCCACATTCAGGGAGAAAGAGAGAAGGAGGAGGAGGAGGAGGAGGAGGGAGGGGGGGGAGGAGGAGGGGGAGGATGGGGAGGGGGAGGAGGAGAAGGAGGAGGAGGGAGAGGGGGAGGAGGAGGGGGAGGGGGAGGAGGGGGAGGAGGAGGAGGAGGAGGAGGGCTGGAGTGATAGCACGGTCAGGAGGGCTTTTGCCTTGCATGCAGCTGGCCCGGGTTCGATTCCCAGCATCCCATAGGGTCCCCCGAGCACTGGCCAGCACTGCCAGGAGTAATTCCTGAGTGCAGAGTCAGGAGTATCCCCTGAGCATCGCCGGCTGTGACCCCCCTGCAAAAAAAGCAAAAAAAAAAAAAAGAAAGAAAAGAAGGGAGAAAGGAGAGAGGGAGGTATGGAGAGGGGATAGGAGGAGAGAAGGGGGGAGGGAGAGGAGGATGAGGGAGGGAGAGGAGGGAGGAGGGGGACTAGTGATCTCCGTGGCCGTGACCTTGCCCTTCCAGGAATAGCACACCCCGTGTCGCACGTCTCCGGAGACAACTGCTGCTATAGCTCAGAGCCCGTCTGCTTGGTGAGGACCCTGTGCGCGACTCTGGGTGACGGGGGCCGTCCCCGATGGTGCTCGGGGGCCGTGCCCAGCTCTGTGCTTGGGGACGGGCCTGGCAGTGCCCCGGGGCCTGTGTGCGGTGCCAGAGATTGCACTGGGGTCAGTCAAGGCGATGCTTCTTGTCCTCTCCGGCCCGAGAAAGTAGGTCTGTTTTTTTTTTTTTTTGCTTTTTGGGTCACACCCGGCGATGCTCAGGGGTTCCTCCGGGCTCTGCACTCAGGAATGACTCCTGGCAGTGCTCGGGGGACCATCTGGGATGCTGGGAATCGAACCCGGGTCGGCCGCGTGCAAGGCAAATGCCCTGCCCGCTGTGCTATCACTCCAGCCCCAAGGAACACTTAAACCTACATCGCCAGTAGGTTTCTCCAGCCCCTGATAAGTCATCCCTTGCTTTCTAGAACTTTCTTCCCAGCCAGTGGCACGTCTGCACTCTTGGAGCTGATCTCCGCCAACGCGCCCCTCCCCTGCCCCCTCCCTCCGCCCACCCCCCCGCCAACAACTCACACCACCACCTTCGTGTCTCGCAGGCTGTAAGTAGAACTGTGTTCGCTTACTTACACGGAGCACAGGTATCAGACGCCACGCTCTATATTTCCGTGACCGAGGGGCTCAGTTTCAGACCCTACAGCTACAGAAGGCAGGTAAGTAAGTTCAGGGCCGGAGTAATAGCACGGGGCTGGGGGGGGGGGGGGCGCTTATCCTTGCACCCGGCCGACCCCAGCTCCATCTCTGGCATCCCACGAAGTTCCCGCCAGAAGCGATCCCTGAGGGCTGGAGTGATAGCACAGCGGGGAGGGCGTTTGCCTTGCATGCAGCCAACCCGAGTTCAATTCCCAGCATCCCAGAGGGTCCCCCGAGCACCGCCAGGAGTCAATTCCTGAGTGCCTGAGCCAGGAGTAACCCCTGAGCATCGCCGGGTGTGACCCAAAAAGCAAAACAAACAAACAAACAAAAAAAAACAAAAAAGAAAACCAGTGACAGGCTGGAGCAATAGCACAGCGGGGAGGGCGTTTGCCTTGCATGCGGCCGACTCGGGTTCGATTCCCAGCATCCCATAGGGTCCCCCGAGCACCACCAGGAGTCATCCCTGAGCGCATGAGCCAGGAGTCACCCCTGAGCATCGCTGGGTGCAACCCAAAAAGCAAAAAAGAAAAAAAAATAGTGATCCCTGAACCAAGAGAGCCAAGAGGCCAAAAGTCAGCCCCCAGCACCTTTGGGTGCACCACGCCACACGCAGCCTCCGGCACCCCACCCCGCCCCCGTTTCAGCCCCTTTCGCCTCCAAGGATGGTTCAGTGCCCCGGTGAGAGAGACGCCCAGGGGCCTGTTACTCGCAGAATCTTCTGGCTGCGTTGGGCGTTTGTTGGGGCTGGGGTTTGGTGCTCACGGCTGACCTCTGGCGGTGGGGCCGGGGATCGAACCCCGCTGCCGGGCGCTGGGTCCTGACCTGGTCCTTGTATCTCCTAGGAGGAGTTCCACGGATATCTGGGAGGGATCTTCAACTTCTACAGCCTGTCCCAAGTGGGGCTGCTTTTCTATTACAACAGGAGGGTAAGTCTCTCCGGTCCGCACCGTGGACATCCCGTGCAAAGCCGCGGTGGGGATGTGACTCGGCAGGAAACCAGCAGCCCAGGCTGGAGCGATGGCACAGCGGGGAGGGCGTTTGCCTTGCACGCGGCCGACCCGGGTTCGATTCCCAGCATCCCATATGGTCCCCCGAGCAGCACCAGGAGCGATTTCTGAGTGCAGAGTCAGGGGTAACCTAAAAAAGAAAAAAAAAGAAGGAAAACCACGTGCCTCATATGTGAGGCCCCAAGTCGGATCCCAAGAACCACACACACACACACACACACACACACACACACACACGCTCTGAACCTTTTTTCTTTCCCTTGGAAGGGGCCACCTCTGGTGGTTGTCAGCGCCGACACCTAGCTGAGGGGTCGCTCCTGGCGGGGCTCAGAGGATGCCAGGGATGGAACCCAGGTTGGCCGCCTGCAAGGCAAACACCTTACCCACTGTCCTATTGCTCCAGTCCCCACCCACCCATACTTACACCGTCCACCCTCCTCGCCCACTCAGTACTCATTTATCCTTAAGTAGGGCGTTTGCCTTGCATACAGCCAACCCGAGTTCGATTCCTCTGCCCCTCTCGGAGAGCCCGGCAAGCTACCGAGAGTATCTCGCCCACACGGCAGAGCCTGGCAAGCTCCCCGTGACATATTCGATATGCCAGACACAGTAACAACAAAGTCTCCAATGCCAGACACAGTAACAACAAAGTCTCCAATGCCAGACACAGTAACAACAAAGTCTCCAATGCCAGACACAGTAACAACAAAGTCTCCAATGCCAGACACAGTAACAACAAAGTCTCCAATGGAGACGTTACTGAGCCCGCTCGAGCAAATCGATGAACAACGGGAGGACCGTGGATCCATCCATCCATGCACGCACATACTCGTGCCTGTTACTCCACTCCGATACCGATTCTGCCATTGATCTGCGAGTACTGAGCCCTCTCAACCAATTTTCTTGCTCGGCCACCTACTGTCCACCCAGTAACTTATCCTGTCACCCACCCACCGGCCACTCACTGCTGAATCATCCATCCGTCCACTCATTCAAGCCATTTCTCCTTCCCGTACCATTTGGCCATTCATTCACCTACCCATCCTTCCATCCATCCATCCATCCATCCAATCCATCCCACCATTAATCTCCTCATCTTTCATCCGTCCATCACCCTTTAGTACATCCATCTGCCCACCCCCCTGTTATTTCTTTTTTTTTCTTTTTGGGTCACACCCAATGATGCTCAGGGGTTCCTCCTGGCTCTGCACTCAGGAACCACCCCTGGAGGTGCTCCGGGGACCCTATGGGATGCTAGGAATCGAACCCGGGTCAGCCGCGTGCAAGGCAAACGCCCTCCGCGCTGTGCTGTCGCTCCAGGCCCCAGGCAACTATCCATCCTTCTGCTCACTTTTCCATCCACCTCTCCATCCGTCCATCCATCCATCTGACTATCCGTCTGTCTGTCCGTCCACCCATCCTTCTCCTCACTTTCCGATCCATCTTCCCGTCTGTCCGCCCATTCGCCTTCCGGTCATCTCCTCCCTGCAGGCCAAGTTCAGTTACTCCGAGCACCCCCTGAACCGCAGCTTTGGGCAGTCTTTTGACTACAGACACAACCCTAACATCCTCATCCCGCCGGGCCAGAAGGGCACCCTGATCTTCTGGAGCAAAAGGAGCCTGTTTATTTCTCGAAACACAGGTAAGCCCAGCCCAGGCTCAGAGCCCACCTCCTGGTGGAGAGCGGGGGTGGGGGGGTGGGAACGCCCCGAGCCCTGACTTCCTCTTTCCTCTGATTGAATGCTTGTGATAGCAAACCGTTCCCTATCTTCAGGCCCCCTCCCTTCCCCCATCTGACCTACTAAGGCAGCGGGTCCACGTCTTTGACCCAGGAAACGCATCTCTGGTCTGGAAGGTGGCGTGGCGACTTTCAGATGTGGGGAGGGCTGCCTTCTCCCACATCCCCCCGAGGCCCAAGACAGAGCTGTGCTGGCAATGTGCAAGATGCCTCCGCCCCCAGCCCCCAGCCAGAGTAAGGCAGAGAGCCAGAGGCAGCCCACCTGGGAAGAAGTGAGGTTGAGGATGCAGTGCACAGCGAGGCTGCAGGCACACCCGCCATCACAGCCTGCTCCCAACCCCAGGACAGAGCCTGGATAGGGATGCTTCACCGGTGCAAGGACAGGACTCGTGGGGTGACTCATCTCTGTGGAGAACTCATGCCAGAAAGAGAACCAGATCATATTCTTTTTTTTTTCTTTTTGGGTCACACCCAGCAATGCTCAGGGGTTCCTCCTGGATTTGCCACTCGCCTGGCTTTGCTTTTTTTTTTTTTTTTTTTTTTTTGCTTTTCGGGTCACACCTGGCGATGCTCAGGGGCTACTCCTGGCTTTGCACTCAGGAATCACCCCTGGCGGTGCTCAGGGGACCCTATGGGATGCTGGGAATTGAACCCGGGTCGGCCGCCTGCAAGGTAAACGCCCTCCCCGCTGTGCTATCACTCCAGCCCCTCTCTGCCGTCTTTTAGCCTCGGAGGGACCCGATGGCCCTGCATACTGTTCCGTGCCTGTGTTCTTCTATAGGTCAGCTCGTGAGACCAGTCTACTTGGAGGAAGCTTACCACAGCCCCTTGAAGACCATGTCTGATCTCAATCTGACTATCCACAGCGTGGCCGCTAGTAAGTCCCTCCCCCCAGCATGGCAGAGAACTTTCTAGAAGTTTCCCTTTTTAGGGTTTATATTTTTGAAATTTTGGTGCGGGAGGTCTGGAGTGATAGCACAGCAGGGAGGGCGTTTGCCTTGCACACGGCCGACCCGGGTTCTATCCCTGGCATCCCGTATGGTCCTCCGAGCACCTCCAGGAGTAGTTCCTGAGTGCAGAGCCGGGAGTCACCCCTGAGAATCGCTGGGTGTGACTCAAAGAGCAATAAATAAATAACAAATAAATGAAAAAGTTTGGTGGGACTCCAAGACAGTTCCCAGGGAATCTGATAGTCTCTCCAAACACAGTGGTGGAATTTTAATTTTAATTTTTTACTTTGACCTTTATTTGATTTTTGTTATTATCATTGTTCTTCTTTCTTTTATTTAATTTTTTTTTGGTTTTGCTTTTGGGGTCACACCCAGTGATGCGCAGGGGTTACTCCTGGTTCATGCACTCAGGAACTATTCCTGGTTGTGCTCAGGGGACCATATGGGATGCTGGGGATCGAACCCGGGTCGGGCTGTGTGCAAGGCAAATGCCCTCCCCGCTGTGCCATCACTCCAGCCCCTTATTTAAATTTTTGAGCCACAACCCAGGGTTCTCAGATCTCATTCCAGGCTCGGTGCTCAGGGATCACTCCTGGCAGTATCGAGGGACCCTATGGGGTGTTAGGGATTGAGCCCAGCTTGGTGACATGCAAGGTAAACACCTTTCCTTCTGTCCCTGTTCCCTATTTCTCTGACTTGAGGGGCTCACACCAGCAGTGCTCAGGGGTTTCTCTCTGCTCTGTGCTCAGGGGTCATTTCTCGGTGATGTTCAAGGGACCTTAGAAAGCCAGTGATGGAACCCGGGCACCTTATGAAGCTTTTAAATATATAAAAACAAAATGATGGGGGCTGGAGCGATAGCACAGCGGGGAGGGCGTCTGCCTGGCACGCGGCCGACCCGGGTTCGATTCCCAGCCTCCCACATGGTCCCCCGAGCACCGCCAGGAGTAACTCCTGAGTGCAGAGCCAGGAGGAACCCCTGTGCAACGCCCGGGTGTGACCCAAAAAGAAAAAAAAAATAGTAACAACAAGTCTCACAGTGGAGATGTTACTGGTGCCCACTCGAGCAAATCGATGAACAACAGAACGACAGTCCTGCAGACAGTACTTGTTTGGGAGTCGCACCCAGTGGTGCTTCGCGGTTACTCCTGGCTCTGTGCTCAGGAATCAGTCCTGGCGATGCTCAGGGGACCCGATGGGAGACCGGGGTTTGAATTCAAGCCAGCCGTCTGCAAGGCGAGTGCTCGATCTGCTAGTCCTACCGTTCCAGCCTGGACAATTTCAAGTATTTCCGTCCAGTGAAATAACCCTCGTTGAAATGTTTTGTGTGTTCTCTTGTCCCTAGATCAAAACGAAATGGCGATGTTAACGAAGCAGAATAATTTGTATTACGGTTTCCAGGGAATCCTGTCGACGACACTAATGAAAGTACGTCACAAGCAAAACTGTGTCATTTCCAGGTTGGTTGGGGCGAGAGGGGTTTTGTTTTTGTGCGTTTGTTTTGGGTCACACCCCGCGGTGCTCAGGGCTTCCTCCTGGTTCTGTGCTCAGGGATCACTCCTAGCGCGGCATCGGAGACCCTTGTGGGGTTCCGGGAAAGTGACCCCAGGCCAGCCACATGCAAGGCGAGTGTCCTCCCCGCTGGACTTTCTCTCCGGTCCGCAGGAAAAAGTGATCCCACACTCAAACTTCGGTTCTTTGGCGCGGGGCTCACTTCTGGCGATGCTCAGAGGAATCGAACCCAGGCTTCGTGTGCATCCCCCGGACTTCCCCTCACTCTCTCTCCAGCCCCTATTTTGTTTTCTCTTCTTTTCAGTTGCCAGACCCGTACTATTTTTCCCCCATGTCCGTCGTGACCTTCTCGGGCTTGGGAAAGCTCGAGATCCTGACGCCAATTCAAGATACGATCCTCTTCATTTTCAATTATGAGAAGTTGCTCTTCAACATGAAAACGCTCCTCATGGACCCCCACTACAGAATTGGTCCCTGCAAAGTATGTGGTCGCTCCTGTCACCTCAGTGTCCCAGGCTCCTCCAAGTATGGGGGAGGGGGGCAGAAAGGGCAGGTAGATCTGCAGCTTGCCGGGTTCCATGGTGAATGGACTCAGACCGGAACAATGGGACAGCTGGAGGGCCCGGGTTCAATCCCAGCCTCCCATGGGGTCCTCTGAGCACCGCCAGGAGTGAGCCCTGAGTGCAGAGCCCGGAGTCGGCCCTGAGCATCGCCGGGTGTGGCCTCAAAACCAAAAGAAAGAAGAAAAACAGCAAAGCTGGAGCTTTCCCACGCATAGCCGAGCACTTGCTTCAGACCTTTAAGTGCCTCTTGAACCCTCAACAAACTCTTGTTTTGGAGGGTACACACTTGACATTGAATTGCTCTTGGCTGTGCACTCAGGGCTAGCTACTGGCGGTGCTGCGGGGGAGGGGGCTATGGGATTCCAGGGATCGAACCCGGGTGGACGGCGCCCTTCCTGCTGTCCTATTTCTTGGTCCAAAAGTTTTTTTTTTAATTTTCTTTGTCATTTTTTTTTCCTTTTCTTTTCTCTTTTCCTTTTGGGTCAGACCCGGCAATGCACAGGGGTTCCTCCTGGCTCTGCACTCAGGAATCACTCCTGGCGGTGCTCGGGGGACCCTGTGGGATGCTGGGAATCGAATTCGGGATGGCTGCGTGCAAGGCAAACGCCCTACCGGCTGTGCTCTTGCTCCAGCCCCTTTCTTTGTCATTTTAAAAAAGGGGGTGCGGGGGGGCTGGAGCAATAGCACAGCGGGTAGGGTGTTTGCCTTGCACGCGGCCGACCCGGGTTCGATTCCCAGCATCCCATAGGGTCCCCCGAGCACCGCCAGGAGTAACCCCTGCGCATCGCCAGGTGTGACCCAAAAAAGCAAAAAAAAAATTAAATAAAAATGGGGGTGGGGGGGCACACCCTTTTGAGCAGGTGGAGTTCCTGGAGGGCGAGTTTGAGAACCGGATGTACACCATCGACATGAACAGCAAACTGGAGCTGACAGCCACAATTGTCCCACGGCCGCTGGCATCCCCCATGCCACTGGTAAGGCTTCCGTCTGCAGGACCAGGGCCGCTGCTGTCTTTCTCTCTGGGTTTCGGGCCGCCCCCGGCGATGCTCGGGGCCTCCGCCCTGGCTCTGTGCGCAGGGATCACTCCCAGTGGCACTCCTGGTGCTTGGGGTCAAATCCGGGTTGGCTGTGCAAGGTCAACACCTCCTGTCCTGTGCTGGCTCTCTGGTCCCTGCAGCCCCAGGGGCCTGAGAGAGTGTGGGGTGACCTAGGGGCCCCATGCCAGAGCACTTGCCTGACAAGCATGAGCTCCTGGTGTGAGCACTGTGGGGGAGAGGAGACAGGGGAGTTGGGAGGAGACGGTTCAAAAGGCTGAAGCGCGTGCTTTGCCCGTGGGAGCTCCGGCAAACGTTGCATGAACCCCCCCCCACAAAAAAAAACAGCAAGCCAGGAGTAACACCCCACCCCACCCCCGCCTGCTCTGCTGGGTGCGCCCTAAAAGCCTGTCAAATTAAAGAGAGGGTGTTCGGGACTGGAGCGATCGCACAGCAGGTAGGGGCGTTTGCCTTGCACGCGGCCAGCCCGGGTTCGATTCCCGGCATCCCATAGGGTCCCCTGAGCACTGCCAGGAGTAACTCCTGAGTGCAGAGCCAGGAGGAACCCCTGTGCATCGCCGGGTGTGACCCGAAAAGAAAAAAAAAAGGCAAATGAATAAATTAAATAAATCAAGAGAGGATGTTCTTTATTTATTTATTTTTTTGCCTTTTTGGGTCACACCCAGCGATGCTCAGAGTTTATTCCTGGCTCTGCACTCAGAAGTTACTCCTGGCGGTGCTTGGGGGACCCTATGGGATGCCAGGGATCGAACCCGGGTCAGCCGCATGCAAGGCAAACGCCCTACCCGCTGAGCTATCACTCCGGTCTCCGAGAGGATGTTCTTTAGTCTGGGATGCAAAGGGGGCAGGTTTCAACTTGAAAAATGGCAGCGTGGGGTGGGGGGCTGGAGCAATAGCACAGCGGGGAGGGCGTTTGCCTTGCATGCGGCCGACCCGGGTTCGATTCCCAGCATCCCATAGGGTCCCCTGAGCACCGCCAGGGGTAATTCCTGAGCGCAGAGACAGGAGTATCCCCTGTGCATCGCCGGGTGTGACCCAAAAAGAAAAAAGAAAAAAAAAAAGAGAAAAACCCAAACAATTCTAATACTAACCCTAATGATCCCAGATCTTAAATTCCCCCTTGATTCGTTACAATAAATCAATAAACAAGAAGAAGAAGGGCCCCAGAGCCAAAGTCCAGCAAGGTAGAGCGTTTGCCTTGTACACGGTCGACCTGAGTTTGACCCCCAGAACTCCATCGGGTCCTCCAAGGAGTGAACCCTGAGCACAGAGCCAGGAGTAAGCCCTGAGCATCGCTGGGTGTGGCTTCAAAACAAAACTGGAGAGGGCATGTTAGCTGTTTAAAAGCAAGTCAGGGGCTGGAGCAATAGCACAGCGGGGAGGGCGTTTGCCTTGCACGCGGCCGACCCGGGTTCGATTCCCAGCATCCCATAGGGTCCCCCGAGCACCACCAGGAGTCATTCCTGAGTGCATGAGCCAGGAGGAACCCCTGAACATCGCCGGGTGTGACCCAAAAAAAAAGCAAAAAAAAAAAAAAGGCAGTGGGGAGGCCTCTCGGAGAGATAGCGCAGGGGGGATGTTACTTGTCTCAGCGCGGCCACGCAGGTGCCAGCCCTGTCAACCCGCAGCACCAGAGGGTCCCTCCAGCACTGTCCAAGGGCGCTCTCGAGTACCACCTGGAGGGGGCGCTCCCGAGCACCGAACCAGGACGACGAGCATCTGCATCTGCGCGCCACCGCCACCAGAGGGCGGTCCTGAGAGCAGAGCCAGGAACAATTGCCCCTGAGCACCACCAGGGGGCACTCCCGAGCACGGGGCCAGGAATCGCAGCACCTAAGCGCCACCAGGGGACGCTCTTGCGCACAGAGCCAGGAACAGCCCCTGAGTTCCAAGGATCGAGGCCCAACTCCCCCCCCCCCATCTCAGATCAAAGAAGAAAAGGAAAAGGGGGCTGGGTGTGGGGGGATCCGGTTAGCAGAAGGGTGGGGGGTGTCCGGTCTGCCCTGGGGTCCCCAGTGGCCCTCACCCCTCTTGGCCTCTCTGATGACCCCGCTGGGTCTTGCCGTGCTGTGGGTGGGGCATCACGGCCAGAGTCGGGGGGCAGATGTCCGTGGGCATCAGACTGGACGCTGCCGGCCCCCCCCCCAGCCTGCTGCCCCCTGACTCTGCAGACACCAGAGTCGTGTCCACAGGCCTGCTCCTGACCTCTGACCCCACCCCCAGGTGTTGGTGAGCAACCCCCACTCCCTGGGGCTGGAGACCAAGATGTACGAGGACAGTTACTTCCTGGACCAGAGCACCAAGTTCAGGCTGGTGAGAGCCTCCCCCACCCCCGCACCGCGCCCCTGGGTGGGGCACCAAGGAACCGGAAGGGGATCCTCCACCCCCGACCCCTGACCCCCGACCCCAGCAGGCAGCAACTGCACAGACGAGTGAGGACCTCGTTCCCGCCCCTGCCGAGCTTTCCCATGGGAAAGTTCTGGTCGCCTGGGGCCAGGGAGGGCAGGAGTGTGCTCACGGGGTAAACTGAGGCAGGAGAGGAGAGGTGAACTGGGGTGGGGGCTGTGGGGGCTGTGGGGGCAGGGCTTGGCCAAAGAAGAGTCTGGAGGGTCCGTCTGGGTCCACACCGTGGAGTTTGGAAGGCTGGTGTTTGGACCACTCCTGGCTCTGTGCTCTGGGATGGCTCCTGGCTCTGTGCTCAGGGCTCACTCTTGGCTCTGTGATCAGGTCTGACTCCAGGCTCTGTGCTCAGGGCTCACTCCTGGCTCTGTGCTCAGGGCTCACTTCTGCGGTACTCAAGGGACCCTGCGTGGCACCAGTAATGGAACCAGGGCTGGCCGCCTACCAGGCCAGCGCCTAATCTGCTGGACAATAGTTGGTCCTGAGTTGGAGTTATCGTGGGTTTTTTGGGGGGGTTGGATTTGCCCCGGGGGTGTTCACTGACTCTTGGCTCTGCTCTGGGGTCACTCCTGGTGGGCCACGGGGGACCCTGTGCACTGCTGGACTCAAACTTGAGTCGGCCACATGCAGGGCAAATGCCTTCCTGCAGTGCTCTCTCCGGAGGGGTGAGTTTGAACTTGACTCAGGATTCCTTCAATCTATCTGTGTCTGTGTGTTGGGGTGTGTGTGTGTGTGTGTGTGTGTGTTTCTGTGTCCGTGTATCTGTGTGTCTGTCTGTTTCTGTGTATCTGTGTGTGTCTGTGTGTCACTGTATCTTTGTATACCTGTGCGTCTTTGCGTGCCTGTGTGTCTCTGTGTGGCTGTGTGTGGCTGTGTGTCTCTGTATCTGTGTGTCTGTGTGTCTCTGTGTGTGCTGTATGTTTCTGTGTGTCTGTGTGTCTCTGTGTCTCTGTGTCTGTATGTGTCTGTGTGTGTCTGTGTGTTTCTGTGTGTTTCTCTGTGTCTGTGTGTGTCTATGCGTGTCTGTGTGTGTCTGTATATGTCTGTGTATCTGTGTGTGTCTGTGTGTCACTGTGTCTTTGTATATCTGTGCGTCTTTGCGTGCCTGTGTATCTCTGTGTAGCTGTGTGTGTCTTTGTGTGTCTGTGTATCTGTGTGTGTCTGTATGTTTCTGTGTGTCTCTGTTTCTGTGTGTCTGTGTGGCTCTGTGTCTGTGTATGTGTCTGTGTCTGTATGTGTCTGTGTGTCTCTGTATGTGTCTGTGTCTGTGTGTGTCTTTGTGTTTCTGTGTGTTTCTCTGTGTCTGTGTGTGTCTATGCGTGTCTGTGTGTGTCTGTATGTGTCTGTGTGTCTGTGTGTTTCTGTGTGTCTCTGTGTTTCTCTGTGCCTGTGTGTGTCTATGTGTCTGTGTGTCTGTGTGTTTCTGTATGTGTGTGTGTCTGTGTGTCTCTGTGTGTTTGTGTGTCTGTGTGTGTGCTGTATGTTTCTGTGTGTCTGTGTGGCTCTGTGTCTGTATGTGTCTGTGTGTCTCTGTGTGTGTCTGTGTCTGTGTGTCTCTGTCTGTATGTGTCTGTGTGTGTCTGTGTGTCTCTCTGTGTCTCTGTGTGCCTGTGTGTCTGTGTGTCTCTGTGTTTCTCTGTGCCTGTGTGTGTCTATGTGTCTGTGTGTCTATGTGTTTCTGTATGTGTGTGTGTCTGTGTGTCTCTGTGTGTTTGTGTGTCTGTGTGTGTGCTGTATGTTTCTGTGTGTCTGTGTGGCTCTGTGTCTGTATGTGTCTGTGTGTCTCTGTGTGTGTCTGTGTCTGTGTGTCTCTGTCTGTATGTGTCTGTGTGTGTCTGTGTGTCTCTCTGTGTCTCTGTGTGCCTGTGTGTCTGTGTGTTTCTGTGTGTCTCTGTGTCTGTGTGTTTCTCTGTGTCTGTGTGTGTCTGTGTGTCCGTGTGCGTCTGTGTATTTCTGTATGTGTCTGTGTGTGTCTGTGTGTCTCTGTGTCTGTGTGTCTCTGTGTGTGTTTGGGCCACACACAGTGCTCTCTGGTGCTCAGGGCTCGCTCTGGTGTTTCTGGGGTCCCCTGCAGTGGTCCCGGGGTATGCAAAGCTGCACTCTGCCCCCGGGCCCAGTGGAGTGAGCGCCTGGGCGGCCGCGCGCGTGGGCGCTGGTCTCCGTGGGGCGCCGCGTGACGCAGCTGTCTCTGGCCCACAGCACATCTCCCTCAAACAGCAGCAACACTCGGGCAGGGCGGACCCCAACTTCACCTCCTGGTAGGTCGCTGCCGCCCAGGGCCCGGGGCTCTAACAGGATGGGTGTCGGGGGGTCCTTCCAGTTGGGGTTGAACGTGGGGTGCGGAGCCAAAGCCCACCGTGCACTGCGGCTGCTTCAGGTTCAGTCCCCGACCCCCCTGGAGTTCCCCGAGCCCTGCAAAGTGACCCCGGAGCACAGAGTCGGGAGTCAGTCCTGAGCACGGGCAGGTGTGGTCCAAAAACAGAACAAAACAAAAATGACGGTGAGCCTGGCGGCCACAAATCTCCAGAACCCAACGGGAAGCCCAGGTGTGCAGGACCGGTGGCTGCAGACGCCAGGCCTCAGGGGATGGGGAGGGGCCACCCCACCCCACCTCCCCGCCCCTTCGGGGGTCCTGGCTCTCATGCCCACAAGCTGCCCCCGGTGCCATTTTAAGCTCTTTTAGGGCCCCGATCCGGAGCCTCTCAAACGAATCTCAGAATGGAGCAGCTCCCTGCAGAGATGTCTCTGGACCCCAATGGTTTAAAATTCTAGAATTCCAGGAGCAAGCGGCCACGAAATGCTCTTATTCATAACAAGCAATCCAAGATAAATTATCTAGCATTTGCCAGTGGGGCGGGCTTGAGGGGTGGTGGGAGGGTGTGATGGGGGTGGAGTGGGTGTGGACATGTTCAGTGTAATCAGTTATTTTGAACGACATTACGAAAAATAAAATTTTAATTAAGGAATTAATTGACGGAAAGGATCTGACCAAATTTAAACACTAAAAATAAATCTTATCTTTGGTTCTCTTTGAAAAAAAAAAAGATGGTGAAGTTAACAAAACCATCATAAAGAGAAGAGGTGGAGTCTCAGGGAAGGTCTCGGGGGCCAAGTGAGAATTAGGTTCCTGGTCAAGGCTCTGAATGGTATAGGATGGGTGGGTGGGTGGGTGGATGGATGGTGAGTGGGTGGATGGATGGATGGATGGGTGGGTGGATGGATGGGTGGGCGGATGGATGGATGGATGGGTAGATGGATGGGTGGATGGATGGGTGGATGGATGGATGGATGGATGAGTGGATGGATGGGTGGGTGGGTGGATGGATGGATGGATGGATTGATGGATTATAGGATGGTGGATGGACGGATGGGTGGATGGATGGATGGGTGGGTGGATGGATGGGTGGGTGGATGGATGGATGGATGGATGGGTAGATGGATGGGAGGATGGATGGGTGGATGGATGGATGGATGGATGGATGAGTGGATGGATGGGTGGGTGGGTGGATGGATGGATGGATGAATGGATGGGTAGATGGATGGGTGGATGGATGGATGGATGGATGGGTAGATGGATGGGTGGATGGATGGGTGGATGGATGGATGGGTAGATGGATGGGTGGATGGATGGGTGGATGGATGGATGGGTAGATGGATGGGTGGATGGATGGGTGGATGGATGGGTGGATGGATGGATGAGTGGATGGATGTGTGGGTGGGTGGATGGATGGATTGATGGATTATAGGATGGTGGATGGACGGATGGGTGGGTGGATGGACGGGTGGGTGGGTGGGTGGATGGATGGGTGGATGGATGGGTGGGTGGGTGGATGGATGGATTGATGGATTATAGGATGGTGGATGGATGGATGGGTCGATGGATGGGTGGATGGATGGATGGTTGGGTGGGTGGATGGATGGGTGGGTGGGTGGATGGATGGATTGATGGATTATAGGATGGTGGATGGACGGATGGGTGGGTGGATGGACGGGTGGGTGGGTGGGTGGGTGGATGGATGGGTGGATGGATGGATGGATGGATGGGTGGATGGATGGGTAGGTGGATGGGTGGATGGGTGGATGGATGGGTGGGTGGGTGGATGGATGGATTGATGGATTATAGGATGGTGGATGGATGGATGGGTGGGTGGATAGACGAGTGGGTGGGTGGGTGGGTGGATGGATGGATGGGTGGGTGGATGGATGGATTATGGGTGGGTGGATGGATGGGTGGATGGATGGATGGATGGATGAATGGATGGATGGATGGATGAGTGGCAGGGTGGGTGAGTGGATGGTGAATGGGTGGCTGGCTGGGTGGGTGGGTGGATGGATGGATGGATGAATGGACAGGTGGGTGGGTGGATGGTGAGTGAGTGGATGGGTGAGTGGGTGGGTGGCTGATGGGCAGATGGACGGACGGATGGGGTGGAAGGGTACCTGGCAGCACTCTCCAGCCCCGCTCTGGGTCCGTCGCCCACCCCCGCCTTACTGTGGTGCAGGATAAAGAGGGAGACCGCCTCCACCGTCACCCTGGACATCGCCAACAAGGAAGCTTCGTGTGTGAACATTCCGCCTCTGGTAGGTCCCCAACTTCCGCTGCCCCGTTGTCTCCTGGTGCCAGCAGGAAGGCACAGATGCTGGTCTTTTTTTTTTTTCGCTTTTTTGGAGTCTCACCCAACCCAGCGATGCACAGGGGTTCCTCCTGGCTCAGCACTCAGTAATTACCCCTGGCGGTGCTCGGGGGACCCTATGGGATGCTGGGGATCGAACCTGGGTCGGTCGCGTGCAGGGCAAACGCCCTACCCGCTGTGCTATCGCTCCATCCCCTCAGATTCCATTTGGGTCAGGAAACAGACACTGCCCCTGGGGCGGCCCTCAGGGCTCCTGGCCCGGGGAGCTTAAATCCTCCTTCCTTAGTCTCTCTCCAGGGCTCCCGAGAGAACCCTGAGTAGCCACGAGTGGCCCCGAAGGGCAGGTGGCCCAGACGTCCATCGGCAAGATGGACACACGAGAGGCGGGAAATCCCCAGCACCTCAGCAAGGGGAGATGGGCCAGCACCACAGCACCCCACGGGGGGCACCGGCCTTGCATGTGGCTGACCTGGTTCTGACCCCCGACATCCCATGGGGTCCTCCCAACCCACCAGGAGTAAGCCCTGAGCACTGCCGGGTGTGGCCCAGAAACCCACAGAAGCTACCGAATCTCTGTTTTCTGCTTTTCCTCACAGCCTGGCCATTCATTCATTCTCCCGCCCTGTGTTGTAGCACCCTCCTGTTGTTCATCAGTTTGCTCGAACGGGCACCAGCAACGTCTCCATCGTGAGACTTGTTGTTACTGTGTTTGGCATATCGAATACGTCACGGGGAGCTTGCCAGGCTTGGCCGTGTGGGCGAGCGAGGTATCCTTGGTAGCTTGCCAGACTCTCCGAGAGGGATGGAGGAATCGAACCTGGGTCGGCCATGTGCAAGGAAAACACCCTAGCCACTGTGCTATCACTCCAGCCCACCCTGTGTTGTGTATAACATTATTATTATTATTATTATTATTATTGTTGTTGTTGTTGTTGTTATTGGGCTGGAGCAATAGCACAGCGGTAGGGCGTCTGCCTTGCACGCAGCCAACATGGCCGACCCGAGTTCGATTCCTCCGCCCCTCTCGGAGAGCCCGGCAAACTACCGAGAGTATCTCGCCCTCGGGGCAGAGCCTGGCAAGCTCCCCGTGAGGTATTCGATATGCCAGACACAGTAACAACAAAGTCTCCAATGCCAGACACAGTAACAACAAAGTCTCCAATGCCAGACACAGTAACAACAAAGTCTCCAATGCCAAACACAGTAACAACAAAGTCTCCAATGGAGACGTTACTGGGCCCGCTCGAGCAAATCGATGAACAACGGGAGGTCAGTGATTACTATTATTATTATTGTTGCTGTTATTGTTTTGTTTTGGGACACACCCAGCGATGCTCAGGGGTTCCTCCTGGCTCTGCACTCAGGAACCACTCCTGGTGGTACTCGGGGGACCCTAGGGAGTGCCGGGAATCGAACCCGCGTTGGCACGTGCACGTAGACACCCTCCCTCCGCGCTGTCCTATGGCCCCACCCCTGCCCCCGCTGTGGATTTCACCCTCCCCCTCTGTCCCCTCCGCAGACCGCCCTCATCAACATCGGTTGCGATGCTGAGAAAAAGGTCGTCATTCAGAAGTGAGCAGAGAGACCACGGAGTGGCCAGGGGGGCGCGGGCATGGGGGGACACCCCCCCAGGCCCCCTTCTGTCTTCTGAAACACCGTTTGGGGACTAACGGGACACCCTGGGGTGGCCGAAAAACAAACTAAAAAGGGGTTAGAGGGCTGGAGAATAGTATCGCGGGTAGGGCGTTTTTCTTGCACGTGGCCGACCCGGGTTCGATTCCTGGCATCCTGTATGGTCCCCAAGCACCACCAGGGGTAACTCCTGAGTGCGTGAGTCAGGAGTAACCCCTGAGCGTCGCCAGGTGTGACCCACAAAAAGAAAGAACGAGAAAAGGAGGGGTTGGAATGACAGGTGTCAGAGGTCACAGTTGAGTGACTGGCCAGCCAGGAAGTGGCCCTGTGTTGGGGGGCAGAGAGGGGGCATTGGACCAGTGGGGCAGACCCCTCACCCCGAGAGCCCTCTCCAACCCCAGAACTTCTGGAGGGGGTCACCCGGAGATGCTCGGGGCTTCTTCCTGACTCCACAGTCGGGGGTCTCTCCTGGCCGTGCTCGGCGCCCGGTGGGATGGAACCCGGGTCAGCCATTTACGAGGCAAACACCCTCCCCCTGGGCTAGGGCTCGGCCGCTGTGGGATTTAATCTCTTGCTGAGAGTCTGGGGGAGTGTCGGTGGCCCGAGGAAACCACAGCCTGAGAGACCCCCACACCACGCTCCCAGCGGAGGAGGGAGGGAGAGAGGACGGGAGGAGCCAGGGCGGGAGGGCTGGCGGGGACCCGGAGGCATCTGACACGCGTGGGGCTCTGGATTTGGGCTCTGTGACACGTGGTCCCTCTGGGGAACTGCTACGAGGGACCCCAGGGAGCTGGCAAGAGACCCCCAAGGAAGGAGCAGGGAGGAAGGGGGAAAGAAAGTTGGAAGGAAGGAAGGAAGGAAGGAAGGAAGGAAGGAAGGAAGGGAGGGAGGGAGGGAGGGAGGGAGGGAGGGAGGGAGGAAGGAAGGAAGGGAAGAAGGAAGGAAGGAAGGAAGGGAGGGAGGGAGGGAGGGAGGGAGGGAGGGAAAGAAGAAAAAGAAAGAAAAAGAAAGAAAGAAAGAAAGAAAGAAAGAAAGAGAAAGAAAGGAAGGAAGGAAAGAAAGAAAGAAAGAGAAGGAAGGAAGGAAGGAAGGAAGGAAGGGAGAAAGAAAAAAAGAAAGAAAGAGAGAGAAAGAGAGAGAGAAAGGAAGAGAGAAAGGAAGAAAGGAAGGAAAGAAGGAAGAAAGAGAAAGGAAGGAAGAAGGGAAGGAAGGAAGGGAGAAAGAAAGAAAGAAAGAAAGAAAGGAAGGAAGGAAGAGAGAGGAAGGAAGGATGAAAGGAAGGAAGGACGGAAGGAAGAGAGAGAGAAAGAGAAAAAGAAAAAGGAAGGAAGGAGTGAAAGAAGGGAGGAAGAAAGGGAAGGTAGGAGGGAGAATGGGAGGGAGAGAGGGAGAGAGGGAGGGAGGAAGGAAGCAGGAGAGGGAGGGAGGAAAGAAGGAAGGAGGGGAGGGAGGGCAGGAGGGAGGGAAGGAGGGGAGAGGGAGGGGGAAGGAGGGAAGGGAGAGGTGGGGAGAGGGGCGGGAGGGGCCGGAGGGGGGGTGTCTGGAGTCTCTGCGAGCAGCAGCCCTGGGCCCCTCCCTGGCCCTGAGTGGGCACAAGGGCAGAGCGGGCCCTGGGCACTGCCGGGGGTGGCCACGGAGGCTGCAGAGCATCTGGGATTTGGGGGCGGGTCTGCCGGCGCCTGACGGTCCCGCGGCCGCAGGGACACCACGTCCTGCAGCGAGGGGATCCTGGACTCGGTGGAACTCCAGAACAACTACAGCTACGTCCTGGACCGGTGAGGGAGCCCCTCCCCGCTCCCACCCCCCAGCTCCCCCAGCCGGGAGCCAGGACGGTTTGAAGACTCATACTGGAGGCCTGGGGTGCGTGGGGGGCTGGCCGGGAAGGTGCCGGCCCTGCCCGCAGTGGAGCCGGTTCCGTCCCCGCCACCTCCCTGGGGTCCCCCCGAATCTCCCGGATCTCTCGGCGCCTCCCCCAGGGACATCTACAGCCCGAACTTGTCCGGGGAGGACCAGGTGGTGTTCTACGATTACGCCTTGCTGGGCTGCCCCCTGCTGGTCTACTACGACACTCCCTGGAAGCCAGTTCTGCAGCTGTGAGTGGATGAGGGGGATGAGGGGTGCACGGCCCCTGCGACCCCACAGCCTGGGGGTGCCTTGACCCAGGCCCCCAGCCCCCAACTAACTCCTCCTGCATCAGCCCGGAGCCGGTACAACAGACGTTGATGGTGGCAGGGTGGGCACGGGGTGAGTGGGGTTTCCCCTGGAGTACTCCCACGAGTGCTCCCAAGACTTCCCCCCACGTGCTCCCCTTGAGTGCTCCCCCTTAATGATCCCCTGAGTGCACCCTCCGAGTCCCTTGATGATCCTGTGGTGCTCTCCGTGGTGCTCCCTGGAGTACTTCCACGAGCGAGTGCTCCCCCAGTACTTTCCCCAGATGCTCCCCTTTGATCCCGTGGGTGCTCCTCTGAGTGCTCCCTGGAGTACATCCACGCGTGCTCCCCAAGTACTTTCCCCAGATGCTCCCCTTTGATCCCGTGGGTGCTCCTCTGAGTGCTCCCTGGAGTACATCCATGAGTGCTCCCTGAGTGCTTTCCCCAGATGCTCCCCTTGAGTGCTCCCCTTTGATCCCATGGGTGCTCCTCTGAGTGCTCCCTGGAGTACATCCACGCGTGCTCCCCAAGTACTTTCCCCAGATGCTCCCCTTTGATCCCGTGGGTGCTCCTCTGAGTGCTCCCTGGAGTACATCCACGCGTGCTCCCCAAGTACTTTCCCCAGGTGCTCCCCTTTGATCCCGTGGGTGCTCCTCTGAGTGCTCCCTGGAGTACATCCATGAGTGCTCCCTGAGTGCTTTCCCCAGATGCTCCCCTTGAGTGCTCCCCTTTGATCCCATGGGTGCTCCTCTGAGTGCTCCCTGGAGTACATCCACGCGTGCTCCCCAAGTACTTTCACCAGATGCTCCCCTTTGATTCCATGGGTGCTCCTCTGAGTGCTCCCTGGAGTACATCCACGAGTGCTCCCCGAGTGCTTTCCCCAAGTGCTCCCCTTTGATCCCGTGGTGCTCCTCTGAGTGCTCCCTGGAGTACTCCCACGAGTGCTCCCCGAGTGCTTTCCCCAAGTGCTCCCCTTGAGAGCTCTCCCGGATGATCTCGTGGGCCCTCCTCTTGGTGCTCCCCAAGTGCTCCCCCTGAGCTTGGAGGCAGCGGCCTTCTCCCCTCCTCCCCACACGCGCCCTTATACCCGCCCCCCACCGGACTGCATTTAACCTTCAGTGCCCCGTTAGTTAAGGCCACTCGCCCGCTTGCAGCCAAGCCCGGTTCAACCCCCGATGCCCTGGAGGGTCTTCTGAGCACCGCCCAGAGTGATCCCTGGTGCTCAGGGATGACTCCTGGCTCTGCGTTCTGGGCTCGCTCCTGTCAGGACTCAGACTGTCGGGGTTCTGGGGATCAAACCCGGGCCGGCTCTGCGCAAGGCTCTTGCCCTCCACGCTGCCCTGTGGCGCCAGCCCCGATCGGCAAAGCCTTCTTGCTTGTTTTTGCTTTTTCGGTCACACCCAGCGATGCCCAGGGGTTCCTCCTGGCTCTGCACTCGGGAATTGCTCCTGGCAGTGCTCGGGGGATCCTAGGGGATGCTGGGAATCGAACCCGGGTCGACCGCGTGCAAGGCAAACGCCCTCCCCGCCGTGCTGTCGCTCCAGCCCCTGGGGTCCCTTCTGAGCACACGCACAGACAGAAACAGCCTCGAGCACGACACGTGTGCTTCCCCCGCCCCAAAACGAAAACGAAGGAAACCCAACTCGGGCTGGACTTGGAGGTTAGGGGTTTGCCTGGCACGTGGCCAACCCGGGTTTGATCCCCGACACCCCACAAGCTGGGTCCTCCGAGCCCGGCCAGCCAGGAGGGATCCCTGAGCACCGCAGGGGGGGGACCCCCAGACAAAGCAACGCCCTTGCTCCCACCCCCACCCCGCCCCCGCCCCGCCTCTGCCTCTGTGCCAGGTGGCAGGGACAGGAGTTTCAGGAGGTCGTCGAGGCCGAGTACGTGATCAAGGAAGTCTACGGGTTGCTGACGTACTCGTACTCTCTGACGGCCGAGACGGCGGGCTGCACAGCCCAGCCGCAGAACTGGAGCTCCCAAGGAGAGCTGGAGTCCAAGGAGAGCCTCTCGCGGTGGGGGCGGGAGGTAAGCCGGCCAATCAGAGGGAAGGGCGTGCGTGCGAGTGCGCGTGTGTGTGTGTGTGTGTGTGTGCCTGTGTGATGTGGCCGTTGGTGTCTCTCAATCCACGGAGGACAGTGTGTGTATGTGTGTGATGTGGCCGTTGGTGTCTCTCAATCCACGGAGGACAGTGTGTGTGTGTGTGTGTGTGATGTGGCCGTTGGTGTCTCTCAATCCACTGAGGACAGTGTGTGTGTGTGTGTGTGTGTGTTGTGGCCGTTGGTGTCTCTCAATCCACTGAGGACAGTGTGTGTGTGTGTGTGTGTGATGTGGCCGTTGGTGTCTCTCAATCCACTGAGAACAGTGTGTGTGCGTGTGTGTGTGTGTGATGTGGCCGTTGGTGTCTCTCAATCCACGGAGGACAGTGTGTGTGTGTGTGTGTGTGATGTGGCCGTTGGTGTCTCTCAATCCACTGAGGACGGGGGGTGTGTGTGTGTGTGTGTGTGTGATGTGGCTGTTGGTGTCTCTCAATCCACTGAGAACAGTGTGTGTGCGTGTGTGTGTGTGTGTGATGTGGCCGTTGGTGTCTCTCAATCCATTAAGGACAGTGTGTGTGTGCGTGTGTGTGTGTGTGTTGTGGCCGTTGGTGTCTCTCAATCCACTGAGGTTGGTGTGTGTGTGTGTGTGTGATGTGGCCGTTGGTGTCTCTCAATCCACGGAGGACAGTGTGTGTGTGTCTGTGTGTGTGTGATGTGGCCGTTGGTGTCACTCAATCCACGGAGGACAGTGTGTGTGTGTGTGTGGGTGTGATGTGGCCGTTGGTGTCTCTCAATCCACTGAGGACAGTGTGTGTGTGTGTGTGTGTGTTGTGGCCGTTGGTGTCTCTCAATCCACTGAGGACGGTGTGTGTGTGTATGTGTGTGTGTGTGTGTGTGATGTGGCCGTTGGTGTGTCTCAATCCACTGAGGATTGTGTGTGTGTGATGTGGCCGTTGGTGTCTCTCAATCCACGGAGGACAGTGTGTGTGTGTGTGTGTGTGTGATGTGGCCGTTGGTGTCTCTCTGTCTCTCAATCCACTGAGGACAGAAACAGATACACACACACACACACACACACACACACACTGGGATGGTCTCAGGCGCTGGACCGATAGGACAGCGGTGGGGAGGTGGCACTGCCTTGCACGCAGCTGGTCTGGGTTCCATCCCCGGCCTCCCAGAGGGTCCCCAGAGCACCCTCAGGAGGGATCCCGGAGCACAGAGCCAGGAGTCAGACCTGAGCACAGCCTGGGTGGCTCCCCAGTCAAGCAACCTCCCTCCCCCTCAGCAAACTGGAGTGGTTCCAGCCGGAGAGAAGTACAGGAGATGTGGTGTTTGCTTTGCCCCCGTGCGATTCCGCAGCAAAGGGCGGACTCCTGGCTCCGAGCTCAGGGATCAGTCCGGGCAGGGCTCAGGAGGCCCTACGGGGTGCCGGGGATCGAACCCGGGTCAGCCTTGTGCAAGGCAAACGCCCTCCCCGCTGTGCTATCGCTCCAGCCCCGTTCGCTTTACTTTTAAAACGTTTGTTGTTGGGCCCCATTCAGCGATGTTCAGGGTTTACCCCTGGCCCTGCATTCAGCAACCCCCCCCCCGGCGGTGCTTGGGGGCGTGGGGGGAGGGACCCCACGGGGTGCCGTGGATCGAACCCTCACCGGCTGCACGCAAAGCAAGTGCCGTAACTGCCACCCTATCTCTTCATCTCAGTTTCCCTTTTTTTCTTTTTTTTTCCCCAAAAAAGCTTTTTCATAGGATCCCAGAGCTCTGCCAGGACCCGTCCCTTAGTGCAGAGCCAAGAGTAAACCCTGAACACTGCCAGGAGTGGCCCCAAAACAAACTAAAAAAATAATTGGGGCAGGGGCCAGAGGGATGGCACAGTGGAGAGGGCGTTTGCCTTGTACACAGCCAACCCGGGTTCGATCCCCGGCATCCCATAGGGTCCCCCGAGCACCGCCAGGAGTCATTCCTGAGTGTGCAGAGCCAGGAGGAACCCCTGAGCATCGCCAGGTGTGACCCAAAAAGCAAAAAAGTAAATAAAATAATTAAAAAAAAAACTAAAATAAGGGGGCTGGAGAGATAGCACAGCGGGGCGGGCGTCTGCCTTGCACGCGGCCGACCCGGGTTCGATTCCCAGCATCCAATTTGGTCCCCTGAGCACCGCCAGGGGTAACTCCTGAGTGCAGAGCCAGGAATAACCCCTGAGCATTGCCGGGTGTGACCCAAAAAGCCCCGCCCCAAAAAAATGGGGGCAGGGCAAGATTTTCAACCCAGGCAAAATCTGACCTCCTGGAAGGAACCGTTTGCAAGGGCTCCACCTCCCTTACGGCACACAGGAAGAAAGGCTGGACTCTCTCTCCCTCTGACCCAGCGCCACCGTCCTTCAAGACCTGCACCCATAGGGGATGTTGGACGTCTCGTGGCCTGAGTGGGGTCCGTTACCCCCAGGCCCGGTGTTCAGACCTCTCTCCGCCTCCCCCAGAATTACCAGAGCTGCCATGACTCCAACAACCCGAATCCCTTAAAGTGGCCCGATGTCCAGTACGAAGTTCTCGGTGGCCAGACAGACAATAAGGTGGTTTTTGAGCAAAGGAATGGAATTTACGTCTTTTATCTCTCTGTGGTGGACCCCTTGTACAGGTGGGCAGGGCTGGGCAACCCTGATATTTTCTTGCGGCAGGTGGTGTATGTTTGACAAGGGCGGGGGGGGAGTGCACCCTCTTTTCTCCCAAAAACCTTGAGAGGTTTTCCTCAACCTGAACTCCAAACCACTGAGATTGCTTCAGTTAAGTGCTTTTGGGGTAAGGGGATGACAGGAAGTCACTCATTCCATTAAAAAAAATGTATTTAAGGTCGGGGCTGGAGCGATAGCACAGCGGGGAGGGCGTTTGCCTTGCACGCGGCCAACCCAGGTTCGATTCCCAGCATCCCATAGGGTCCCCTGAGCACCGCCAGGAGTAACTTCTAAATGCAGAGCCAGGAGTAACCCCTGAGCATCACTGAGTTCACAATGAGAAAAAAAAATTATTCAGGGCGCCAGAGAGAAGGCACAGCGTGGAAGGCGCTTGCTCTGTACGTGGCTGACTTGGTTCAATTCCCAGAACCCCAGAGGGTCCCCTGAGCCCCACCAGGCGTGGCCCCTAAGGACAGAGCCAGGGGTTCTCTCTGAGCATTGCCAGGTGCGGCCCCAAGATCTACTAAATAAGAATAAAGAGAGGGGTGTTTGCCTTGCACGCGGCCGACCCGGGTTCGATTCCCAGCATTCCCTAGGGTCCCCCGAGCACCGCCAGGAGTGATTCCTGAGTGCAGAGCTAGGAAAAACCCCTGAGCATTGTCGGGTATGACCCAAAAAAGGAAAAATAGGAGTTGGAGTGATAGTACAGCGGGTAGGGTGTTTGCCTTGCACACGGCCGACCCGGGTTCGATTCCCAGCATCCCACAGGGTCCCCCGAGCACCGCCAGGAGTGATTCCTGAGTGCAGAGCCAGGAATAACCCCTGAGCATCGCCGGGTGTGACCCAAAAGGAAAAAAATAAAAAGAATAAAGAGATTCCAGGGTGAAGGCACCTGGAATGGGACTAATCCTGGCCTTGCATAGGGTGTCCTGAGCCACTGCCGGACCCCAGAGCCCTGAGCCTGGGTGGCCATGGCAACCCCATCCCTGCCCTCTCCCTCCAAAGTAAACGTTTGGTCTCTGAGTCGTCCACCTCTCCCGATCTCAAGTGGGACAGGGGACAGACGGCAGGGAGCTGGGGGAAGCTTGGGACTCACGCACCAGGGTCGCCCACCGCGCGCCCCCACGGGGAGGATGGACCCCGTGGGAAGTGGCAAAGGCCCAGCCCAGCCCTTCCCTGGGGCAGGGGGCAGCCACGGCGGCGAGCTCCCATCACCACTGCTTGCCGAGCCAGCCAGCCTGGGGGGCACAGTGAGGCTGTGCCCCCCTCCAGCAACGCCTCCTTGTCCGCAGCTACTGCCAGCTGAATGCTCTGTTCAGCGTGCACGTGTACGGAGCCTTGCCGCCCAGCGGGGACTCCCTGGACGTGCCCATCATCGTGGTGATGTTCAGTATGCTGGGCTCCGTCTGGCTGTCCTACATGATCTCGGGCATCAAAGTCAGGGCGCTGGGGCGGAAGATTTTCCGGAAGGTCAAAACGCGGCTGTATCACCGCCACGCGCGGCCACGGCCCTCAACTGTCGCCTCTCAATAAAGCTCCTCCCTGGCCCACCCACACCCTCTGCGTTGCGGGTCCTTCGCGGGTTGCGCCCGTTGGGTGGCGGTGTCGTGGCGCTCAGGGGTCCCCCGCAGTCCGGGTGCTCGCCTGGGGGCGCTGCGGTGGGTACAGGTGGTGGGCACCTTGTTGTTGCTTGTCGTGTTTTTTTTTTTTTTTGGAGGGGGGCGGATTGGGGATTTTTCTTTTTTTGCATTTTGGGTCACACCCGGCGATGCACAGGGGTTCCTCTTGGCTCATGCACTCAGGAATGACTCCTGGCGGTGCTCGGGGGACCCTATGGGATGCTGGGAATCGAACCCGGGTCGGCCGTGTGCAAGGCCAACGCCCTACCCGCTGTGCTATTGCTCCAGCCCCTGGATTGGGGATTCTTTTGTTTGTTTGTATTTTGGCTCTTTGAGTCCCAACCAGCGATGCTCGGGCTGACTCCTGGCTCCGCACTCAGGAATGACTCCTGACAGTGCTCACGGGGGACCCTCTGGGATGCCGGGGATCAAACTCCGGTGAGTTTTTTGTTTTGTTTTGTTTTGTTTTTGAAGGACCACACCCAGTGATCACAAATCACAAATCATCCTGGTTTTCGTTGATTGCCTCGAGCAGGCCCCAGTAACGTCTCCTTCGTCCTAGCCCTGAGATTTTTTAAAAAGTGCCATATTCAAGGCTCTTTCAGGGTTAGGAGAATGAGACCCATCCTTGTGACTGGTACTTGGCATATTGGGGACGCCACGGGGAGTTTGCCAGACTCTGCCGTGTGGGCAGGATACTTTCGGTAGCCTGCCAGGTTGTCCAAAGTAGGAACGAGATAATAAGATGTCATAAGAAGATGTTCCGGGAGCTGGTTTTATCACCCAGTGATACTCAGGGCTCACTCCTGGCTCTGCACGCAGGGATTTCTCCTGGTGGGGCTCAAGGATGCTGGAGATGGAATCCAGGTGGGCCCACGTGCCAGGCGAATGCCCTTCCTGCTGTGCTATGCTCCTGCCTCCCTCCTGGCCGTGCCAGGGATGGTGGTGGGCACCACAGCCAGGACTGTACAAGCACCGCAACGGACCTACATGCACGCAGGCCACGCCCCACAATTGGCCACCACCGCTGAAAACTAAAACAAAACGGTGTAGGGGCCAGGACGATTCTCTCGAGGGGAGGGCGTTTGCCTTGCTGGCAGTTGACCCAAGTTTGATCCCCGGCATCACCGAAGATTCCCCGAGTCCCGCCAGGAGTGAGTCCTGAGTCTGCTCGGTGTGGTCTCAAATCACAAAATATCTATAATATCGCTGAAAGGGCTGGCGTGTGGGATGGTCCTCCAGGAGGCCCCAGAAGTAGCCTCTCAGGTATGGTCACTCCCGGCGATGCCCAGGGGTTCCTCCTGCCTCTGCACTCAGGAATCACTCCTGGTATTGCTCAGGGGACCCTCTGGGATCCGGGGGACCGAACCCAGGTCAGCCACATGCGAGGCAAACGCCCCCTCCCTGCTCTAATATCGCTCCTGCCCCCCGCGTGACCGTTTCCACACGCAGACGAGACACTGCGCCTTGGGGGCCTCGGGGATGTGGGTCCGCGTGCTGGGAGCGTGTCTCCGTGTGCTCCCAGGTGGAAGCCCTGTCCTTCTGCAGTGACAGGTGACTTGCACTGGGAAAGTGTGCCTGGACCGTGTCGGCCTTCCCTCAGAGGGCGTCCTCTCCGGGCCGCACTTTTTTTCCCTTTTTTTCTTCTTTTTTTGTTTTTTTGGGTCACACCAAGCGGTCGTGCTCAAGGGTTCCTCCTGGCTCTGCACTGACTCCAGCCCAGGCTCTGGGGACCCTCTGGGATGCCTGGGATCCAACCCGGGTTGACGGCGGCGAGCCAGGCAAGAGTTGACTGCCCGCTTGCCCCTAGGACTCGGACCCCAACAGCAATTTCTGAGCCAGACACACTAAGTTCCAAAACAAACAAACAAAAGATACCACCACAACGAGACGGGTAGCGCGCACACACACACACACACACACACACACACACACACACACACACATTCTGTTCTGTTCTTGGGCTTTGGGGCCGCAGCTGGCAGTGCTCCAGGGGCTCCTCCCAGTGCTGTGCTCAGGCGTGACCCCCCTGGAGGGGCTCAGGGGACCGTTGGGCACGGGGCAGAGATGGAACGTGGGTCGGCTGAACCCGGCAGCACCCCCCGATCGCTGATCCCTCCCCGGGTTTCAGCTGCCAGACTATAGACACCCCCCAGAAGCCCCTCAGCAGGCCCACGTGGCTCGGGCGAGGGGGTCCCTCCGTCCCACTCACATTTCCATCTCCCGCTTGTAAGAGCCCCTGGGTCCCTAGTTGGGGGGTGGCTTTTAGGGAAGGGAAGACAGGGAGTCGGGGGGCTCTGCCCAGTCGACCCCGCTCAGGCTGGGGCTGGCACCTGCCAGTCGTCCTCCAAACCAACCGCCGCCCACCTGATTACCCAGAACCAGGATGGAGAATCCCCCCCCGCCTGGCTCCCAGGGGACTCCTCTTGAACTCCCAGGGGACTCTTGGGGGGGGGACAGCACCCCCACCCCCCGGGGCCATGCCGGACGCCACCGAGAGTGCTCAGAGCTGGAGGACAGATGCTTTAATGGGGCGCAGCCCCCTGCCTGCCCCTAGCGCCCTGCCGGCCCTTCCTGGGGGTTGGGGCGGCCCCCTTCTTCCTGCCGGGGGGCGGCGCGGGCGGCGGCGGCGGCGGCGGCGGCGCTGGGCCGGGGGCGTCCTCCTCCTCCAGGGCCTTGAAGTTGAAGAAGTAGTCGGTGAAGGACACGGTGTCCAGCAGCTCGGGCACGCTGTAGTCCACGTCCAGCAGCTCGTCAGGCAGGTGCAGCGCACGGATGTCACCGCCGCCGGGCGGGTCGGGCAGGCTGGGCCTGGGGGGCTGCGTGGGGGGTCGCCCCTCGGCCTCGGGGGCCGGCCAGCAGTCGAACAGCTTCATCGCGTCCTCCAGCAGCACCTTCTCGGGCAGGGCCAGCGGGGGTCGCGGCGCCCCGGGGGTCTCCGAGCCCTGCAGCTGGCCCGAGGCGCCGGGGGCCCGCGGGGGGTCGGTGGGCACCGGGGGCGGCGCGGGGGGCGGCGGGCCTGCCTGGGCAGGGGTTGGCGGCCGGGGTGCCCCCTCACCCGCCAAGTTCAGGGCCTCGGGGCCGGCGCCCTCGGGCGCAAAGTAGGGCAGGAGGTACTGGGGGGCCCCGGGGGGCGGCGGGTAGGGCGGGTAGGGCGGGCCCGGGTCCGGGGCCTGGAGGAAGTGCGGGGGCTCCACGAGGTAGGGGCCCGGCGTGGGGGGCGCCCCGGCCAGCTTGTACAGGGTGGACTGGCCGAAGTCCGAGCTGACCCACTCGATGCGGTAGATGCGTGGGTCGAAGAAGCAGCCGCAGGGTGCCATCTGGAAGCCTGGGGGCCGGGAGGGGCCCTCAGAGGGCAGCGGGGGGCGGCCGGACCCCCGACCCCAATTCCAGGCTCTGGGGGCGCTGGGCACAGGTTTCCGAGGGGCTGGGACCGACCAGGGGCGCCGGGGCCCTGCCTACCTGCCGGGGGCGCGGGGAAGGTCTCTTTGTCCGGGTTTGGGGGGTGGCACGGCGCCAGGGACCCTGGGGACAGAGGCAGGTGGTGGGGGGGGATGGTGGGGGACGCAGGTGAGGGCCGGGGACCCCCTTCCCTGGCCACTGCCCCTGGCTCCTACCCACAGCGGGAAGGGGCTCCGGGCAGGCGGGCGCGGGCTGGCCGCAGGGACCCCCGGGGCCGTCACTGTCCTGGGGACCCACAGCTCCGTAGAAGGGCTTGGGGTGCTGCATGGGGAGGTGGGGTCCCGGCAGGTAGCCCGGGGGGTGGCAGGGGGGAGCACAGGCCGCTGCCCCGGGGAGGGCTCAGAGCTCCAGGTTCTGTTTGCACTGTTACTTGGGCACCGGGTTCCATGTGAGCCACGGCCCACCCGCTGGCTGTGTTCCGGGCGGTAGGGTGGGGTAGAGGGTGGGGGGTGGGGCCGGACAGGGGCCGGGCGGGGAGGGCCCCAGTTGCTGGACACAGGGCTTGGTGCCTCCAGGCCTTCACCTCTAGCGGTGATGCAGTGCCCGCCACCTCCTCCAGGCAGCCCTCCCTGACCCACCGGCACGCATGCTGAGCTAAGCCCCTTTCTGGTCAGGGGCCTCTTAGGGCCCAGAGAACAGGAGGAAGGCTCCCGTGAATAGCGGCGGGGAGCGAGAAGCCTGGGGTGGGCTGGGGCCGGCGGAAGGTGGGCCCCCGAGCCCCGAGAGGGCGACCGGGAAGGCCGAGAGAGCAGGCGGGTGTCACCCCACGGTTGTACAAGAATAAAATTTATTGCTGGCTCGCCCCGGGGGGTGGCGGGGAGGAGCGGGGGGCCCTTGGCTCCTGCACCCCGACTCCTCCGGCCCCGCGGCCGCTACTTGTAGGCGTTGGCCTTGTGCTTCGGCAGGAAGACGAAGTTGGGGGGCACCGGCCCCAGGAGCATCTCGCTGCGGGCGGGAAGGGGGGCACAGGGCCGGGTCAGGCCCGGGGTCTGGGCGCCCCGCAGCCCCCTCTCCCGGATCCCTGCCGTCCCCAGCCCCGCCGGGCACCTGATGCGGATCCAGTCGGCCGCCTTCTGGCTGGCCATGAGCGTCTCCATGTAGTCACGGCCCAGGTAGTAGGGCGGCCGCTCGTTGATGCGCTGCGGAAGGCGCTCCAGCAGGCCCACGGGCACGTACCTGCGGGGGGAGGGGGAGGGGGCGGGGTTGGGGCTGCTCCCCCCTCCCGACCCCCGCAGCCCCCCACACCCCGGCCCTGCACAGGAAGGACAGCCCCCCCACCTCCACACACACACACACACACACACACACACACACAGGGCTGGAGCTGCCCCCTGCCCGGCCCCGCAACCGCGCGCGGAGGACGGGAGGGGGACCCGGCCCGCACCTGCACAGGAAGGACAGCCACTCCAGCAGGAAGCGGCGTGTCTTCTCCACGCCCTGCGTGTCGGAGCCCCAGTGCTCCAGGCCGAAGCGCGTGAAATCCCGCAGCACGTCCAGCCGCTCCGAGGACGAGATGTCCCAGTGCCGCTGCTCCTTGATCTCCGTGAAGAGCCAGGGCTTCAGCAGGGCGCCCCTGCGGGCGGGAAGGTCACAGGTCGCCGCCCCTGGTGGTGGTGGTGGGGGCACCCCCCCCACTGAGTCTGCGTGCCAGGGGCCGGCCGGGCTGCCAGCAGCACTCCCTGCGTGCTGGGAAATCTCGCTTCTCCTGACACTGTGCATTGACACTCCCCTGCTCCCCTCCCCGCCCAGGAAAAAAGGCAGAACCAGCTGGGGGCCGGAAAGATGGTGCAGTGGTTAGGAAGCCAGCTCTGCACAAGGCCGACCTGGGCTCCATCCATCCTTGGCATCCCACGGGACGCCCTGAGCTCAGAACTAAGGTGTGACCCCCATGCAAAGAAAACCCTGGCTGGGTCTCTCCCACCCGTACCCGGAGGGCTCCGGGGTCCCCGCAGCAGCCGTGCCCACTCACCGGGCAATCATGACGCCCGCCACGCCGGTCTGCAGGGCGCTGTTGGCGTCCTCGTAGGAGAGGATGTCCCCGTTTCCTAGGGAGGCAGAAGCAGGGGCTCGGGTGGGCTGGGGGGGTCCAGGAGCCACGGGCGGGGGCCTCCAGGGGGCTCGGGGGGCAGCGGGGACGCACCAAAGAGGGGCATGGGGCTGGCGGCCGACACGCACTGCTGGATGTAGGCCCAGTCGGCGCCGCGGGTGTAGCGCTGCTCCCGGGAGCGGCCGTGGAGCTGCAGGAGAGGCGCGGGCCGGGCCGGGGTCCGGGGGTCCGGGGGTCCGGGAAGGGACGATCAGGCCGAGCGTCGGGGTCGGGAGGCCCGCGGAGAGCGGTGGGGGGAGGGAGGGGGCGCGGGGGAGGCGCACGGGGGAGGCCCGAGCCCCCCACCCCCCGGACCGGGGCCGCCCCCCGCGGGGCCCCCCGACCCACCGTGACCAGGGCCGCCCCCCAGGCCCGCAGCTCGGGCAGCAGCCGGTGCGCCAGGTTCACGCGCTCCTGCACCCCCGTGCGGATCTTCACCGTCACCGGCACGTCCAGGACCTGCGGGCGGGCCAGGGGTCGGCGGGGCGCGCGGGAGGCCGGGGGCGCGCGGGGGGCTCGGCCCTACCTGGTCCATGCCGCGGACGATCTGCTGGAACTTGGCCGTGCGGTTCATGAGGGCGCACCCTCCGCCCTGAGGGCAGAGGAGGGAGAAGAGGGAGGGATGACCCGGGAGGAAAGGCCCCGAGGCCCACCGGAGGCCCATTCCAGGCCCAGACGGGGAACCGGGCAGGAGCGGACCACCGGGAGCCAGGGAGGCCAATCCAGGGCGGGCACAGGCGCAGCCCACCGAGGCCCCGCCCCAGCAGGTCGCCCACGGTGAAGCCCCGCCCCAGCAGGTCGCCCATGGTGAAGCCCTGCCCCATGCCAGTCCAGGCCCCGCCCCAGCAGGGCCCCGCCCCAGCGAAGCCCCGCCCCAGCAGGTCGCCCTCAGTGAAGCCCCGCCCCAGCAGGTCGCCCTCGGTGAAGCCCCGCCTCATGTCAGTCCAGGCCCCGCCCCAGCAGGGCCCCGCCCCAGCAGGTCACCCTCAGCAGAGCCCTGCCCCAGCAGGTCGCCCTCAGTGAAGCCCCGCCCCAGCAGGTCACCCTCAGCAGAGCCCTGCCCCAGCAGGTCGCCCTCAGTGAAGCCCCGCCCCAGCAGGTCACCCTCAGTGAAGCCCCGCCCCAGCAGGGCCCCGACTCAGTGAAGCCCCGCCCCAGCAGGTCGCCCTCAGCAGAGCCCTGCCCCAGCAGGTCGCCCTCGGTGAAGCCCCGCCCCATGCCAGTCCAGGCCCCGCCCCAGCAGGGCCCCGCCCCAGCAGGTCGCCCTCAGCAGAGCCCTGCCCAGCAGGTCGCCCTCGGTGAAGCCCCGCCCTATGCCAGCCGGGGCCCCGCCCCAGTGAAGCCCCACCCCAGCAGGTCGCCCACAGTGAAGCCCCGCCCCATGCCGGCCCAGGCCCCGCCCCAGCAGGGCCCCGACTCAGTGAAGCCCCACCCCAGCAGGTCGCCCTCGGTGAAGCCCCGCCCTATGCCAGCCGGGGCCCCGCCCCAGTGAAGCCCCGCCCCATGCCAGCCCATGCCCCACCCCAGTAGGGCCCAACTCAGTGAAGCCCCGCCCCAGCAGGTTGCCCTCAGCAGAGCCCTGCCCCACGCCAGCCCAAGCCCCGCCCCAGCAGGTCACTCAGTGAAGCCCCACCCTAGCAGGTTGCCCTCAGCAAAGCCCCGCCCCAGCAGGTCACCCTCAGCGAAGCCCCGCCCCATGCCAGCCCAGGCTCCACCCCAGCAGGGCCCCGACTCAGTGAAGCCCCGCCCCATTCAAGCCCAGGTCCCACCCACTGAGGCCCCGCCCGGGTGCAAGCCACACAAGGCACCCCCCAGCTTAGGCCCCGCCCCTTGCAGGTCCCACCCAGTGAGGCCTTGTTCAGGACAAGCCCAGGCCCCCCCACCCACAGACGCCACCCACCTCCCCGGAGATCCCCCAGAGGCCCCCGCCCGTCCCTCCCCGACCCTACCTTCTTATACACCAGGTCAATGGGGCAGCCAACGTTAATGTCTACGAAGTCCACGTCAATGGTGCGGTTCAGCAGCTCCGCGCACTTGGTCATGGTGTCGGGGAAGGCTCCCTCGAGCTGGGGGTGCAGGGACACCTCGTCATTTCTCAAGCCCCACCCCCGGGAACCACCTCGCCCCTCGGGGATCCTCTTGTCCTTGGGGGTGCACAGGGCCGGCACTCCTGGGCAGGCTCGGAAGGTGGCTACACCAGGCCCACGGAGGAACCCCCTGCCCGCCCTCCTCCGGCAGGCACCTGACCCACCTGGACCCCAAAGATGTCCTCACACGGGTGCCGCTTGAGTAGGGCCCACTCGGACGTCTGTCCCTGCAGCAGGCTGGTGCACATGGCCATCTCCCCACACGTCACATCCGCACCGAAGCGCTTACAGATCCGCCTGAAAGGCAGGTTCCCGCACTGGGGGGGACAGACAGACAGACATGCGGGCGCAGCTGGCAGAGAACCGAATCTGATGGGGCAAGGGTAGACGCTGGGCACTGTCACCGGTCCCCAGTCCCAGCCCAGCGCAGCCCAGGTGGGTCCTACCGTGGTGAGGGGCGCCAGGTACAATTTGCCACTGATGTCCAGCTGAAAGGAAGGAATCGCCCACTCAGGCACCGCCCTCCAGCCTGGATTCCAAAGCCCCCCGGCTCCTCGTCACGGGTCCCTCTGCCCCACCCGGCTGGGCACCCTCCCACGTTCCAGCGGCCTGGCTGATGTTCGGGTCTCCGGGAGCAGAGAGCTTCTGCACAACCGTCGGAACCCCAGCCCCAGGGCCCCCTCCTCCGGGAAGCCCCCGCGCCCCGGCCGCGCTGACCCTTGCGCAGGCCCGTTCCTGTTGCCCCCACGTCCTGCGCGCCAGGTGCATACCCACCCGCTTCTTCTCGCAGGGCCGGACCCTGACAACGTCCTCATCGGTCAGGGGCCCGAGAGTTCGCTGGGGTCCGCTGGCGGAGGTGGCGGCGGCATCGTCAGGGCGGGTCGCCCCCGAGGAGTCCGGCGCTGCCGCGTCAGGGCCGTCCTCGGGGCCCGCAGGAGGCCGGGGCTGCTGGCCGCGGCAGAGCTGGCGCAGGGCCTGCTCGGCGCGCTCGAAGCGGACCTTGCGTTTGCGCAGCTGCTGCTGCAGGGCTTTGTCCAGGCCGTTGCGGACGGGCAGGGCCGCCGCCTCTGCCGCCGCCGCCGCCCTTACCAGGTTCTGGCCGTTGGGCCCCAGATGGGCCCCCGCAAAGCGGCAGGTCACCCCGTAGGGGCAGCGGCCGAAGGTCTCGAAGAGCACACAGCGGGGGCCCAGGTCGGCCGGCTTGGTCTCCAGGTAGAGCTTCAGGTCGTGCAGGAAGCGGCAGCGGTCCCCGAAAAGGCACTTGGACCCCGACTCCTGCAGGGGGAGCGAGGTCGGCCGATGAGGGCAGGTGGCGGGCGAACCTGTCCCCTCCCCGAGTCTGTCCCCAGCTTCCACCCCGGCTGGGAATCCCTGGGTTTGTCAATCGCGTCCCCTCCCAGGCCCCTGGGTCTCCATTCCAGGTGGGGTGCAACAGCCGAACATCCGGGTTAGAGGCTCCGAGTGGAAGTTTCCAGATGCTTCGAGAAGTTTCCGGCTGTTTCTGGAAGCTCGGCCCTGCTACGCTCTGGCCGGGATCTCCATGTGGCGCCACTCACCTGGATCAGAGACGGACAGAGCCGGTGCGTGTCGTAGTGCGTGGGCTTCACGTGGGGCCGGCTCTTGTTCTGGCCCCGGGCTCTTTTTGGAGCCTCCGCGTGGTCCCCAGTCTCCGGCTGGTCCGGGGCCGCCACCTCTGACTGCGCGTCCTCCCCCTGCCCATCCTCCACACGGGCCCGCTTGGCTTCAGGCTCGACCACGCTGCTGTCGTCAGCGTCTTCTGCCTCGGTTTCCCGGCGGGGCTCCTCTGGCCCCTTGGCGTCCAGGAATTCATGGAACTGCGCCTTGGTAGTGAGGTACCTGCAAAGGGAGGGTCGTCGGAATCCTTCCTCTGCGGGGGGATTCAAGGAGCGCCTGCTCGGGCTGCAGGAAGCGCTGGCTGAGGGCAGCCCAGACCAAAGGGAAAACTCCTTCTTGTCCTCTGTGTAGGGCTCATGTAAAAACTCCAGGTGTCATGCATGAACAGCCCTGGTCACTTCCAGCCAAGAGAAAACGACAAGCTCCTGCAGACCTGTCTATACCGGGCCCATCCTGGTAGCTTTTACCATCTTTTTTTTTTAATATATATATATTTTTTGCCTTTTTTGGGTCACACCCAGCAATGCTCAGGGGTTAGTCCTGGCTCTGCACTTAGGAATCCCTCCTGGTGGTGCTCAGGGGACCAAATGGGATGCTGGGAGTCGAACCCAGGTCGGCCGCGTGCAAGGCAAACGCCTTCCCTGCTTATAGCTCCAGCCCCAGCTTTTACCATCTTTTACCATCCTGGTAAAAGAAGAACGGAGTTCCTGCCAGGCTCTGGGACTACACTACCCAGCATGCACCGCGTCCCCCGCCAGGCTCTGGGACTACACTACCCAGCATGCACCGCGACACGACCGGCAGCCGGACTACAACACCCAGCATGCACCGCGACACGCCCGGCAGCCGGACTACAACGCCCAGCATGCACCGCGGCCGGCCCCACGCCCCGCCCACCCCGGCACGCGTCTCCGCGCAGGTGACAGCCGCAACGTGCTCTTGTCGCCCACCTCGCCGGCACCTTCGGCGGCAGGGGCGTCCGGCTCGGGCCCGAATATTCGCCTCTGAGCTCCCCGCCCGCGGGGTCGGCCGCCCCCACTTCCCGGCACGCCCCGCTCGCACTGCGCTACGGGTGCCGGGAAGGGCCCTGAGGGTCTCGTCCCCGCGCGCGCGCCCGCGTCCCCCGCCGCCCCGGGGACTCACTGCGGCTTAATGGGCGCAACCCCCCGCTCTGGCGCGCTGGCTCCCGAGTCTCCGCTCCGCCCACCCTCCGCAGGGGCCTCTGATGTCCCCTCCGCTGGTCCCTCCGCCATCAGCCTCCCTCGCGCCGGCTTGGGAGCGTGGCGGGAAGCCCTTCCGGGTCGCGCGTGCACCTACCCCTTGGCCCCCGCGGGCCGCGCGGGCCCAGTGCGCAGGCGCGTATGCCGGAGGCGCCGCGAAAGCGCCGTCGCGCGTGTGTGACGTAGGGGGCGTGGCCGAGCTCGGCCACGTGACTCGGGATCCCTGGTTCAGGGGCGGGGTTTCGTGCACGTTGTTCGCCGAGGCTCTGCCCTGGCTGCAGTCGGGGATCCCGGTGGTCGAACCCGGCTCGGTCCCGTGCAAGGTCAACGCTGTCCCCGCTGGACTACCGGCTCTGGCCACTGCTGCGGCAGCGTCTAGACGCTCAGTTTCCAGCACTTGGCTGCGATTCCGTTGAGATGATTCACACTTTGGTGCTGGCGCAATAGGACTGCGGGGCAGCAGGGTTCTTGCCTTGCACGCGGCCCACCCAGATTTGATCACTGGTATCACTGGCAGGACAAACTGGCAGGCTACCGAATGCAACCTGCCCACACGGCAGAGTCTGGCAAACTCCCCGTGGCGTACCCAATATGCCAAATACCAGTAACAATGATGGGTCTCATTCTCCGAAAGAGCCTTGAATATAATCTCAGGGCTAGGATGAAGGAGACGTTACTGGGGCCTGCTCTAGGCAATCGATGAATAATAGGATGGTCGTGATCGTGATCAAGTAGGGTCTCGTGAGCACCGTCACCAGTGCTCCCTGAGCTCAGAACCCGGATCCCCTAAGCATCACCGGGTGTGGTTCCCCAAACAAAAAATATTCAGATGAATCATTTCATTGGGTTCCTGGGTTGCCAGATGCACTGCGGGGCGGAGGGCACTTGGCTTGCACGCGGCTGACCCAGGTTCAATCTCACAGGCATCACCTAGGGTCCCCTGAGCACCAACAGGAGTGAGCCCTGAGCACAGAGCCAGGAGTAACCCCTGAGCACTGCGGGGTGTGACCCCCAAACAAAAAACGACAAACTGCCAATTTAAAAGAGTAGCAGCGGGCTGGAGAGATAGCACAGTAGGTAGGGCGTTTTGTCTTGCCCTTGCCAAATGAACTTGAGGCCGGCCCAAGTTCAATTCCAGCATCCCATAGGGTCCCCCTGAACACCGCCAGGAGTAATTCCTGAGTCCATGAGCCAGGAGTAACCTCAGTGCGTCACCGGGTGTGACCCAGAAAGCGAAAGAAAAAAAATTTTTAAATGAAAGAGTAGTAGCTGAGGGGCTGGAGCAGTAGCACAGCGGGGAGGGCGTTTGCCTTGCATGCAGCCGACCCAGGTTCGATTCCCAGCATCCCATAGGGTCCCCCGAGCTCCGCCAGGAGTGATTCCTGAGTGCAAAGCCAGGAGTAACCCTTGTGCATCGCCGGGTGTGACCCAAAAAGAAAAAAAAAGTAGCTGAACTGAGCCCTCGATTAGTAACAGCGTGTTGGAGGGATGGGGCCAAACTCAAAAAAGACAGCAGCGCTGGCGGTCTATCTCTCCCGCCGCCTGCGTTCGGTAGTCTCACGCTGCTTCCCCCGCCCCGGGGAGGTTGATGGCGATGGGCAGGCGGAGGAAGGAATGAGGGTCAGGCTGGTTGGTCATAGTTGCAGTTTATTCCAGTCCTCTCTCCATCCACTCCTGTCTCTCTCCTCCGCCTCTCCCTCCCCGTGCTACTTCATTCTCCTCCTCGATCCCCCTTCATCCTCCTTCTGACTCTGGAATCTGGATACTGATCCCGATTCTCTTTCTCCTCTTGCCCTGGAGTCTCGATTCTGATCCCCAGCCCACTCTTACAGTCCAGTTAAATCCCAAAGCATGAGGGGTTGGGGTAACAATTACACCTAGGTGTGGTCACAATCAATCGGGGTAGAGTTCTTTCCCTCGGGGAAAACTGCTTCTAGGACAGATCCTCTCTCAGCAGGACGACCCACCCTAGAGCGGAATCCCATGGGTGTGTTTCTCCTCCCCTTGTCCAACAAACATATAAGCATACATAATATAAATCATTTTGTGTGGATCGGAGAGATAGCACAGCAGTAGGGCGTTTGCCTTGCACGCAGCCAGCCCGGCCGAGCTGGGTTCAATTCCTCCGCCCCTCTTGGAGAGCGCAGCAAGCTGCCGAGAGTATTCGATATGCCAGACACAGTAACAACAAAGTCTCCAATGGAGACGTTACTGGGCCCGCTCAAGCAAATTGATGAACAACGGGAGGACAGTGTTTGTTTTGTATGGATACAGTAAGAAATACCTTAAACTTATAGAATTGCTCTCCTAGGGCCATCTCGATCTCAGACTACAGTGCTCAGACCAGATAGTCTTTCCTATCCCTAGCAGGGTCCTAGTCTGGTCGTTACTTTTGGATCATGACAGCTTTTGTCTATGATCAAGCTCTTATAGTTAAGAATCATGGCACTTTGACCTGGCCCATTTTGATGCCAGGGTAGCTCACCGCTTGCCCTGGGTCCATTTAGTCCCTCGTTGGGATCCTGCTTTTAGGGTGCTAGGAACTAAGGGCAACTGAGGCTTAAGTCGAGAAAGCAGATGCCCGGGAGTGAATAATATTCAAAGCCAATTAAATCCTAAGTTACAAAAGCATAATATTGTCTTCCTGTGTCTATGTAAAAAGGATATTGCATTATAGTAAACTATAGACATATAATCTATATTTTTATATATAGATATAAATGTATAGATATATATGTAATCTATACAAAAAGGACATTGCATTAAGGGAAACTATTCAGAAGACATAAGGAGAGGAGAAAGGCAATATTAACTTACAATACAAGTTCAGTGTCCTAGAAGGATCTGACCTTACAAATGAACAGATTCTGATGAGGGGAAAAGCTGATGAACTGGTTGGGGAGGAGAGCACAGGGAAGAGTTGACAGATAAGCACAATGGAATGGAAGTGCCTGGGAGCACTGTGATAAACCAGAGTTCCTCCTGGAAAGGGAGGAAGGACAAAGCAGTGTTATCCTACAGTGACTCCACGTGGGAGCAAGAGCTCCGAGGACTGTGTGCCCAGAGTCCAGCCAGCAGGGGAAGGGCATGAAGGTCTTTCGTGCTCCTGAAGTTCTTAGACGAGGGGCCAGAGCAACAGCACAGGGGGTAGGGTGTTTGCCTTGCATAAGGCAGACCCGGGTCTGGGTTCAATTCCCAGCATCCCATATGATCCCCCGAGCACCGCCAGGAGTAATTCCTGAGTGCAGAGCCAGGAGTAACCCCTGAGCATCGCTGGGTGTGACCCAAAAAGCAATTAAAAAAATTTTAATCTGAAAAAAATAGAAAGTTCTTAGACTCCCACCTCCTGGGCCTGTTAGGGGAAAAGCGATGTCCATTTTCTTGCGTTTAGCACAGAAAATTCAGCTTGTCTGGGACATGGTTTCCTCAGAGCCCACACTCGGGTGCAAATCAACAGGCCACGTGGCCGGGCATACCTTGTGTCTCCCACAGAAGACGCGGTTGGTCCTTCCACAGCACGTAAGGAACAAGTCCTCCAGATTGGGGGACGTTGTATCCCCAGGACCTCAAATCTGCTTTCTCTTCTGGGGGCTGTTTCTGCAGAACCCCCTGTCTTTGTTGTAATAACTAGTTCCTTTCCAACACAGTTGGGGGAGTTCCATAAATAACAACTGACACAATTCAATGGTGACTGTTCCTGTTTCCTTATCACCCCAAAATTTTTACCAGTGTGGGGGGGCACACTGGACAGGGCTCGGGACTTTTTCCTGGCTCTGCGCAGGGATCATTTGGGCAACTGTCTGCAGTGGTCAGCTGCATGCAAGGCAAATGCCTTAAATGCCATCCATTAGGGTTGGAGCGATAGTATAGCAGGTAGGGTGTTTGCCTTGCATGCAGCCAACCCGGGTTCAATTCCCAGCATCCCATATGGTCCCCTGAGCACCTCCAAGGGTAATTCCTGAGCGCAGAGCCAGGAATAACCCCTGTGCATTGCCGGGTGTGACCCCAAAAAAGGGAAAAAAAAGGCAAATGCCTTAAATGCCGTCTTCTGGGGCTGGAGCGATAGCACAGCGGGTAGGGCATTTGCCTTGCACGCAGCCGACCCGGGTTCGATTCCCAGCATCCCATAGGGTCCCCCGAGCACCGCCAGGAGTCAGTCCTGAGTGCATGAGCCAGGAGTAACCACTGAGCATCTCCGAGTGTGACCCAAAAAGAAAAAAAAAATGCCGTCCTCCATAACCCTGAATTTCTTTGAGCTTGTGTACGGTTTTGGTGCTCAGGGCTTCTGCCTGGCTTTGCTCTCAGGACCACTCCTGGCTAGGCTCTGGGAACCGGGAACTGTACTGGGTGCCAGGGATCCAACCCAGGTCGGCTCTATGCCAGGCCAGTGCCCTCCCTGCTATATCAATCGCTCTGGCCCCGCCCTGAATTCCTGTCCCGTTTTTAGATCTAAATTGCCTGAACCCGGTGCCTCGCTGAACTCCTTGGCTTGCTCTCGTTCAATAATCGCTGAACTTGACAGGGCTTGCCCCATCACGGGAAGTCAAGCAGGGACTATGCTTCCCAGTGGGGAAACTGAGGCCCGGGGAGGAAAAGGGGCTGGCCAGAGGGTCTCACAAGGGCTGAAAACCAATTTTCCCAAGACTGAAAAACAGAAGGGGTGGTTGGGGGGGGGTACCCAAGAATAAGTCTGTCCCTGGCCTCGATTGCCCTCTGTCGGCTACTTTGGGAATGACACCGCCTCAACCTGGGGCGGGGGTGGGGGGCTCGGGGGCGAGGCGAGAGGTGGACTTCGATTTTTTTTTTTTTTTTGCTTTTTGGGTCACACCCAGCAATGCACAGGGGTCATTCCTGGCTCTGTACTCAGGAGTTACTCCTGGCGGTGCTCGGGGGACCCTATGGGATGCTGGGAATCGAACCCAGGTCGGCTGTGTGCAAGGCAAACGCCCTCCCCGCTGTGCTATCGCTCCAGCCCCAACAGCCTTATATTTTAATAATTTTGTTTGTTTTTGCTTTTTGGGTCACACCCGGCG